AAAAAATGATACAATTTAATCCAGAAAGAAAGAGAGAGAGAGAATAAAAAATGGAAGAAAAGGATTGATTTAATTTCTAATTTCTTTTTCTCTTAATTTGATCCTTTCTCATTTAGATGATGATGACTTATGTGACTAACGTTATTTATTGCTAACTGAAGATCTGGACCTTGAATTGCTTTGTGATCTTCTGCAACTGGAACTTTTCTTTCTCTTATTATCTCTTCTTGGGCTTCTACTTCTTCTGTTGTACCTACTTCTCTTCTTTGCATCCCTTCTCCTTCTTGAATGAGAAGATGAATAAGAAGAATATGAACGAGACCTTGAATTTGATCTCTTTGATCTTCTATGTCTCACAATATAATTAATTTAAATACCTTGATCTTGAATCAGAATATTTTGTTCTTCTAGTAGGTGATTGTCTATTGGGACATTCTCTAGCCCTAGAATAAGTTAAAAGTAATACCAATGACCACCTTTTCCACATTTAAAACATTCATCATTCTCTTAAGGACCATTACGTCTACCTTTACGATTGTCCACTATATCGACTTTCAACTTTTATCCATTAATTTATTATCCATTCAGAGCAGATATAGCATTTTAAGCTTCAGATTCAGAGGAGAATGTCTAATATAGAGAATATAGTTCTTACAACAAATGAATATGCACCTTTGTAGGCAACCTCCTTGATATTTCCATATTTCTTAAATATGTCTTTGATTCCCTTATCATCAGATATTTTGTTACGACTATAGCCAGCAACAAATAATTGATTTGGTACTACCTCACCCATTAAGATTTAAATTTTTAATAATTTAATGAACAATTTACTTAAACGATTCGAACCATGTTTAACAGATGTTATTAAGTAATATATACAATATAACATAGGTATCTCTAAGAACATTAGGATATGATATTAGTTGAACGTAACCCTTATTAAGCAGATAGATTGATGATGATGTTAGATAATGAGAAATTAGATGCTTTGGATAAAGAATTTCATGAACATCCAAATGGTATTGAATTACCAAATTTTATATGGCTAATGAAATGTGCAATCTCTCATGCTCCAGAAGATAAATATGAATTAGTTAATGGACTAATTAAGTTATTTTAAGATATAGATATTAATGGAGATGGTCATATGGAATGGGCTGAATTCACTTAATATATTATTGATGCAGTTATTGGTTCCAAAGATGCTTAACTTTATGATACTAGATTTGAAAAAGAAAGAGAATTAACAGAAATTGAAGTTTTAGACAGAGCTTATTCAAGAAAATCTAAACGTTACATACCTATGGCTTAAGTCGATGATTCCAATCACAAAAACCCTATTAAAAATGTAAAACTAATCACCAATATTTTAGATTGCATATTGTTAATAATTGGATAGTGTTATCTGTTTAGAATAGAACTCTTAACATTTGAGATTCTATACACCTGAATGTCAGGATAAAAAATTTACTCTAGCACCTGAATCTGAATCAGGAAAAATATTTATCATTCATTTTCATACTGTTGATAACTATATAGCAGCAGTTACAAGTGATAGATAATTGATATTTTGGGATGCAACAACATTTAAAGTGATTAAATAATTTAAGTAAGAAGTGTTGTAAACTGGTATTTGGTATTTCCCTTATCATGAATTATGGGTGACAGCTGGATCTGATTACAATATTAGAGGGTGGAGCATACCTTGGAATGAAAAAGATTCAAAAGGATAAGTAATTAAATTTTTGAATGCTCATACGAAATAAATAACTGATATTGTAGAACTGATAAGTCCTAAGTTATTGGCATCCGCAAGTTAAGATGGTAAAATTAAACTTTGGGATATGCAAGATTAAAAATTTATAACAGAATTGAAAACACCAGCTCCTTCAAAAAGAGGGGTTAAAGGATTGAGTTATAATCAAGATTATGGATCAAATCTAATAAGTTATGGGTTTGAAACCTTTATCAATGTTTATTGTCCAGAAGTATCAATAACTAGAGCATATATTGGAAGATTAGAAGGTCATTCTTCATTAGTTGTGACTTGTAAATTTATTCCTTAATCTCCTAATTGCGTTAGTATTGACGATCATACAAATATTAGAATATGGGATATTAGGTAGATGAGTAGTGTGTAAGTGATCCCTAATGATTAATAATCTCTAGTAACTGATTTGTGTATAATAACAAGGACTGATAGATTTGTTTATTCAGGTAAGAGACTAAATTATTTCTATAATGCTGCTTAAATGAGTAGTAATTAGAAGTAGAAAGGACCTAATGAAGAAGTATATCCAATAAATGTTGAATTCAATATGTATTTCAATTAATTCATTGTTTTAACTAAATTTGATTTGAGAATATATGATGCCATGGGTGGTAAATTGAAGAAAGTAATGAATGAAGTATTTGATGATAAAATATAATTGGATTTATCAACTTTTTGTTTTGGAGGAAGGTAAAGAAAATTATTCATAGCAGACAATGCTGGATTGATTAGATAATATAACATGAAAACAGGAGAGTTTCTCAAAAAAGTTAATATGCATAATGAAATTGAGAATTCGGAGTTTGCTAATAAATTGGCTAATATTAAAAAAAGGGATACTTTGGATATCAGTTCAATTATCTTCTTGTAAGAAGAGAAATTATTAATATCTGCAAGTCAAGATTCGACTATTAGAATATATGATGAAACTGATCCTGAAGAATCAATCTTATTAAAGGTCTTTTGTGGTGGACATTAAAATTCAGAAATCTTATCCATGGCATTCAGTCCTAATTTCACAATGTTAGCTACTGGAAGTGCAAATGGTTTGATATCTCTATGGGATTTTGAAACAAGTAAATTATGTGGAGTGCTTAATACTCCATAACCATTAGCAGAAGTTACTGCTTTGGAATTTGCTGATCCATATCCTGTCTTAGTGAGTTTATAAGGAATACTCATAAGCATATGGAATATTAAAACAAATAAATGCCTTCTAAGAATCAATACCAATCCCTAACATCCAATGTTATCGGTGGCCATCTTCTCAGACATAGCATCTGGACCTTCAAGATAGGAATTACTACCTGAGTTTGCAGCACCCTTGGTTGATAAGACTGCTCAAGATAAAAAATCTAAACTAAATTTATAAGAAGAATAAGAGGGGTTAATGAAGGATATTTAACAATATGATACTGAATAACATCAAAATAAAAGGAGAGCCTTACTTTATATGGGAGATTAAAAAGGATACATGCATATTCTATCATTAACAGAGTTTTTATAGAGAAAAGGAATAACTGAGATGGAAAAATTAAAGAAGGGTCATTCTTATTAATTAAAGAGGAAGGACTTGATAGATGTATCCAAGAGTGTCGAAACATTCTTAGTTTAAGAAGAAAAACAACAGAATCCTGTTCTAACTTGTAATATATCTGCTTTACTGATTCGGTAATGGGTAGCTCATAGTTCTGCAATAGTGAAAATTAATAAGATTAGGGAATTAGTATCATTTATAAGTTCATCAATGGACAAGCATTTTAAAATATGGTCAATGAAAGGAGATCTATGGTCTGATATCAGTTTGGCTAAATATGATGGATCCAATTATTGGAAGTTTCCCTTTGATTGGGTTGGATAAAAATTAAAAGATATTGAATTAGTTTTTGATGCTCTAAAATTGATTGAAAAGGAGAACCTATCTCCTTATGAAAAAGAAAGAGTGAAAGTCAGATTTCTTGTTAATAAGTATTTTAATGAAGCATCATTAGAAGAAATGCAAAGAAATTATGCTTAGCCTGAATAAGTAGTTGTCTAAAGGGAAAAAAAGTATTAATATATTTATCTATGTTAGACGTCTCATTCAATCCTAATCTTAGCCTATGAACATTGCTTTAAAATCAATTGCTGAGCCATACAAGGAGTTGACCTAGAAAATGAAAGATGATCAGTTAAAAAAGAAGAAATTAGAGTTACCTGAAGTGTAAGAAGAGCCAAAGAGACCCTAATCTTAACATGGCCTTGTTTAGAGATTGATGTTAGCGTTTAATGATAATAAGGACACTGCTAAAGAAGATGGCATTGATTAAAAAAAGAAATAACCTAATAAAAATGCTCATTAGAAAAGGATTTAAGAATTACCCCAAATGAAACCATCAACTAGTCATTCTACATTCTTATAAAAGTATTAAAGAAATTACAGATTCATTCAAACTTAGGTCTAAACAAGACCTCATACTGAATCTAAGAAATATAAATTTGTTCATGATATTAAATATCAATTTGGAGAATCCCAAAGAGCAATGAAGATCAAGTATTATTAGAATTCTCTAAAATTTTAATCTGTAAGTCCATAATTATTGTGCGATGACAACGAAATTCTTTAAATGAAATGCAAATTTTATAAGAAATAAAATGAAGATCTCATTGAATCAGAGTCATCAGATAAATCATATGAAGAAGATGATCTTGGACATCCAAAACAACATAAATAGATCATTGCTAGTCATAATTTCTTAAATAATGCTTAAAAAAACGATCATAAAGTGCTAAATACAAAAAAAAAGATATTTGTCGTCTGATCTATTATAATTATAAATATTAATAAATATTTAAAGAGGCTATATCATCTCATTTATTTAATGTCAACTATAATGCCAAACAATATCTCTAAATATTTATAGGTTCTAAAATATAATTGAAACTATTAATATATGAATTTAGAAGGATCTTTTCTAACGATTTAACTATTTCTAGTATCATCAAAACTTAGCAAAGGAATACTCAAAAAGCTGAAGTGTACAGAAAAAATTATTATTTTTTATAGATATAAAATCCAATCTAATTTTTCTTAATTTATTATTATTATTCCAATTTGAAACCAACAAGCTTTAATAATAAATAAATTTCTTTAAGCTTTGACTTAGATAGTAATATCATTATATTTTCATTAGATATATAATCAATTGAAGTTAAATTTATAAGATAGAATAATTTATAGTTCTTTTATTGTTCCTAAATTACATTCTGATATTTATTAAAGGATGTAATATTGCGTTTGTAATTCACAATATTAATTGAAATTACTTAAAAAAACAGGAATATGGATTGTAGACTCTAAGTTTGATAAAAGGGCAACTCAATCATTTTAATTTACAGTGATGTAATCATTGTTAATAAGGGTTGAAATGATTATGAAGTGAGATTTAAGTAATATATAAGAATTATTAGAATGATAATTGTAAAAGAGGATTTTAATTGAAAATTAACAGTCGTAATTTTGAAATAAATTAAAATTCAAATTGCACTTCGGAATAAATGGATCCCCAAACAATTTAGGTCATAGGCTTTAACGAATTACCATAAATTGATCCGAATCAATTAACCTAATTGGCAGCTGAGACTCAATAACTATTTACCTTTGGAACGAAAGCATGGTTGTAGTTATTCTAAGCCATCACAAATCTAAGGTGTATCAATAAATATGTACCTCAATATGTGAATCAACTATTCGAGATGTTTGGATAATAGGTTATGGTAGCATTAGATGACTCGAAAGTAAAAATTGATTAAATATTTAGCCTAAAATTTAAAGAAATGTTGTGACATTGATTAATGAAGTGTTTTCTCTAGGTCGAAGTGTGCAAATCTGTCCATAAATCTTTTAAGTCTTTGTCCCAAAGTTGATTTTGAAATCCCAAAACTCTGAACACAAATAAATTAAAGAAGAATGCTTAGTATAATTTTAATCACTATCAGAGGTTGCTGTCAGTAATTACATACTTAATTGTTCACAATATGAAGCAGGCTTATTTGCAGTGATTTAGTTGACTGGACAAAAGAAATCCACGGTTCCACTTCAAAAGTTTTGTCTTTAAGTTTTGGCAAAATAAATACAAACAATTGGTTCCTTTTTATAGTCTTTCAGTGTCAATACACTTACCTTGCTTTTGTAAGCATTAAGCTCATTTTTAAATTCTCAAGGAGGTGAAATCCAAACATACGCATTTTAAATTTGTATGTATTTACATTAATTGGTTGGCGATTAAAATTTTAAAAACTGGATGTCGGTATCATTAGATCCACAATCCACTCAAATCATGGTCAATAAAATATAGGAGGTCTTAAGAAAGAAATCTAAAGCAAAATAACATACGACAATTACAGATATGAAATAAAGAATGACTTTCGGAGTATATGAAAACCAAGAATAAGTGGAAAATTAAAATCACTTTAATGAATTTGTTAAAGACAAATAAAAAGCTAACAATTTCTTGGATTTAAATCAAGTCCAACCTCTACAACCCTCTGTGTATTATAATGAAAATTTGAATTACCAATAATAATCTTAACATTTAATGTAAAACTTGAGTTAATAATAATTCATATAATATTAATGATTTATAAACATTATTTATCATATTGTATTTAGAAAACAATTAATATATAGATTTGTATTTAAATGTAATTTAATGTTATTTTTGTATAACATAATCTGGGAGTTTGATTATTGATCAGTTTTAAGCTTTGTAACAATTAATCAAACTGGAGATTGTGAGCCAAAAAGATTTTTACCAGAAAAATTATCTCTTGTTTTTAAATGTTTAATTCAATTATTAAAACAAAGTATCAGATACAATTATTGTCAAATGGGATTAAATTTAATTGTGTAAATAAATGTAAGATAACTTAATATATAATTCTTAATTATGGTTTATTTAGAAGCATAAATAAAATTAAATGATTTGTTATTTATGTTTAGCTGGCCTAGCAATCTTCCTTTATGTATATGTTGTACATATCTATGTTAAATTGCTGTTGTTAAAACTGAAACATGGAAAAGATGTTTATATATCCTTTATCCCTTTATTTGGTGATTACTTTTTTTTGCCATAATCTTTTAAAAAATATGGTGATGCAACAGAGATCTTTAAATAAAGGTATTAAAAAAATCCAAACATCAAATTTGTGGCTTCTAATATTTTAAATAAGATTTTTTTATTTGTTCATGACCCTGAATATTATAAATCAGTTCTTGTCAATCATGAGAACTATACAAAAGTGGAGATTCTCTATCATCCGTAAATAATTCACATTATTTTAGCAAACTATCATCAACCTCAATATTATTTGGTGAACCTTAAAAGGTTAAACAATAAAGAAATTTATTAGGCGAGGCATTTACATTTGAGAAGTTGAAATAAAGAACTCCAATAATAAATCAAGTTTTACTTGAAAAATTAGAGAAGGAGGACAAAACTAATGTGTTAGATTTCTTAACAAAAACATCAAGTGAAATAATAATTAAAACATTCTTTTGTAAAGAATTATAAGAAATCATTGTCTAAGGTAATGATATTACAACAGAGATGATTGATTTAATAACATAGTTAGGAGATATGCAAATGAATGATTTTTATGTGAGTATTAAATTAGCATTATTGGGAAGAAGAGCTTTTGGTTTGTTACCATCCAAAAAAGAAAAATTATTAGATGCTCGCATAGACAGATTAATAGATAGCACTTTAATGCCTATTATTAAGAATAAGATTGCTAACTATAAGCCTAACTAAAATTCAGATTTCTTGGATATTTATATTCATGCGTATCTTAACTAAAAGCCAAATGAACCTAAAATTACAGAATTAGAATTATGTTAATTGTTTGTTTCCATTGTATCTGCAGGAACTGATACTTCATCCCATCAAATTGCAATAACACTATACTATTTGGGTGTTGAAAGACAAGCATAGGAGGAGATTAGATAAGAGATACTTAATGTAGTGGGAAATGAAGTGGACATTCAACCATAACATTTGGGTAAGCTGGTGTTATTGAACGCATTTATTTAGGAAGCATTTAGAATTAAAAATACTGTGATTCAACCATTAACTAGAATAGCAAAGGAAACCCATTACATAAAAAATTTGAAAGTTGAAAAAGGTAAATCTGATCAATATTTTGAGGTACCTACGTAGCTGCTTTGACTACTGCTCCTAGTTGGAGTGATAAGTATTTTGATGATCCAAATAAATTTGATTACAAAAGATGGCTAAGTTAGAGACCCATAAAGGAAGATAATGGATATGTATTTGTACCATTTTCTGCTGGTGGAAGAAATTGTATCGGATAGCACATGGCTATGATGACTATGAAGATTATGATTGGCCAAATCTTAAGAAAATACGATGTGGTAGTAGATCCAAGTGTTAAAGTAACATTCCCTTTAGTATTGTTTATTCAATACTCACCCAAAAATCTAGTGTAATTGAAAAAGCGCATGGAATGAATCAAATTTACATATTAAATAAATTTTAAATATGTTATTGTATATATTTATAGGATTGTTTATCCTGTTCATCTACTTTACATGTTTAAGAACTTATATCAAGTTGATTTTATTAAAATTGACACTTGGAAATAAGGCTATTATTAGATTCTATCCTTTAACAGGAGATTTTGCATAGATCCCAAAATCAAACCGAATATATGGAGATGGGTTAAAACACTTTTAAAAACGAGTTTTTGATAACCCAAATGTTAAATTTGTTTTGAGTAATTTGATGCATGAACCTTTGATTGAGATTTATGATCCGGAGTATTATAAAGAAGTATTCATCAACCATGAATTATATTAAAGAGCAGATGTCTTATATCATGAGTATAAATTTGTAATATTAAAGAAAATTCACATCAAGAGGAATATTATATTCTGAAGGATAAAGATTTAGATAATAGCGATAAATATTGGGCAATCATTTCACCTATGATAAATTGAAAGAAAGAATGCCTAAAGTTAATCAAGTTGTCATTGAAAAAATAAAAAACTAAGATATCAATAAACTTCATCAATTTTTAATTGATTTGACAACAGAAATTGTTATGAGGTCTTTCTTTGGAAGTGAAGCATTGGAATTTAAATTAAATGGTCAGAGTGTTCCAGCTGAAATCTTAGAGTTGGATGAGGAAATGGCTGCCTAAAATCTTTTCAATCCTTATGTAGTTTTAAAAAGATTGATTTTTGGAAGAAAAGGAGATAAAATTCTTCCTAGTCCAGCATAAAAACATTTGAATGAGAGAGTTGATAGATTAATTGACTTTATCACCTCCTAAATAAATAAGAAGATATCGAACTAATAAAATAAAGGAGACTATTTTCTTGATATCTATGTTGATGCTTACTTAAAATAATAAAAGGAATTCTAAATTGAAATTTTAGAAATATGTTCCATGTTTATCACTATGTTTGCTGCAGGCTCAGGTACATCAGTCAATGCTTTAACTATGACCCTATATTTCTTAGGATTGGAATAGGAAGCATAATAAGAAATTAGAGAATAAATTTTGTAAGTCTTGAATGGTCAAACAGAAGTGTTAGACATTCATCTGTAACAGTTAACTAAATTAACAGCCTTTATTTAGGAAATGTTTCGTTTCAAGGCTCCTCTTTTTGCACCCTTTATTAGAAAGGCAAAGAAAACCCATTACATTAAAAATTTGAAAATAGAAAAAGGTACTAATGTACTTGTTCTGTTTGCTGCTCCAGGATGGTCAAATAAGCATTATGATAACCCTGAAAAATTTGATTATAAAAGATGGTTGAATGCAAATCCAATTAAGGAAGATAATGGATTTGTGTATATGCCTTTTTCAGCAGGTATGAGAAATTGCATTGGTTAACACATGGCTTAATTAAACATGAAAATTATCCTTAGCCATATATTAATGAACTACAAAATTACATTGGATCCTAAGTAACAAGTTAGATTTCCAATAAACTTTTAGATTGATGTTGAACCAGATAATATAATACAATTTGAAAGAATCAAATGAATAGAATAAAGAATAAATATAATATTTACAAATAATTTATTTATAAGCATTATAAATATCCCAAAGAAACCATCCAAAAATTCCTTTTTTTTCTATTTTTCAATAAATTACTTATACATTTAAATTTCTTTTATAAATGATACAAAATCCCTAATCTGAATTATCTATTCTATTACAGAACTATGAGCTACCATTATCCAATCAGGATAGAAGATATTGATAGAATATCTAAACTTCAATATTTGTTAATTCTCTTTCTTTTTCGAATCTAGTATCATAAAGTTAAGCATCTTTGGAACCAATAACTGCATCAATAATATATTAAGTGAATTCAGCCCATTCCATATGACCATCTCCATTAATATCTATATCTTAAAATAACTTAATTAAATTGAAAGTCGATATAGTGGACAATCGTAAAGGTAGACGTAATGGTCCTTAAGAGAATGATGAATGTTTTAAATGTGGAAAAGGTGGTCATTGGTATTACTTTTTAACTTATTCTAGGGCTAGAGAATGTCCCAATAGACAATCACCTACTAGAAGAACAAAATATTCTGATTCAAGATCAAGGTATTTAAATTAATTATATTGTGAGACATAGAAGATCAAAGAGATCAAATTCAAGGTCTCGTTCATATTCTTCTTATTCATCTTCTCATTCAAGAAGGAGAAGGGATGCAAAGAAGAGAAGTAGGTACAACAGAAGAAGTAGAAGCCCAAGAAGAGATAATAAGAGAAAGAAAAGTTCCAGTTGCAGAAGATCACAAAGCAATTCAAGGTCCAGATCTTCAGTTAGCAATAAATAACGTTAGTCACATAAGTCATCATCATCTAAATGAGAAAGGATCAAATTAAGAGAAAAAGAAATTAGAAATTAAATCAATCCTTTTCTTCCATTTTTTATTCTCTCTCTCTCTTTCTTTCTGGATTAAATTGTATCATTTTTTATCAAAAGATCGCTTAAATTAACTAGTTCTTAAGCAATAACCAAAAAAATTCATTATATAATACATTAAATCAAATTTTACAATAAATAAATCTAAAACCTATTAATTACAAATCTCTATCATATAATTAGATTTATTTAAATTGTAGTCATTTTCTGATTTCACTATTAATGCATATATCTATAAATTTCAGTCTTAGTTCAGTTATTGAAATAAATTTAACACTAAACAAGGTTTAGATAAATTTTAAAATCAAAAGAAAATTTTGGATTTAATGTAAAACAATATTATTATATATAATAACATTATTATTAATACTATATCAATAAAATACTCTAAATATATTTAACAATTATAAGAACATTCAAACTCAATATATAAAAATATCATGTTTTTTTATTATAATCTCAAGGTTTTACATCTTGCAAAATATTCTTAACAGATAACTAGATTATGACTTGATTTGGTCTTATTTTAAAATAAAGCAATTTAAGTTTATTATAAAACTGATAAACACAATTAAATAAAGGACCTAAGAATCCCAACATTAAACAACCTATTTATAAAAAGGCAATTGTAATTATTTAATCAGGAGTAAAGAGATTATAAAAATCTTTACAAAATGATAAATTAATTAATGTAAATAATATTACAGGAAACTCGACGCACAAAATATTAATCTGCTCTAATTTAGTATTTGTAAACTTATTAATCGTTATAAACCCTATATACATACAGGTGGAAAATGAGAGCATTATGGATTATGCTACGGAGTAATCTTGCATTCCAATTAAAATTAACACGAAAGTAAGCTTTTTTAATAAAATAATTAATTGATGTTATTAATCTCTTAATTCTTTAATATCAATTTTATTATTTTAACCCCTAAAATTTCTCAAAACAATAAGTATCCCTAATATCAAATATATTAAACAAACTACGTAAGAAGCAATAGTTCTAATTCCTTATTATTAGTTAAAGGTTAAATACAATATAACCTTGAAACTTAAATCCCAAGCATTAGCATAATAACAACTTATGATAAACTCTATATTATCAAAATTTAATTATTTCTTTGCGTATTTATTTATTTAATATAGTTTTATTGCAAGCCATTCTAATATTTTTGACTATCGTTAAATTATGAAAGAAAATAAATTTTAAATATAACAAAATTTTAAGCAAAACTTCAGATACATTTTCAAAATTATAAATAATGAAAAGAATACAATGACCTACATAAATTAACTCTAAATATTAGTTATTAAATCAGCATTAATTTTGTACTAATAAAACTTTCCAAAACACTAAATTACATTACCCCCTAACTAATCTTCAAAATTATCTTTAATTCCCAAAAATTATAAAATTGGATTCACAGATATCAATTCAGAAGACTAAAAATAAATCTAAAGATTTTCTGGATATTCTACATTTATAAACTTCAAATATGAGTAAAATTATAATGTATCTAAGATTTCTAAAAATTATTACGGAGAACCAAGAAGGAATGCAAAAATAGCGAAACTTCCTAATGCAAGCATAATATTGTAACCAAGTTTTTAGAAATTCTGAGAAACTTCTACTTATGCTTGATTTAAAACTAAAGGGGCGGTTAATACAATTTATGATGATGATGGTGGTACTGGTAAATCGTTTTCATCAAATAAAATAAGATCGACCTTAACATCCAAAATTGGGTTTTGTGAGAGTTGCTTATTAATTTCAATTTTTAATTCATAATTGATATCTCGAGTCTCATTTGAGACTATTTCTATTACAGGAAAAATACTAATATTATAATAAGTAGGATCAATGTTAATTTAATTAAGATTAAAATCTAAAAAGTTTATATTTTATTAATCTAGCTTAACTTCTTTAGTATAAGATAATTTAACGTATTGCGTGTTAAGAGTTGAATTTAAGAATAGAACAGAAATTTTACTAATAGGGAAGCATTAACTAATAAAAGAAAAGGAGCCGATACAATTCCAATCATCTTCGATTTTACATTATTTTGAACACCCATCAGAATTAATCCTATTTCCATCATCGCATTCTTCATCTTAATTAATAATTCCATTTCCACATGAGAGACACTTATTATATTCCAAAATATAATCTGGTTAACATTCTAAACAAAGATCTCCATCGCAAACTAAGCAATTATTCTTACATACAATTTTTAATTCTTATTGTTATTATGATTCAGGTTCATTATCTTTAGTTTGATTAAGAGTTTGAACCTTTGTAATACATTAACCATTTAGAAATTCTTCTTCAGCCTTACATTTATCTTAGCATTTACCAGATTCACAAACTTTACAATCAAAACTACATTAAAATTAGCATTCAAAACAACCATCATATTAGATATCATTGCCATCATCACATTCCTCTAATCCGCTAATGACTATTTTATCACCGCATATTGGTTGACATATATTGTTTATCAATTAAAAATTTAAGTCACATATGAGGCAGTTTATATCCTTATCGCAAAATTAACAAAATAATCCGCATTAAAATTAACATTCATGACATCCATCTTCAATAATCTGATTACCATCATCACATTATTCATTAGAATATAATGCAACTTAATTATCTCCACATATTTGCTAACATTTATTATCAACTAACTGCCATCCCTCAAGACAAGCATAGCATTTTTCTTAAATACACATTAAACATTCTAACGAGCAATTTTACATACAATTATAACATTTATTATTTTATAGGCTAACTAAATCTTAGCAATTGCAGGATTAAGTACATTATCTTTTGTTCGGTGAAAATTTATAATCTTCTTTACATTCTGTTTAACTATCTTATTAAAAATANTTATAAAAATCTTTACAAAATGATAAATTAATTAATGTAAATAATATTACAGGAAACTCGACGCACAAAATATTAATTTGCTCTAATTTAGTATTTGTAAACTTATTAATCGTTATAAACCCTATATACATACAGGTGGAAAATGAGAGCATTATGGATTATGCTACTGAGTAATCTTGCATTCCAATTAAAATTAACACAAAAGTAAGCTTTTTTAATAAAATAATTAATTGATGTTATTAATCTCTTAATTCTTTAATATCAATTTTATTATTTTAACCCCTAAAATTTCTTAAAACAATAAGTATCCCTAATATCAAATATATTAAACAAACTACGTAAGAAGCAATAGTTCTAATTCCTTATTATTAGTTAAAGGTTAAATACAATATAACCTTGAAACTTAAATCCCAAGCATTAGCATAATAACAACTTATGATAAACTCTATATTGTCAAAATTTAATTATTTCTTTGCGTATTAATTTATTTAATATAGTTTTATTGCAAGCCATTCTAATATTTTTGACTATCGTTAAATTATGAAAGAAAATAAATTTTAAATAAAACAAAATTTTAAGCAAAACTTCAGATACATTTTCAAAATTATAAATAATGAAAAGAATACAATGACCTACATAAATTAACTCTAAATATTAGTTATTAAATCAGCATTAATTTTGTACTAATAAAACTTTCCAAAACACTAAATTACATTACCCCCTAACTAATCTTCAAAATTATCTTTAATTCCCAAAAATTATAAAATTGGATTCACAGATATCAATTCAGAAGACTAAAAATAAATCTAAAGATTTTCTGGATATTCTACATTTATAAACTTCAAATATGAGTAAAATTATAATGTATCTAAGATTTCTAAAAATTATTAGGGAGAACCAAGAAGGAATGCAAAAATAGCGAAACTTCCTAATGCAAGCATAATATTGTAACCAAGTTTTTAGAAATTCTGAGAAACTTCTACTTATGCTTGATTTAAAACTAAAGGGGCGGTTAATACAATTTATGATGATGATGGTGGTACTGGTAAATCGTTTTCATCAAATAAAATAAGATCGACCTTAACATCCAAAATTGGGTTTTGTGAGAGTTGCTTATTAATTTCAATTTTTAATTCATAATTGATATCTCGAGTCTCATTTGAGACTATTTCTATTACAGGAAAAATACTAATATTATAATAAGTAGGATCAATGTTAATTTAATTAAGATTAAAATCTAAAAAGTTTATATTTTATTAATCTAGCTTAACTTCTTTAGTATAAGATAATTTAACGTATTGCGTGTTAAGAGTTGAATTTAAGAATAGAACAGAAATTTTACTAATAGGGAAGCATTAACTAATAAAAGAAAAGGAGCCGATACAATTCCAATCATCTTCGATTTTACATTATTTTGAACACCCATCAGAATTAATCCTATTTCCATCATCGCATTCTTCATCTTAATTAATAATTCCATTTCCACATGAGAGACACTTATTATATTCCAAAATATAATCTGGTTAACATTCTAAACAAAGATCTCCATCGCAAACTAAGCAATTATTCTTACATACAATTTTTAATTCTTATTGTTATTATGATTCAGGTTCATTATCTTTAGTTTGATTAAGAGTTTGAACCTTTGTAATACATTAACCATTTAGAAATTCTTCTTCAGCCTTACATTTATCTTAGCATTTACCAGATTCACAAACTTTACAATCAAAACTACATTAAAATTAGCATTCAAAACAACCATCATATTAGATATCATTGCCATCATCACATTCCTCTAATCCGCTAATGACTATTTTATCACCGCATATTGGTTGACATATATTGTTTATCAATTAAAAATTTAAGTCACATATGAGGCAGTTTATATCCTTATCGCAAAATTAACAAAATAATCCGCATTAAAATTAACATTCATGACATCCATCTTCAATAATCTGATTACCATCATCACATTATTCATTAGAATATAATGCAACTTAATTATCTCCACATATTTGCTAACATTTATTATCAACTAACTGCCATCCCTCAAGACAAGCATAGCATTTTTCTTAAATACACATTAAACATTCTAACGAGCAATTTTACATACAATTATAACATTTATTATTTTATAGGCTAACTAAATCTTAGCAATTGCAGGATTAAGTACATTATCTTTTGTTCGGTGAAAATTTATAATCTTCTTTACATTCTGTTTAACTATCTTATTAAAAATANTACATTTATAAACTTCAAATATGAGTAAAATTATAATGTATCTAAGATTTCTAAAAATTATTAGGGAGAACCAAGAAGGAATGCAAAAATAGCGAAACTTCCTAATGCAAGCATAATATTGTAACCAAGTTTTTAGAAATTCTGAGAAACTTCTACTTATGCTTGATTTAAAACTAAAGGGGCGGTTAATACAATTTATGATGATGATGGTGGTACTGGTAAATCGTTTTCATCAAATAAAATAAGATCGACCTTAACATCCAAAATTGGGTTTTGTGAGAGTTGCTTATTAATTTCAATTTTTAATTCATAATTGATATCTCGAGTCTCATTTGAGACTATTTCTATTACAGGAAAAATACTAATATTATAATAAGTAGGATCAATGTTAATTTAATTAAGATTAAAATCTAAAAAGTTTATATTTTATTAATCTAGCTTAACTTCTTTAGTATAAGATAATTTAACGTATTGCGTGTTAAGAGTTGAATTTAAGAATAGAACAGAAATTTTACTAATAGGGAAGCATTAACTAATAAAAGAAAAGGAGCCGATACAATTCCAATCATCTTCGATTTTACATTATTTTGAACACCCATCAGAATTAATCCTATTTCCATCATCGCATTCTTCATCTTAATTAATAATTCCATTTCCACATGAGAGACACTTATTATATTCCAAAATATAATCTGGTTAACATTCTAAACAAAGATCTCCATCGCAAACTAAGCAATTATTCTTACATACAATTTTTAATTCTTATTGTTATTATGATTCAGGTTCATTATCTTTAGTTTGATTAAGAGTTTGAACCTTTGTAATACATTAACCATTTAGAAATTCTTCTTCAGCCTTACATTTATCTTAGCATTTACCAGATTCACAAACTTTACAATCAAAACTACATTAAAATTAGCATTCAAAACAACCATCATATTAGATATCATTGCCATCATCACATTCCTCTAATCCGCTAATGACTATTTTATCACCGCATATTGGTTGACATATATTGTTTATCAATTAAAAATTTAAGTCACATATGAGGCAGTTTATATCCTTATCGCAAAATTAACAAAATAATCCGCATTAAAATTAACATTCATGACATCCGTCTTCAATAATCTGATTACCATCATCACATTATTCATTAGAATATAATGCAACTTAATTATCTCCACATATTTGCTAACATTTACTATCAACTAGCTGCCATCCTTCAAGACAAGCATAGCATTTTTCTTAAATACACATTAAACATTCTAACGAGCAATTTTACATACAATTATAACATTTATTATTTTATAGGCTAACTAAATCTTAGCAATTGCAGGATTAAGTACATTATCTTTTGTTCGGTGAAAATTTATAATCTTCTTTACATTCTGTTTAACTATCTTATTAAAAATAATAAATAATTTAGAAATCGGAAAAATAACAAAAAGAGAAACTTGAAACTATGTCTAATCCATAATAATTATTTTGAAGTAAATTATACTATTAATATTATTTTAGTATTGATTATTATTGATAGTTGGGTTGGCAATAAAAGCCAATTATTTCAAAAAAATTATTCCAATTGTTGAAAAATTTAGTTTCTAATTGTTCAACAAAGTTTTCAGATTAAAAGTCACTTTTTTGAAGTTATATAATCCAATTGTTGAAAACACCAGCTTCTAATTGTTTAACAAAGTTTTCACATTAAACTCCGCTTTTTTCAAGATAATTAGTCCATTTATTGAAAAATCCAGTTTATAATTTTTCAACAAGGTTTTAATAACATTAAAAGTCATTTTTTTCAAGATAATCAGCCCAATTGTTGAAAAATCCAGTTTCTAATTGTTCAAAAAGGTTTTCAGATTGAAAGTCATTTTTTTCAAGATAATTAATCCTATTTTCAAAAAAATCTGTTTGTATTTGTTCAACAAAGTTTTCTCTAATCTATTAATCAGATATGCACCTATTTTATATAAAAAAATAGGATTATTCACATTATTAGCAAGTTCCAAAAACACAAAGAATGCAATTTAATGGGCACGAAAATTAACAATTATGACAACCATCATATGGGAGAGAATTACCATCATCACAAACCTCATTTAACATTAAAATATTATCACCACAGATGGGAATACAAGTATTTTTTGTGTGTAAATACCATCCATCTAAACAATTCATGCAGATTCCTTTTACACAATTACTACAACCCTAATTACAATCGTATTGATTAGAGAAGCATCCATCAAATGGTAAAATATTAAGGTCTTTACATTAATAATCTTCAATTATATCAGTAAATAATGAAAAATCTCTTATTCCAAACCAAGAAGTAGTGACATCTACTGAAGTTGTAATCTCTATTCTCAGATTTTGATTATTATGTGCAAAGTTTGATATTTATACTTAGATGACGGTGAAGTTGTTGCATATTATAACTGAAGATAGTACATAAGAATTTGAAATTTGAGTTATTAACAATTAGTTATCAATTTTGAATTATATTATTGGTGAAGCTTTATTGAATATTAAGACTTTCAAATTCAAACTAATCTTATTATGAACCTACAAAAGGAAATCTTTAATAAAATAATTCCCTGTTGATCTTAAATAATTGAAATCTATATATATTTATTATTAATACCTGTACATTGTTATATCTATTAGGAAGCTATGCCATTAGTCATCCATCCATCTTCTAAAGATATGGAGGAGAAAACTATTTGATTAAGCGATTAATAAGCTAATTCCCAAATCTTTTGAGTAATATTTATGGCATTTAAATTAAATTCAGAAAATCCCCATGATTACCAATCAGAGACCATTGTAATTTAAACTGAAGAACTTTAGTGAACGATATTTTCAGATATTTCATATGATCCATATGATGAACAATAGTTTGTAAAACTGTGTAGTGAAGGTTAGATTAAAAGATAAAGTTAGTTGTCAACATACAAATAGAACGAATAGTTAACAGAGTATATCCTATTTAAATAATTTTATAATTACATCCAAAGTCTAAATGACAGGTTGATTAAATCATGTGATGGAAGCTCAAAAGTTTTTGATGTTAAACTATTAAAGGCTTAGTGTACGCAATCTTCAATGATTACTACGTTATTTGATCCACAATTTTACAAAAAAAAACCATTAATATGATATTAGTAATTATTCCAATCTTATGTAAAATAATTACATACCATACATTGTTTAAGAAAAATTTCGATAAAAATTACTATAAATTAGCTGAGACCTACTTATTGTTATTAACAGGAGAAAAAAATTGATAAAGGATATTTGCCATTTCATTGTTTATATCTCTTCTTTCTATTAATTACAAAAATTAATTTATTTAATAATCATCAGCTTTTATTATTCTATTAATTCTAAAATCACTTAGTTAGAAGTCACTATCAAAGCCAAAGGCATATTCAAGACATCATATATTAATAAGATACTGTTCATTATTAAATATAAAAATATACTAATGTAAATTTTCCAATTTTATTTTTAAATCGTCTGATGTATATTAAATTTTGAAGATAAATTCCAGCGTAGAAATCAATTTGACCGAGTGGTTAAGGCGGTGTACTTGAAATACATTGGGTTTATCTGCGCAGGGTAGAATTCTACCGCTGAAGGCTTTTTTATAAATTTGATACTATTTTCGATCTACTATTATAATAATTTTCTCAAATAACCTAAATAGTTGTAATCGAAATTTTAGCCATTGGGAAACATTAACTTAAAAATGAAATGGTTTCTAAACAATTCCAATTCTTTTCTATTTTACATTAATTCGAACATCCATCCGAATTGATCCTATTTCCATCATCACATTCTTCGTCTTGGGCTATAATTCCATCTCCACAGAAGAAAAACTGATTATTTCCAAAATCTCATCTGGTTAGTATTCGAGACAAAGATCCCCGTCGCAAACTAAGCAATCATTTTTGCATTCAGATTGCTCTGGTTCAATTTCTTCACTTTCAGTTGGAACATTTTAATACAATCAACTTTACACATAACTTCGCATTTGCCAGATTCACAAATTTTACAGCCAAATCTACATTAAAATTAACATTCATAACAACCATCATATTTAATATCATTTCCATCATCACATTCCTCTAATCCATTTATGACTATTTTATCACCGCATATTGGTTCACATGCATGATGTACCAGTTTGAAATTTGGTTCACATATGATACAATTTAATTCCTTATCGCAAAATTAACAAAATAATCCGCATTAAAATTAACATTCATGGCATCCATCATCAATAGATTGATTTCCATCATCACACTATTCATAAGAATATAATGCGACTTAATTGTCTCCGCAAATTTGCTAGCATTTATGATTAACCAACTTCCATCCCTCAAAACAAGCATTAAACATTCTAATTAGCAGTTTTATACAAAATTATAACAATCATTATTTTATAAGCTAACTAAATCTTAACAATTGCAAATTTCAACACATTGTCTTTTGCTGGGTGAAAATTTAGAACCTTTATTACATTCAGTTAAACTATCTTATTAATAATCTTAAATAATTAAAAAATCTGGAAAAACATCCCAATTATTGAAAAAAATCAGTTTCTATTTGTTCAACAAAGTTTTCACCATTCTATTAATTAGGTATACACTTATCTTCTATAAGAAAATAGGATTTTTTTCACATTCTTTGCAAACACCAAAAAAACAAAGAATGCAATTTTATGGACAAGAAAACTAGCAATGATGACAATTATCATATGAAATAGAGTTATCATCATAACAAACTTCATTTAACATTAATTTTTGATAACCACAGAGATACAAATATCTTGTGTGTCCAAATACCAGCCATCTAAACAGTTGATGCAGATTCCTTTTACACAATTATTATAACCAAAATTACAATCATATAGATTAGAGAAACTTCCATCAAATGGTTAAATGTTGAAGTCTTTACATTAATATTCTTCAATAATATTATCAATGAATAATGAAAAGTCTCTGATTCCAAACCAAGAAATAGAGCCATCCTGAAATTAGCACCTCGATTCTAAGATTTTCATTATTATGCATAAAATCAGTTATTCTTACTTACATGACTATGAATTTGCTGCATAATGGAAGTGCCAATTATACATAAGAATTTGAAGTTTGAGTTGTTAACAGTTAGTTATCTATTTTGAAATATATTGTTGGTGAAGCTTAACTGAATATTAAGACTTTCAAATTCAAACTAATCTTATTATGAACCTTCAAAACGAAATCTTTGATAAAATTATTTCCTGTTGATCTTAAAAAATAAAAATCTATTTTTATTTCTTATTTATACCTGTACATTACTCGATTTATTAGGAAACTATGTTGTTAATTATCCATCCATCATTTAAAGTTATCGATGAGAGAATTCGTTTATTCAAAGATTAACAAACTAATTTCCAAATATTTTTAGCTATTGCTTAAGACAATTAAAGTAAATTCAGAAAAGCCCCATGATTTTTAATTAGAAACCATTGTAATTTAAATTGAAGTACTAGAAAGATCAATATTTTGAGATGTATCATATGATCCATATGGTGGACAGTCGTTTGTAAAAGTGTACAGAGAGTTTTAGATTATAAGATAAGTTCATTATCAACATACAAATAGAATGAATAGCTAACAGAATTTATCCTATCTTCATAACTTTATATTTACATCCAAAGCTTAAATGATAGATTGATTAAATCATGTAATGGAAGCTCAAAAGTTTTTGAAGTTAAACTATTAAAAGAGTAGGAGCATCCATTCATGATTAATATATTTTTTAATCCGCAACTTGCCACAGAATAACTATTGTTATCCAGTTAATATATATTCCAATCTTATTAAAACAATAACATACCAAAGTTTGACGTTGTAAAACTTCCATAAAAATTTCTATAAATTAGTTGAGACCTACTAATTGTTATTAGCAGGAGATAATAATTCAGAAAACATATTCGCCATAACATTGGTGATATCTCTTACTTCTAATATTTAATTTTATTTGGTTCAATGCTTATTAATTTATATAAAATTATATTTATTAATTTAAAGATTAGAATTAATTTGTCAAAACTAAATAATATTGGAGACATCGTTTAGTGATGTTTTGCTCTAAATTATAAAATATACATTTTAATCTAAAAAAGATACTAAGTATATTAATGTAATTGATCTTAATTTACCTGGCATATAATTAAATTTTGAAGGTAAATTCCAGCATAGAAGTCAGTTTGGCCGAGTGGTTAAGGCGGTGGACTTGAAATCCACTGGGTTTACCCGCGCAGGTTCGAATCCTGCAGCTGACGATTTTTTTATAAAGTTGTTACAAACTTCTATATAATCATTAATTACATTTATTTTCTCAAATAAACTATATAGTTGAATATGATTGTGAGCTTAAGTATATCTGAGATCGTTTGAGTAGCATTAAATGTTTGAAATAATTTAACATTCTGCACAGAATTTTGGGAGATTTAGATTGGATAGGCTTAAAAGTATTATTTAACTTAGATAATTCTATGATTATTTTCTTTTAGTCATTTCATTTAAAAATTTCACAGTAGTCCTAAAGGCTTTTATTGATATTAATACACTAATGATTAAAATTTACTGTTAGCAATGATAATTTACTGTTTTTCTGGATATAAATTTTAAGGCTCTTAATCCTATCCTAGTCTACCAAAAACTAATCCCTGCTATGTTTCATCTATAAATTAGCGCTAATTATCTATTAAAACTATTAACACAGAATTTACAAATTTAGTTAAAATTTATAGCTATTGAGTTAAATTTTAATTCGCTTCAACTTAAAATAAGATTTGATTCAAAAAGATTGTCATCATCAATAATAGTGATTTCTAAAGTTATTCGTTTTTGTATTTATTCATTATTCTGAAAATGACTATTTTTTTGATTACAATTAACTGAAATTTATTTGAAAAAAAAGAAGAAATATATCTAAATTATTTAGAATATTTGTTCTATGATCCCTATATTAATATATTTAAATATAGAATTCATCAAATTAACCCTTGCGTTTCTTAATCATACTTTTAGAAAATTGATTGAATTTCATTTATTATTTGACTACATTCTGTTAATATTTTTGAATCTCCTTTATTTTCTTTACAATAATTTCTAAATTTAGGAGTTTTCTCTTTTAACAACTTTACATTTGCAGGGTTATTATTAGTCTATTTTATTGATATAAGATATTAAAGACGTTTATCAAATGTGGATCTCATATTCTTAAGAGTGTCTAATAATTATTTTTCATTTAAGATTTTTTAAGATTTTCCTTTAGATTTATTTTTCTAAATCCTAACATTTATTTCTTCATCAGAATCTTCCAAAATATTAGGTCTAACAACATCTGAATATGAACTTTTCTTTGGTTCAATAACATAAGAAATTAATTAACTTTGCAAGTCTGATTATCCTTTAACAATCTTCTCCTAAACTGAAAGTTACGATAAAGCTTCTTTAACTTCTCTTTATAAGTTTTCAAGAAGGCTTTTTAATAATTGAGCTTCATAATCTGAAATCTTAATTTCAATGTAACTTGAATGAGTGTCTGATGATAGTTCGGAAATATGAGAATTTTTTTCTAATCCATCCAATATTGTGTCAAATTAGGTTTCTTCTTGGAAATTTTTTTATTTAAATTGATCTTTTGGTTTTCTCTCCTTATTTTTTAAAATGAAGATCAATCGTTACAGTATGTGATCTTTCTCATCGGAAGTCATGTTAATTTGTAGTTGTTATTGTTATTGCTATTGTTGTTGTTGTTGCATTTGCTATGAAATATTTGAAGTTAAAAATAATAGAAAATATATTTCTATTACAAAATACCTGATATTTATGTTTTATTGTATTATTAGAATTAAAATTCTACATATTATATAATTAAATAATACAAAGAATTGGAAAACTTGATAACAATGAAATTAAATGTTAAATATCAATATTTTAATAATAATCTCACTCAGGTGCTTATTATTTGATCTTTTAATTCCAGACTTTTTAATTTTTTGATCTCTTTTGAATCAACTTTTATTTATTTTGAAAGTACTTATTTTTAAACCTTTTGTAAATACTTTTGATATTTCTTCTTCTTCTCTGAAGTCTTATCCATTTATTGTAATTCCTAATAAAGTTATAATCTTTAACCTGGTAAAATAATTATCTGTCCCTTAATAAAGATAAAGATTAAGGTATTTTATATTATGTTAATCAAATTTTTATAATCTATGGATTAAGGTTATAATTAATTTAATAATCAATAAGTATTACTCTTACTTTCTTTTTAGGACTCTCTTATGTCGGATTCTTGTTTTAAATTTTCTATTCGCTTAATAAATTTTTGATTTGTTGAGTATATATGTTTGAGGTCAATAATAATTTGTTTTTCCTAAAATCCTGCAAGTATTATTTGGTACTTTACATGTGTATTATCGCTATTATTCAAGAGAATCCCAGGGCTGAGAATTCCAAAGAGTAGATTATATTTGGGTAGTGATTTAAGATATATACAACATGAGGATAGATTATCTCTAAATGAAATTTTAAGAATTTGATTGGCAAAGGTGGGATAAAATAATTTAATAAAATGGACAAGGATTAATTTTAATTAATTTTCTAAATATAATTTGTTTGAAATTTCTAAATGTCCAAAAAAGATATCTTCAAAGCAAACAAAGTTTCAATTCTAAAAAGGGTTCCTAGGATTCAACATAGCCCAATTAGAAATTTTAAGAGGACAATTTAGCCACAATATGCCTTATCAGGTCATATGGATGATCCAATTTAAATAATTGATTCAAAGGGGGAACAGTACCTAAAGAAGGGGAAAATTTGGAAGAACTCCTCTTCAGAAGATTGACAGTTTGTTGGATAAATAAGATGGAAAGGACCTTTTGAAAAAAGTAATTGAGACATCAAAGGTTAATGAGTGAAACTTCTTATTGTGAGCACCTCTGATAATAAGCCCTAAAAATTGAATAACTAATAAGGAGGAGAAAAGAATTTATAAATATTTCCAAATGAGTTGAATGAGAATTCAAGAGGGAGAGTCTTAAGCATACCTGGTGAGTTATAGATACAACCCAATGGGGTAGCCAGAATATCGAATGATACCTAAACGTATTGACCTTACTGTAAGATTCCATTCTAATTTTCAAAAATATTCAAACATTCATGCCCTTCAAGTGTAAACTTGAACTCTAGTTTTTCAAAATGACAGTTGATTCACCTCATAAAAATAAATAAATAAATTATAAAACTAAAATAAAGCGCTAATTAAAAATAAAATAAATATGTGAGTTGGGATATTTACAAAGCTATTTATTTAATTATTAAAGAATTATATATTTTATAGTTGAAAGCCACTTAGGTCAAGAATAATTTTAGCTTGGGGTTCATCAATTCCTAATGCGATTAGAATTTCTGTCTGAAGTTTAAGAGATCTAAATAACTCAAGAGCAAGAACCAACTTCAACTATTTAGAAACTGTCCCAATTATTATCTTATATATATCAGTTTATCTTTATGATAATAAATTTTCAGATGAATTTTATAGAATTAAATCAATAATTTATTTGCAGTCCCTAATATTATTATTATAGTATCATTTTATAAATCCCTTATGAAAATATCTTTAAGTGATTACTATACCTACAATATTCAGAAAAATTTTGACCAAACCAATAAATTGAGAAATTCGGATAACATTGAATAATAGCTAACACAAGGAGGACTATCATTCAGTTTTTATTTTTTTATTTGAAATATCTTCATCATCATTTATACCTAGTCCAAATGCCGCATTTTATTGCTCTATTATCTGTATTAGGAGAGCCTATCAAGAATTTGTAGCCTCAGTTCAAGCTGTTGTAACGTCTTCAGAATTGTTATAATTATCTACCTGGATTTTAATATTATCATAAATGATATCGTATGCATAAGAAATAGAGAATGGGAAAGTCAATTACATGTTATCCTAAGACGCTCAGGCATATTCTGCATATTAAGTAATAGAATAAGCCAGAATTAAAAACACATAGACATGTTAACTGTCAAATATTACAAAGAGTTTGCTTCTTTATCTAAGGACTATTAACTTCCTACCCTATTAAAATGCTTTCATTTTTACAAATTTGAAACATAGTTTTATTTAGAATTTATAATTCCAAATTATTATACTTATTTGTAATTTTATGAAAATTGAAATGAAAAACAGTTGATAAAATAATTTATGTTGTAAGAAGATTGTGGTTCTAATATTGAAATTGGGTTATTTATGTATGGATAAATATTTAACAAAAATTGCATAGTAATAAAAGGAAAACCAAAATTAATAAGTAATTCACATTATTTTAGCAATCATCTATTATTTGTTGAATTTTAAAAGATAAACATTAAAGAAATTTATTAGGCAAACCATTTATATTTGAGAAGAATTGAAATAGAGAACTCCAATAATAAATCAAAGTTACAACAGAAGTTAAGTTTCATCTTAATATAACCTCTCAAACTATAATGTAACGAAATTACATAGATTTCAGTTTAAATTGAATTTTTTAAATTAATTACAATTAATAATTTTATAGGTATGATGATAGTATCATTATTATTATTACCAAAATTACATGTTTATAATTTTACATTTATAAAAAGATTAAAAAACTTAAAAGGATATTGAAAATTAAATAGATCAAATATTATATTTTAAAAATCATTTTATCTATTAAATAGAAATAATGTATTAATATTCTAATTTCAATGTGTTACTTCAAACATAATATTCCTAATCGCTCCTTTGAATTATGATTTTTTTGGCTTGATTAATTAATAAATTTATTTAAGTTTATTATAAAACTGATAAATACAATTAAATAAAGGACCTAATAATCCTAACATTAAGCAACCTATTTATAAAAAACCGATTCTTATTATTTAATCAGGAGTAAAATGATTGTTAAAATCTTTACAAAATGACAAATTAAATAATGTAAATAATATTACCGGAACTTCCACACAAAAGATATTCATCATTTCTAAGTTAGTAGTTGTAATCTTGAGAATCGATATAAACCCTATATACATACAAGTGGAAAAAGAGAGCATTATGCATTATGTTATAGAGCAATCTTGCATTCTAATTAAAATTAACACAAAGATACACTTTTTTAACAAAATAATTGACTAATGCTGTTAATTTCTTAATTTTTTGAAATCTATGATATTATTGTGTGTCCTTAAATTTTTCACTACAATACTTATTCCTATTACAAGATATATCAAACAAACTACATATGAGACCAAAGGTCTAATTCCTGATTATTTGTTAAAGGTCAGATACAATAGAACCTTGAAACTTAGATCCCAAGCATTAGCATAATAACAATTTATTATCAAATTGATGATATCAAAATGTTAATAGTTCTTTATATATTGATTAATTTAATATAGTTTAATTGCAATCCACTCAACTGCTTTTGATTTTAGCTTTCTGACAAAATAAATGAAATTTGAAGTAAAACATGATTTTAAACAAAACTTGAGATAAATTTTAAAAGTAATCAATAGTGAAAAGAATACAATGACCTACATAAATTAACTCTAAATATTAGTTATTAAATCAGCATTAATTTAGTACTGATAAAACTTGCCAAAACACTAAATTACATTACCCCCTAACTAATCTTCAAAATTATCTTTAATTCCCAGAAATTATAAAATTGGATCCACAGATATCAATTCAGAAGATTTAAAATAAATATTAAGATTTTCTGGATATTCTACATTTATAAACTTCAAATATGAGTAAAATTATAATGTATCTAAGATTTCTAAAAATTATTAGGGAGACCCAAGAAGAAATGCAAAAATAGCGAAACCTCCTAATGCAAGCATAAGATTATAACCAAATTTTTAGAAATTCTGAGAAACTTCTACTTATGCTTGATTTAAAACTAAAGGGGCGGTTAATACAATTTATGCTGATGATGGTGGTACTGGTAAATCGTTTTCATCCAATAAAATAAGATCGACCTTAACATCCAAAATTGGGTTTTGTGAGAGTTGCTTATTAATTTCAATTTTTAATTCATAATTTATATTTCTAGTCTCATTTGAGACTATTTCTATTACAGGAAAAATACTTATGTTATAATAAGTAGGATCAATGTTAATTGAATTAAAATTAAAATCTAAAAAGTTTACATCTTATTAATCTAGTTTAACTTTTTTAGTATATGATAGTTTAACATATTGTTTGTTAAGAGTTGAATTTAAGAATTCAATTTAAATTTTAGTAGTTGGGAAACATAAACTTAATTATGAAATGGATTCTATACAATTCCAATTCTGTTCAATATTGCATTAATTTGAACATCCATCAGAAATGATCCTATTTCCATCATCACATTCTTCATCGTTGTTTTTAATTCCATTTCCACAAGATAAACACTTATTATTTTCCAAAAGATAATCTGGTTGACATTCTAGACAAAGATTCCCATCACAAACTAAGCAATTATTCTTACATTCAATCTTTTATTCAAATTGTTGTGATTAAATCTCTTCACTTTAATTAATGATTGCAACCTTTTGAATACATTGACCATTTATAAATTCTTCTTCAGCTTTGCATTTATCTTAACAGTTGCCAGATTCACAAACTTTACAGCCAAATCTACATTAAAATTAACATTCATAACAACCATCATATTTAATATCATTTCCATCATCACATTCCTCTAATCCATTTATGACTATTTTATCACCGCATATTGGTTCACATGCATGATGTACCAGTTTGAAATTTGGTTCACATATGATACAATTTAATTCCTTATCACAAAATTAACAAAATAATCCGCATTAAAATTAACATTCATGGCATCCATCATCAATAGATTGATTTCCATCATCACACTATTCATAAGAATATAATGCCACTTATTTATCTCCACAAATTTGCTAACATTTATGATCAACCAACTACCATCCGTCAAAACAAGCATAGCATTTATCTTAAAGACATATTAAACATTCTAATTAGCAGTTTTATACACAATTATAACAATTATTATTTTATAAGCTAACTAAATCTTAACAATTACAAATTTCAACACATTGTCTTTTGCTGGGTGATAATTTATAACCTTTATTACATTCAGTTAAACTATCTTAGTAATAACCTCGATTAAATTAATAATCAGAAAAGTAAGAATTCAAAAAACTTGAAACTATGTTTAATCCATAATAATTATTTTTTAGTATCTAATATAATTATGAAGATTATTGCAGAATTGATTGTTATTGAGAGGTAGGTTAGTATTAATAACCAGTATTTTCAAAATAATTAATGTTAGATACACACCTATTTTCTATATAAAAATAGGATTATTCGCATTCTTAACATATTCCAAAAACACAAAGGATGCAATTTAATGGGCAAGAAAATTAACAATTATGGCAACCATCATATGGGATAGAATTACCATCATCACAAACTTCATTTAACATTAACATATTATCACCACAGATGGGAATACAAGTATTTTTTGTGTGTAAATACCATCCATCTAAACAATTGATGCAGATTCCTTTTACACAATTACTACAACCCTAATTACAATCGTATTGATTAGAAAAGCATCCATCAAATGGCAAAATATTAAGGTCTTTGCATTAATAATCTTCAATTATATCAGTAAATAATGAAAAATCTCTTATTCCAAACCAAGAAGTAGTGCCATCTGCTGAAGTTGTAATCTCTATTCTCAGATTTTGATTATTATGCACAAAGTCTGATATTTATAGTTATATAACAATGAACTTGCTGCATATTATAACTGAAGAATCTACATAAGAATTTGAAATTTGAGTTATTAACAATTAGTTATCAATTTTGAAATCTATTGTTGGTGTAGCTTTATTGAATATTAAGACTTTGAAATTCAAACTAATCTTATTATGAACCTACAAAAGGAAATCTTTAATAAAATAATTCCCTGTTGATCTTAAATAATTGAAATCTATATATATTTATTATTAATACCTGTACATTGTTCTCTCTATTAGGAAGCTATGCCATTAGTCATCCATCCATCTTCAAAAGATATGGAGGAGAAAAATATTTGATTAAGCGATTAATAAGCTAATTCCCAAATCTTTTGAGTAATATTTATGGCATTTAAATTAAATTCAGAAAATCCCCATGATTACCAATCAGAGACCATTGTAATTTAAACTGAAGAACTTGAGTGAACTATATTTTCAGATATTTCATATGATCCATATGATGAACAATCGTTTGTAAAACTGTGTAGTGAAGTTTAGATTAAAAGATAAAGTTCGTTGTCAACATACAAATAGAACGAATAGTTAACAGAGTATACCCTATTTAAATAATTTTATAATTACATCCAAAGTCTAAATGACAGGTTGATTAAATCATGTGATGGAAGCTCAAAAGTTTTTGATGTTAAGCTATTAAACTCGTAGTTTGTGCACTCAGACATAATTAATACGTTTTTTAATCCACAATTTATCACAGTATAACCATGAGTATCCCTTTAGTAAATATTCCAATCTAAATATAACAATAACATACCAAAATTTGCAGATGTAAACGTTCCATAAAAATTACTATAAATTAGTTGAGACCTACAAATTGTTATTAATAGAATAGTAAAATTCACAAAGAAAACTCGACATTTCATTGTTTATATCACTTAGTTCTAATAATATTAAATTTATATTATTTAAATGCTTATCTATTTATATAAAATCATATTTATTTAATATATTAATTCACCCTATTCTTTTGATTTAAAATCATCTTCAAAATTAAAAATATTTGAGGTATAATTAGTTATGTTATACTCTAAATTATTAATATATATTTTACTATAAAAAAGATACTAATGTTAAAACTATTTTATTCTAAATTTGAATGACTTGTATTTTGTTAACATATATACAGCATAGAAGTCAGCTTGGCCGAATGGTTAAGGTGATGGACTAGAAATCCATTGGGTTTACCCGTGTAGGTTCGAATCCTGCAGCTGACGATTTTTTTATAAAATCTATATAAATTTTGATATCATTTTTGGGTTTTTATTAATTTTTCAATAAACTTATATATTTGAATATGAATGCGATTTTAAATATTCTCTGAGAAGGTTTATTTAGCATTAACTTCTTAAAGTTATTTAACATTTTATACAAATTTCCAATTTTTCTGGATTGGAAAATTTATATAGTAGTATTTTTTTTTTATTTATATAATTTGAATGATTGCATTCTTTTTTTGGCCATTTCTGTTTTGTGATCCTTTAAGTACTTCATATTTTTAATAAAATAATTATGGAAATTTTAATCTTTGAGTGATTATTTTAATTTAATGATTTTCCGGGGTAATAATTATAAGCCTCCTAACCTTTTCATAGAGTTGTAAGAATTAATTCTGGCAATTTTTCACTAAATTGTAATAAATTATTGCTATAAATACTTATTGAAATAAATATATGAGAATATCATTTAATCTATAAATACAGAATTTAAGATTTTATTTCAAAAAAGATTGTTGACACTAATAATTGTATTTATATTTATCCAACTTTTACAAAATGACTTTACTTTTGCTATAATTAAAAATCCTAATATATGAGAAAAAATAAGAAATTATATTTAAATTATTTATAATATATGTTGCATTAATACCTACATTAGTACTTTTGTTCTAGAATTCATCAAACTAATCCTTCCATTTCTTAATCATATTATTATAACGTTTATTGAATATCATTTAGTACTTGTTTAAACTCCAATATAATTATTAAATCTTTATGATTTTCTTGTTAATTCGTTCTAAATTTAGGAGTTTTATCTTTTAATTTCTTTATTTTCGCATGACTATTATTAGTCTGCTTTGTATTCTTAAGATCTTAAAGCCGCTTATTATAAGTGTTTCTCATGTTCTTAAGACTTTCTAAAATTTATTGTTTACTCAAGAGTTTTTAGCTCTTTTTTTAAGGCATCTAATCAGAAAAAATTACTTCTTCTTCAGTATCCTCCTAAATGATTGGTTAGACAACATCTGATTTTACATTTCTCTTAGGTTCATAAACATAAGAAATTTATTGATTTTGTAAGTCTGATCTTCCTTTACCTATCTTCTCCTAAACTGAAAATTAAGATTAAGCTTCTTTAACTTCTCTTTATAAGTTTTCAAGAAGGCTTTTTAATAATTGAGCTTCATAATCTGAAATCTTAATTTCAATGTAACTTGAATGAGTGTCTGAGGATATTTTAGAGATATGAGAATCCTTTTCTATTCCATCTAACAAGGTGTCAAAATAAGTTTCTTCTTGAAAATTGTTTTATTTAAATTGATCATTTTTTGGTTTTCTCTCCTTATTTTTTAAAATGAAGATCAATCTTTATAGTATGTGATCTTTCTCATCGGTAGTCATGTTAATTTATAGTTGTTATTGTTATTGCTATTGTTGTTGTTGTTGCATTTGCTATGAAATATTTGAAGTTAAAAATAATAGAAAATATATTTCTATTAGAAAATGCCTCATATTTATGTTTCATTGTATTATTAGAATTAAAGTAATAATTATCATAAATTAAGTAATACAAATAATTGGGAATCTTGTTAACAATGAAATTAAATGTTAAATATAAATATTTTGAATAATAATCTCACAAAGGTGCTTTTTATTTGATCTTTTTAATTCCAGACTTTTTACTTTTTGTTTGAGCTATTACGTATACATAAATCTTAATTCTCAAATAATATTCAATAATATGAATTATTTTTTGTTTAATATTATGAATAAGTTGTTGTTGCTTTCCTTAATTATTTCAATTTCTTTGGCTTCTCTTGATGATTAGGATCTCATCGAGAAATATTCAATCAAAATACACTAAAGAGGTAGCCATGCCAACTATCCAGAGAAAGGTGACTAAGTCAAGGTGCATTATACAGTAATATTAATTCAATACCTAAGGGTAAATTGCTCGATGGCACTAAATTCGATAGTAGCAAGGATAGAAATTAACCATTTGAATTCAGAGTAGGAGTTGGTCAAGTTATCAAATGTTGGGATGATGTTGTTTTAAATTTAACACTTGGTGATAAGGTCACAGTTATATGCCCATCTGCTACAGCATATGGAAATAGAGGAGCAGGAAGAGTCATTCCACCAAACTCAGATTTATAATTTGATATTGAAATGCTTGGATTTAGAGATTAAGAATTATGATGAATAATTATTGATGCAAATAAAATAAAGAGTATATTTACACAAACATATATTTTATTAAAAACATCATCAATTAGAATAATAATTAATTTTGATTGTTTTATTCGATTTTGTGTATATTTAGATTGTTTATTAACATAAAATCTGCCACTATGTAAATCCTAAAAGCTTAAGCAAATTTTATTTCATTTTTAATCAATGAATCAGCTTTTTTTCATATGAATTTGTACATTGCATTAAGCTTTGATAGGTCATAGGTACATTCAAGAGAGGTATTTCAATCTAATCAATAAGAAATATATATTTGTTATATCAAAGATTTAAAATATTGATGATTTAGATTATATTAAAGTCAGGGTTTCATTGAATTTCATAGATCTAAAACTCTTAACTTATTTTACACAATAACTGTATCTTTATTCAAACTCAGAAGTAATCTACTATAATTCATCTATTTAATTCAGCACTCCTAAAGTTTGGTTTCTATTTTTTAGAATTACAGTTCTCCTCCTAAATTAAGTATTATATTTTTAATAAATTCCTTTTTCCCTTAAACCTTTTAGCCTATCACCTCGTATTTTGATCTTTAATTTCTCTTATATTTCGGATTGGCATTTCGACAATATTATTGCAAAAATCAGTAAAAAAATAATTATAATTTATCAGCCTAATCAATAAATAGCTGGACAAATCTCTATTGCTTTAAAATTTCTTGATGTCTCAGTAATAAAATGTTTTAAACAATACCAAAGGATGAATAGAAGAATTTGGCCATTACAACATTTACTATATATATTTAATGAAGCAATAATTATTTCATATATTTTGATCTTAAAATAAAATTATCAGAATATGAAGGTAAATACTCAATTAAAAACATAAAATTTGAAAGTAATGTTGAAAATCTTCAAGGATGCAAAATAATTTTGATGATAGTTTAGAAAAATAAAAGAAAATGTTTACTTTAGAAGACATGATGAATTTTCCCTTCTTGTTACAATTTAAAAAGGTAAATTTTGATTTTGAATCATTTGAAAGGGATGAACAATGGATATTTAATTATTTTATGTTTAACATAATAAATTGCATACAAAAATGATAATTGTTTATTAAATGTTCTGGAGTTTGGTATGAAGGATAAAGTTTCAAGGTTTAGGCGTTGATTTGTTAATTATATTAAAAAGAAATTAATATTATTTGATCATTTTAATTGAAAGCATAAACTTTACGAGAATGTTATTATATATTTAAAATTAAGATCATGCAAAATATGGAAATAGAACTCCAATAATCTCCTGTCTTAAATAATGGAGATGAGAAGAAGAAAAATAATTATGTTCATATTCCAGTTTATGATGTGAAACCATCTTAGAATTACCCAAACTCAGAATAAAAAGTTGAGTCAGATGAATAAATAGTTTAAATAGATGAGCGGTGGTATGCTAAGAATGACAACTATAAACCATTATCAGCGGATCAAAGACCTGGGTTTATAAGAAAAGTATTTATTCATATAATATTAAACAAGGTTTACAGTATAATGATATTGCAATTAATATTGACAGTTGTAGCTTGCTGCTTCTCTTATTTCTGTATTCCATACCGAGATTTCCAAAATGAGCATTCAGGTTGGGTTTATTTGGCAATCGCAATAGCAATCATCATTGAATTGATTTTATTGTGGATACCCAAATATTCGTGGAGAGTACCTCACAATTACTTGTTTCTCTTCGTTTTCACACTTGCTGAAAGTTACGTTATCTCTCAACTTTGTAGTTACGTTTTCAACAAATATAGTGAAGAAGGAGGTATACTGAATTCTAAATTAGGATTTATTGTTTTGATGGCTGCAGCCCTTACTCTAGCTGCTGTGATTGGACTCACTCTTTATGCATGCAAAACCAAAAAAGATTTCACTACTAAAGGTATTTATAATACAAGATTATCCAAGGGGCATTCTTATTTATGGCAAGTACATCTCTATTTCTTTTTGCAATACTGTCAGGAGTGTATTATGATCAAGCAATGAGTTTACTCTATTCATTGATTTCCAGCTTACTCTTTGGAGTCTATTTAATATATGATACTTAATTAATAATTGGAGGAAGTGTAATCAATAAATTTAATGTAGACTCACAAATTATCAATTGATGACTACATTATTGGTGCCATGTTCATATACATTGATATTGTATACCTATTTGCTCACATAGTTTTAATTATTGTAGCATGTTTCAGATGAAAAACAAGAATGAAACTCATATTCATTACAATTTATTATGATATCTTTTTCTACCAACTTAATCTAACAGTTATTAAATAAATAAATCAATTTAAATAAACAAATCAAACATCTGTTTTAAATATTTCCTGTTTTCTCCCATCATCATTGTATATAGATTCACTTGAATCCGATACCATTTATATCATATTCCTTAATTTACTTTACAAATCTATCAATCTATCTATTTCAGCACAATGTAAGATTATTACCTGTTATTTTATTTAGAATTTCATTTACTTTTTATCAAAATCTTAATATTATTACTTGATTACTTCATTCATTCATCCGATCCAATTCGATTATGAGCAGAATCAATTTTTATTACAATCAACATATTATACAATTTTGTTTTAGATTTCTCTCTCTTATTACTGTTTTTTTATAATTTATTAATAATTCTATTCTAAATCACTATTTTAAGAATCTATTCTCTTCAGTTTTTATTCTGTAAATTATAAATTTTCCAGTTAAGAATTATAAACTTTAAAAATTCTTTATAATCCTTCTGTTACTTAACTAAAGCATTATTAAAATGAGTTTTCATTCTTTTATTCTTCTAATGAAAAATAATTTAAAAATAAATAATACATTTAATACTCTTCATCAAAAAATACAAAAATTGAACTTTTTATTTTCTATTCCAACCGTGTTTTCAAAATAAAATTATAAAGTTAAGTTTAAGTTTGAATTGCGATTATTAAGTTGTATTCTTAAAATTTTAGAAAGCTTAACCATTAAATTTTTTTTTTATAATAAATAAATTTCTTTGTATATTAAAATTTAATATTCACAAAGAATATGATTTAATCTTTATATCATCAATGACATAAATGACAGAAAATTCAATCTCATAAAAGGTAAAGTTTGGTTTGTTTAATTTCTTTTGATTAAGCATTTGGCTAATCGAATTAAAATTAATAAATATAATTGTAATTTGCATATTGGTAATAATACTTCTCATAGGATATTAGAAAGGACACATGTATATTCATAATGGTTTTATAAAGAAAAGGAATTAAAGATATGGAAAATTAAAGAAGGTTAATACTTATTAATTTAAGAGGAAAGACAAGATAGATATATCCAAGATTTGTGAAACATTCTTAGTTAAAGAGGAGTAACAACGAATCCCATTCTACTTGCGATATATTTCTTTGCTCATTAGATAATGGGTAGTTCATGGCTCTCCTATTGTGAATATTAATAGAATAATTTGTATCTAAAATTAATTTAAGAATCGGAGTTTTAGAATTATGTTAAGTATTCATTAACGATTTTAGAGTAGATAAATGAAGTATATTTGATATTTGAAACAATACAAAGAAATTGAAATGCTTAGAACTTTATAGGTAAATTTTTAAAAATAAAAAAAATTAACAAAAAGATAAAGTATTTTCTTTAGTTATTTAGAATCTATATAAATAAAATATTTGTATATGGTCATTGCTCTATTAAATTGATTCTTTCAAATTTTATTAAATTATCTGGTCAACATCAATCTAAAAATTATGGAAGTCTAATTTACTACTAAGGATCCAATGTAACTTTGTAGTTCTTAATATATGACTTAGAATAATTTCTCCTACCTGCTAAAGAGGCAGATATAAAATTCTTTATGCTCTTTGATTGGATTTAAATTCAACAATCTCTAATAGTCAAATTTATTATCATAAAACTTATTTCACCATCCTGAGCACTTCTGTTAAACCATTCAAGACTTACAAAATTTATTCTCTAATAAATTTCAAGCTTCCTTTTCAAATACTAAAAAACATAGGATCATAATTTAAAGCATTAACTAATGTTCCTTAGACTGCAGCAAACAGAGTGATAAGCATAAAATTCATTTCTAAATTTCAATTAATTCTTTGAATTATTTTTATTAAGCATCAACATAGATATTATCTATGCGAACTTCTGATAATGTTTCTTATTTTGATGGTAACAAAAAAAACTCTCCTTTCACAACACTGCCAATTAATGCTCACATAAAAATCTTTCATTTGCATATCTTCTAACTATGTTATTAAATCAATCATCTCTTTTAAAATATGATTACCTTAGACAATAATATCATTTAATTTTGTAAAAAGAGAGTTTTCATTATTATCTCATTTGATGTTTTTGTTAAGAAATCTACCAAATCAGATTTTCCTCCTTCTCTAATTTCTCAAGTAAAGATTTGATTTATTATAGGAGTTCTTTATTTTAATTTTTTTAAAATAAATGCCTCACCTAATAAATTTCTTTCTTGTTTTTCCTTTAATGGCTCACAAAATAATATAAAGGTTGATGATACTTCACTAAAATAATTTTTTGAATTATTTATTAAAATTCTGGCTTGTCTTCATATGGTTATGGAATTTGTCAGATTGACTAAGGAAAATACATATTTATCCCTAATTCAATTATATAGCTTAATTTAACTAAAAATCTTAGAACAATGCTTCCAATAACCAAGAATCAACTTTCATATTATATTAGTAATGAGTTTATTCTAGGGCAATTTTTCAATCTTATATTTCACAAGAAAACTCTCAATTATTTCAGATAATGCAACTAATACTACATTTTACTAAATCATTTTGGATCAAATCTGAAGTTCAACTTGGCAATTCGAAATATTTTTTTGTTAAAAATCACGACCTAAAATATCATAACTATGAAGTTAAACGTAAGGCTCCATTTTTTGATACTTGATCCTACCAAAGATAATATTAATCAAATATACCATCCGACTAGGTATAATATAATGAAGAAAGTTAGAGTAGAATAATAAAAATATAAAAGATGCTCCTCTTTCTGTTTAAATTATTATTCAATGTTAATCAAACTTAATATTTTTATTTGATTAACATTTCTGAATTTAGGGATAGAATGCATTTCAAGAATTGGACTTAAGAAAATAAATGACCTAGATCATGTAAAATTGAAAGGTAGTAATGCAAAAATAAGAGTTTGAACAATAATGAACTATGTATGATATCACAATCATATTGTAAACTTATTCATGAATTTATAGATTGCACTCATATAGAAAATGAGGAATTAATGTAATGCACTCTAACAAAAATCATGAAAAGAAAAGGCTGTATTCTTAACTGTTCAAAGAAATAAATATCTCTAAATTATAAAATATTGATGAAAGAGAATAAAATTAAATACAGAGATATAGACGAAACATTGTAAATTAAAATTTTTATCCTTACGAATCTTAACTTTATATGGCTTCCTCATTCTTTAGTCTCTTCTTCCTGAAGAAGAAACCAATAATTAATTTAAAGTTAGTACTGCTAATAAATCTATTATTATAGGTTAATTGAAAAAATTAATCTAACCAACGATTATATCCAAATTTGCATCTAATTTATAAAAAAGTCCTCATTTGCAGGATTTGAACTTAAGCAGGGAAACCCTATGGGTTTTTAGTCAATTACCATAACTACTTGGCCAAGCTGACTTCTATGCTGTATTTATCTTCAAATTATAAGCCAATAAAATTTTTAACATTAGTATCTTTTTATAGAATATTAATAAGTTAGAGAATAATATGACTAAATAATGCCTCAAACATTCATTTAGTTTTGAAGATGATTTCTAATGAAAGTTATAGGGTGAATTAATATATTTAATAAATATGACTTTATATAAATAATTACGCATTTAAACAAATAAATTTAATATTATTAGAACTAAGTGATATAAACAATGAAATGTCGAGTTTTCTTTGTGAATTTTACTATTATATTAATAACAATTTGTAGGTCTCAACTAATTTATAGTAATTTTTATGGAACGTTTACATCTGCAAATTTTGGTATGTTATTGTTATATTTAGATTGGAATATTTACTAAAGGGATACTCATGGTTATACTGTGATAAATTGTGGATTAAAAAACGTATTAATTATGTCTGAGTGCACAAACTACTCTTTTAATAGCTTAACATCAAAAACTTTTGAGCTTCCATCACATGATTTAATCAACCTGTCATTTAGACTTTGGATGTAATTATAAAATTATTTAAATAGGGTATACTCTGTTAACTATTCGTTCTATTTGTATGTTGACAACGAACTTTATCTTTTAATCTAAACTTCACTACACAGTTTTACAAACGATTGTTCATCATATGGATCATATAAAATATCTGAAAATATAGTTCACTCAAGTTCTTCAGTTTAAATTACAATGGTCTCTGATTGGTAATCATGGGGATTTTCTGAATTTAATTTAAATGCCATAAATATTACTCAAAAGATTTGGGAATTAGCCTATTAATCGCTTAATCAAATAGTTTTCTTCTCCATATCTTAAGATGATGGGTGGATGACTAATGGCATAGTTTCCTAGTAGAGAGAACAATGTACAGGTATTAATAATAAATATAAATAGATTTCAATTATTTAAGATCAACAGGGAATTATTTTATTAAAGATTTCGTTTTGTAGGTTCATAATAAGATTAGTTTGAATTTAAAAGTCTTAATATTCAATAAAGCTTCACCAACTATATCTATCAAAATTGATAATTAATAAGTAGCAACTAAATCTTCAAATTCTTATGTACAATCTTCAGCTACAATATGCAGCAAGTTCATCGTTATATAGCTATAAATATCAGACTTTGTGCATAATAATCAAAATCTGAGAATAGAGATTACAACTTCAGCAGATGGCACTATTTCATGGTTTGGAATAAGAGATTTTTCATTATTTACTGATATAATTGAAGATTATTAATGTAAAGACCTTAATATTTTGCCATTTGATGGATGCTTCTCTAATCAATACGATTGTAATTTTGGTTGTAGTAATTGTGTAAAAGGAATCTGCATCAATTGTTTAGATGGATGGTATTTACACACAAAAAATACTTGTATTCCCATCTGTGGTGATAATATGTTAATGTTAAATGAAGTTTGTGATGATGGTAATTCTATTCCATATGATGGTTGTCATAATTGTTAATTTTCTTGCCCATTAAATTGCATTCTTTGCGTTTTTGGAACATGTTAAGAATGCCAATAATCCTATTTTTATATAGAAAATAGGTGTATATCTGAATATCAGATTAGTGAAAACTTTTTTGAAAAAATTGAAACAGGCTTATTTGAAAATTGGATTTATGATCTCGAAAAAAATGACTTTTAATCTGAAAACCTTGTTGAACAATTAGAAGCTGGTTTTTTCAACAATTGGTCTAATTATCTTGAAAAAAATGACTATTAATGTTATTAAAACCTTGTTGAAAAATTACAAACTGGTTTTTTGAATAATTGGGCTAATTATCTTGAAAAAAATGGCTATTAATGTTAAAACCTTAGAAAACAATTAGAAGATGATTTTTTCAACAATTGGATTAATTCTCTTTATCAGCTTGACTCATAATCCGAAGACCTTATTGAACAATTAGAAACTGGTTGTTTCAATAATTGGTCTATTTATCTTGAAACAAATGACTATTAATGTTATTAGAGCCTTGTTGAAAAATTACAAACTGGATTTTTCGATTATTGGACTAATTATCTTGAAAAACATGGCTTTTACTGTGAAAACCTTATAAAATCATTAGAAGCTGTTTTTCTCAACAATTTGACTAATTATCTTAATCAAATTAACTTTTAATCTGAAAACTTTGTTGAACAATTAGGAACTGGTTTTTTCAATAATTGGTCTATTTATCTAGAAACAAATAACTTTTAATGTTATTAGAGCCTTGTTGAAAAATTGTAAACTGGTTTTTTGAATAATTGGACTAATTATGTTGAAAAAAATGGCTTTTAATGTGAAAACCTTATAAAACAATTAGCGGCTGATTTTTTCAACAATATGTCTAATTATCTTGATCAAATTGACTCATAATCCGAAGACCTTGTTGAACAATTAGAAACTGGTTTTTTCAACAATTGGTCTAATTATCTTGAAAAAAATGACTATTAATGTTATTAAAACCTTGTTGAAAAATTACAAACTGGTTTTTTGAATAATTGGGCTAATTATCTTGAAAAAAATGGCTATTAATGTTAAAACATTAGAAAATAATTAGAAGATGATTTTTTCAACAATTGGACTAATTCTCTTGATCGGTTTGAATCATAATCCGAAGACCTTATTGAACAATTAGAAACTGGTTTTTTCAACAACTGGATTAATTATCTTGAAAAAAAGGGTTTTTAATGCCAACTTACTTATCAATAACAATTAATACTGTAATAATCTTAATAGTATAATTTAAATCAAAATAATTTATATGGATTAGACATAATTTCAAGTTTCTCTATTTGTTATTTTTCTGATAATTTAATTATTTAAGAGTAATAATAAGATAGTAAAACTGAATGTAAAAAAGGTTATAAATTATCACCCAGCAAAAGACAATGTGTTGAAATTTGTAATTGTTAAGATTTAGTTAGCTTATAAAATAATGATTGTTATAATTGTGTATAAAACTGTTAATTAGAATGTTTAATATGTCTTTAAGATAAATGCTATGCTTGTTTTGATGGATGGTAGTTGGTTGATCATAAATGTTAGCAAATTTGTGGAGATAAATAAGTCGCATTATATACTTATGAATAGTGTGATGATGGAAATCAATCTATTGATGATGGATGTCATGAATGTTAATTTTAATGCGGATTATTTTGTTAATTTTGCGATAAGGAATTAAATTGCCTCAAATGTGAATAAAATTTCAATTTGGTAAACAATATATGTCAACCAATATGCGGTGATAAAATAGTAATAACCGGATTAGAGGAATGTGATGATGGAAATGAAATTAAATATGATGGCTGTTATGAATGTTAATTTTAATGTAGTTTTGGCTGTAAAGTTTGTGAATCTGGCAAATGTTAAGATATATGTAAAGTTGAAGAAGAATTTATAAATGGTTAATGTATTCTGATAGTTCCATTTGAAAGTGAAGAAATTGAATCAATTCAATCTGAATGCAAGAATAATTGCTTAGTTTGCGATGGGGCTAACTGCCTCCTATGTAAACGAGATTATATTTTGGAAAATAATAAGTGTTTCTCATGTGGAAATGGGATTATAACCAAAGATGAAGAATGTGATGACGGAAACAGGATTAACTCTGATGGGTGTTCAAAATAATGTAAAATTGAAAAGGATTGGAATTGCATTGACTCCTTATCATTTTTAAGCTAATGTTTCCCTGTTGCTAAAATTTCGATAGTATTGTTAAATTCAACTTTTAACTCACAATATGTTAAATTATCATATTCTAATTAAGTTAAACTGAATTAATAAGATATAAACTTTTTAGATTTTAATGTTAATTCAATTAATGTTGATCCCACTTATTATAACATTAGTATTTTTCCTGTAATGGAAATAGTCTCAAATGAGACCCGATTTATCAATTATGAATTAAAAATTGAAATTTATTAGCAACTCTCACAAAATCCAATTTTGGATGTTAAGGTCGATCTTATTTTATTGGATGAAAACAATTTACCAGTACCACCATCATCAGCATAAATTGTATTAACCGCCCCTTTAGTTTTAAATCAAGCATAAGTAGAAGTTTCTCAGAATTTCTAAAAATTTGGGTACAATGTTATGCTTGCATTAGGAAGTTTTGCTATTTTTGCATTTCTTCTTGGGTCTCCCTAATAATTTTTTGAAATCTTAGATACATTATAATTTTACTCATATTTGAAGTTTATAAATGTAGAATATCCAGAAAATCTTAATATTTATTTTAAATCTTCTGAATTGATATCTGTGGACCCGATTTTATAATTTTTGGGAATTAAAGATAATTTTGAAGATTAGTTAGGGGCTAATATAATTTAGTGTTTTGGCAAGTTTTATCAGTACTAAATTAATGCTGATTTAATAACTAATATTTATAGTTAATTTATGTAGGTCATTGTATTCTTTTCACTATTGATTACTTTTAAAATTTATCTGAAGTATTGCTTAAAATTTTTTTTTACCTCATATTTCATATATTTTTTTAGAAAATGGAAGTCAAAAGTAATTGAGTGGATTGCAATTAAACTATATTAAATTAATCAACATATAAAGAAATATTAAAGTTTTGACATCATAAATTTTCTAATAAATTGTTATTATGCTAATGCTTGGGATTTAAGTTTCAAAGTTTTATTGTATTTAACCTTTAACAAATAATCAGGAATTAGAACTTTACTCTCATATGTAGTATGTCTGATATATTTTATAATAGGAATATGTATTGTAGTTAGAAATTTTAGGATACACAAAAATATCATAGATTTATAAAAATTAAGAAATTAACAGCATTAATCAATTATTGTATTAAAAAAGTTTATCTTTGTGTTAATTTTAATTAGAGTGCAAGACTGTTCTATAACATAATGCATAATGCTCTCTTTTTCCACTTGTATGTATATAGGGTTTATATCGATTCTCAAGATTACAACTACTAACTTAGAAATGATGAATATCTTTTGTGTGGAGATTTCGGTAATATTATTTACATTATTTAATTTGTCCTTTTGCAAAGATTTTTTAAATCATTTTATTCCTGATTAAATAATAAGAATCGGGTTTTTATAAATAGGTTGCTTAATGTTAGGATTATTAGGTCCTTTATTTAATTGTGTTTATCAGTTTTATAATAAACTTAAATAAATTTATATATTAATCAAGACAAAAAAATTTTAACTCAAAAGAGCGATTCGGAATATAATGTTTGAAGTAACACATTGAAATTAGAATACTAATACATTATTTATATTTAATAGATTACGATTATTTTTGAAATATGATATTTTTGAGTTTATCCATGTACTTATAGGTATTTAAATACCTATATAAAGTTTTATTTTATAGATATATAATTATAAATATATATATTCAGTTTTAATAATATTTATATTATCATAATAATATTTAATAGTTAATTCGAAATCTTTCTTTTAATTTTAAAATACAAAGAGAAGAATTGGAAATATAATTGAATATTGTTGGAATATTTGTTTTAGAAAATCCACTTAAAGATGATACTCCTTAAGTAATATAACTTTAAGAAACAGTGGATGGATATCAAAGTGATATCAAGAGATAGTCCGTTAACTACTATATATTGTGCTAGAATATCTTGAATCATAGATTTAAACTCTGAGGTTGTGACCTTAGATTATAATTTATCAAAAAGGCTGTCATTATTAAGTTTTTAGAAGTTTAAAATTTTTTTAAGATTTATCTTTATTGTTATAGCTGAATTTTAAACGGTTTACGTTGGATTCATCTCTAATATTCCCTTGTTGATTTTCCTTTGCATTTCCTCCCCTTCCACTGAATTAGCAGAATTTCTACCTTTAGATGATCAATTCTCCTATTAAAATCAAATTCAAATCTATACAAACATTTTCTTTGCAGTTTTAGGGTATCATACTAATTTAAACAATATAGCCTATTAATTATGGCATCCTCACTACATCAGATAGATTTTTTGAATATCCTAAACCTATTGAAAAGTTTTAAAGACAAGGGGACTTGAATTCAATCATGTTTTTAAGGTTTATGTATTACTTCATGTCTTTTTGAGTTCCTATACGCATCAAAACCTTTTAAAGTCAAATACTCTACAATTATCTTACTAACATTACGAACCACTCTTGGGTTTGTTGTTGCTATTGTACCTTTTATATTGCCTCAAAGCGCTACTTGGTGTGATTTAATCAATATAAAGAGGATATGTAAAATTTATAATAATTATTAATTTAGTTTCTAAGGGTTCAATCGGGTTGTTTTAACTGTTGTCATTGTAACATCTTATTTTGGATTCTTTTTCTAAACTCTTCTTTAAAGATGTATACCATCAATGTATAAAATAACACAGAATCAAGAACAATATTTCACAACAAATATAACAACTTTGATTATTTTAAATTACTAAATTAAATGAAAATGTTAACTTCTCATTCTAGAAATAATTTTATCATTCTCAGCTTACGGGCTTGGGCACTTAAAATTTATAATTAATTATAAATCCGTTTTATTAATTTTATTAAAATGCTTATTTTGTTGTTATTAGTAGGAACTCTTAGCCAAAGCACTTAGTATTTATGACTAAAAATTATTAGAGCTTTTTAGTTACATAACAGTTGATGATGCCTTATCTGATCTGTTAAAAACATAACCAAAAGGATATAAACCATGGCACCCATCATTGAATGTGAGATTACGTGTCTAAGAAGAAGAAAGAACTTAAGAATTTTATTCATTTGTATAATAGCAAATCAAGATCAAATAAAGAGGAATCAACACATAGCATCCCATGCAACTTGTGTAGGTTTAAGGTCCCGAATTCTTTGAGAACTTGGTTTGCAAATGCAGTTTTTCACCTGCAGAAGCAGCATAAGAAGAGGAAGAGGGAGGAGAAGGAGGAGGTGAAGAAGCAGAAGGTGGAGCATGTGAAGCTGAAGGCAGTGGAGAAGGTGGAGAAGGGGAAGGAGAGGAAGTTGAATTTATTGTCAAAAAGACAAAAGCTCATGGGAAAGACTTCAGTTTTCTATAGGTAGGAACTTAAAGTAATTTAAATTAATATATACCTCAAACCTAACAAGTTGATCAATTATCACAGTACGATTAAAGACTACAAGCTCAAGAACTATTAATCAAGCAATTTATGGAAAAATAAAATTAGTTGACTCAACAAATATCCATGTTGCAGCAGAGTTAGGGAGTATTTGTACCATCTCTTTTTCCATAAGTTGTAGATCCCAATTTTCTAACTCCTCAATAATAGGCACAACTTGTTTATATGATGTAGCTGCAATAGCAATAACAATAAATTCAATAACAACTACTTTAATAGTAAATGTTGAACCCATTATCATTCTAATCAAGTCCAACTATAGTAAAGAATGATAATGCCTAAACATAATAGTTTCAGGTTCCATTCTAATAGCCACTTGCTTATACTCAGCCAATCACTTAACCTATAATAAACCCTTAGATATTACTTTAATAATAAATCCTCTAATAATAGTAATTGACTTAGCAATAAATTCCTTAATAATTAAATCAATAGCAACTTCTTTAGCAATAGTAGTAATTATTGAATTAGCAGTAAATACCATAAGTTTAGCCCTAACAAATTGGATAATCCCAAATTCATTAATAGATTCCTTAATTTTAATAATAATAAATCCCTTCAACACTTACGTAGACCTAATAATAATTTTAAGGTATTCCACAATAGCAAGTGTAGCAATAGATTCCTTAATAGGTTCAATTTTAAAACATACAATAATAAGCATATCAATAGATTCCTTAATAATAAGTTTAACAATAGTAATAATAAATACCATAACTTTAATAATAAGGGCAATAATAATAAAATGGATTCTTGTAACAACCATAGTAATAATAATAACCTGTTCCTTAATTCGATTAATTGGTATTTAATATTATTTAATTTAGTTGGCTCAATAAATGACCTAGCCATTAATGCAGCCTTAATTTTTACAAAAACAACCACAAATCATAGGAGGAAGATGATATATAAGGATAAATTTAATAGTACATAAATATAAGATATATATAATTTATTCTTAATACACTATTACAAGATCATTAGTTAATTTAAATTAACATATTTTAAGGGATAATGAAAATTAACAAAAAAAATCTTATTTTAATTTTACAAAAGCTCAGATTTCTTTTTCAAAATTAATCATCTCTTTATTTCCTTGAACAATGATTTTTTTTATTTAAAAAATTAAGAAGGCTCAACCCTACTATTTATCGTTGATAATTCTGGTCAGGTAACTTTGAGGGTTCAAAATCATTAGAATTTGAAAATGACATCAGTTCTTATTTTTAGAGTTTATTTATTTCGCATAAGCTACGAATGCCCTTAAGTGCACAAGGAATGCATTACAAATAGAAATCTTTATAGAAAGGCCTATAGACTATCTGATTCATCTTTTGACTTATAATGCTCAATTCTATTTAAATCTACTTTCCTTATTTATTGTATTGTTCTTATCTATCCTTATTATAATATCAAAAAGCACCTTTTTTGATAAATAGAGTGAAAGCCTATTTGATTATTTATATTCATATATCACATTGTTAATTTAGTTCCAAGAGTAAATGTTATTTGAATAGCTTCCTCTTGAATATTTTTAAACTAATATCTATTGCTATAAAGAAACGAACAATGATTTTAATCTATCCTATTAGTTTCTTTTTCTTAATTTAACAATTTAATAATATTAATAAAAATGTATTTATTACACAATTATAATTATTGAAGTTAAATTAAATCAATTCATCTTAATAAACCCATAATATTTTATTTTTAATAAAGTTATATAAGACAATTTTTTTATATCCAAATTTCACTTACCTGGCGAGCACTGCTGATGATCATGTAGATCAGTAGTGTGGGGTTAAGCTGGCCATCGCACAACCGGCGTCAGTGAGGCCCCAAAACTTTCCGTTTGGAAAGGCTTTATCGCTCAATTTCTGCTAGTGAGGGGAAACCCTCGCACCTTATTTCATAAAATTAAACAAACGAAATAACATATTATTATATAGATATTATTTACTTTGAGTTCTTTTTTGTTTTTATCAAAATAATTTATACTAATGAATATAATATAATTACTGTGATATAAGAAGGTTATAAGGAGTAGTCTATGTGAAAACAATAAAGAATATGATGGTTCTTTTGAATTTAAACTGAGAACTTGATGTTACTAGCTCAATGAATGAGTTTATAATTTTGCTGTTAAAGGAAATGGAAAATTTAAATTTGACTAAAGTATAGGTTTTATTGGGTGAATTAATAAAAACAAATAAACACTGGTTTTTATGAGTAAAATATTAAATTTAATTCATAAAGAGATTTGAGCAGATTCAGCTTTAATATTAAATTTAAATATAGTAAAATTAGATGGGCTGTTGCTAATAAAAATCACCTAATCCCAAAATAGATTAAAATCGATACTAATCAAATGCAAATACATGTAACTCAGTGTGTATATGACATTTAGAGACGTAATAGAAAAGACAAAGTTTGGAGGTTTATGATCCAATAATAGGGAAAATGGTTTAGGTGCCAATTCTAGTGCCTGCCTATAAAAGTAGTATATTGAAGAGGAGAAGCACACAGATGACTATAGGATAATGAATCCGCACAGATTTGATAATATTTATATATATAATATTGTATTAGAAATTAATGGAACTGAGGCTTCCTCAATATACCTAATTTTTTATAACCATCAACAGTATGGTGAGTGACAAGGTTATTAATAAACAGTAAAAAACTGAATTAGAATAAAGCATTTTAAGAAAAGAGAAAAACCTAATGGAGATTGTTAGCAAATATGGGAGCAAAGACATGTAAAATAAATACAGAATATCCGAATTAGGGAATAATAATTTCGTGAAAGATTAGTTTAGTATTCAAACCACAGATAGAACAAAGTCTTAGTACCTCATATCAAAATTTTAGATAAAAACTAAAGTAACAAATTTAGTGTTAGTGCCCGACAAATTTAATTTTAATAAGAATATACAACAGTATAGAACAAATAAGAAGTATTACTTGAATTAAACAATAAAAGTCATTATGTCCCTTCATTCTGCAACTGATTGAGTAGCTTGACACAATGCTCTCAATACATACGACAAACGGAGGACATTTAATTCCTACTGATGCCTAGAAGTTAACCCAATTAAGGGATTAAATTAACTAGAATTTGGGAATCCAATACGATTAAGAATTAGATAATGAATCCTCTGTAAGCTGTAGAAATGCTAGTGATTGTGTTAGAGTAATATAGGAGTATTAAGATGAAAAATCGGATTAAGTAGATACTAGTGTTCAGTTAAAATGTAAATATTATATTCAAATAATGAATTAAATTAAATAAACTTATGCTTAATTAAAAGTATAAAATAATTCATATATTTTAGAGTCTATTTTTGGGTAGTTTACATACACTTTATTTACTTATGTAAGAGGAATTGTCATACAATAACTTAGTAAACGTTGTTAAGTCACTGATTAAAGAATTGACAGATTCAGATGAGATATACTTTTTGATTAAAAGAAATGAGGAGTGGGATTTCTATTCTACAGAGAAAGACTCTATCAAATAGATCGAGAAAGAGAAGCAGTAAGTATTCTTCTTGAACTTTTCACACTTGAAACCGAACATTATTTATAATTTTAAGAATAAAGAGAATAAAACTGAATTATTGGAACAAGTATTGGATTTGAATTCTTAGTTTACTGAACTATCATTAATAAGATTCATGAATCAGAATAAATAAGAGACATTTTTCTTTTTCTATTGGAACAAACCATGTAGAAATACATTGTTAAGAAGATTTATCAAGTACAATATTTAATAATATAAAACAGTGAGGCCAACGAATACAGGTTCAAAGATGAAGTCTTAAGCTTAACGAATTTCTTGATTGATGTAATTTTGTAAGCCAGAGTGCAATACTTTAATCCAGTGTAATTTGCAGATTAGATTTTCGACATAGTTTTAAGTTTTGTTGAATCATCTAAATATATCTTATTTGATGAAATTTTCAGGGCTTTGAATCCTTATTTTAAAATTAAGAAGGATCATATTTCATCTGAGGATGGGCGATTGAATGTACACTCTGATAATTCTGTGAGAATTGAAATGGAATGCAGGAATCCTATTGCTTTAATTTTGGAAGAGTTCTATCTTACTAGACAGGATCATTAATACATTTACACAGGAATATTGAATTTGAAATCTAAGTATTAGAGACATTTGAGATTGTGTCATGAGAAAATAGCATATTACAAGTACTTTTTAAGATCTTCAGATACTATTCTATTTGATTTTGATAAGAATGGAAGACTCCTCTTTTTGAATCACTACATTTGGGAGACTCTCAAGTCGAAATACAATATTTAATTTACTCCGGATAAGAGGACTCCATACTATAAAGAGTTGTTTTTGGATGAAAGAATATTAAAGCACATAGATCTGGATGTATTTACAATGAAAAAGAAGAATGAGTACATTTAGAATGAGGATTTCGAAATATTCCTGAAGGTGGTTGATCAAGTTTATAAAGGATTTGTGATAATATTTCATCTATAGGAGGGATCAAGGATAACTGAATACATTAAGAATTTGAAAGATGAAGAGTCGCATTTTGAGGATGAAATCAAATAATCAATTCAACGTTCATACAACAAGCATTAAACCTTTAAATTCATTTCCCAATTACAAAAATCAAACCCCAGTGTTAAAAATTCATATATTTCTTTGTTTATACCAGAGGAATAATAATCTTTGGATAATTTAGAACAATAATATGAATCCAATAATTCATTTTAGTCCTTTACATCCAAGAAACCGAGGTTGAGTATTCAAATGTTAAGCAAAACAATCAAGGCATTTCGTTATTAAGCAGCTAAATTGCGCATAAAGTCCATAGAATCAGCATTGGAGATTGAGGAGGATGATGATTTGGATAGCTTATATTAAGATGGCACAATTGATAAATTAGAATTTAATATTTTCTCTGTAATTATTTTAGATATATTGATGCATAGTATAAGGACAATATGAAAACGAAACTAGTGTATCATATCATTAAGAAGAATGATTGGATTGAGAATTACGATATGAATAGGGATGTTCTAATGAAATTTATAAAGGAGGTCGAGAGAAAATATAACAAAAGGAAGAATCCATTTCATAATTTTGATCATGGTATAACCGTGATGCAGAGTTGTAATTTCCTATGTTCTTTGCCAAGAGCCCACGAATATATAAGTGAGATTGTGTATTTTGCAACTGTGATTTCAGGGTTATGTCACGATATTTCTCATACAGGAAGGACGAATCAATTTGAAATCAATAGCAGAAGCAAATTGGCCACAAGATACTTGGACAAGAGTGTAATCTATATGATTAAATTGTTAGCCATTGGAAAATCATCATGCCGCAGTCACTTTGAAATTGTTTAAATAGGATAAGTACAATATATTATAGGGGTTGAATGCTGAGGATTTGGCAATTTTCAGATAGACTCTAATTGAGAACATTCTATTCACAGATATTAAATAACATTTTGGATTAATAAAGGATTTTGAGTAAAGAGTGAAGGAAGGTAAAGAAAATTCGGAGAGAGCCTTTGGATAGGTGGATGGTGATGTAAAGTTGTATACTGGAATGATTGTTCATACCTCTGATTTTAGTGGTGCTGCAAAAGTGTTTGAATTGTCGAAGGCGTGGTCATAGAAAGTCAACATGGAGTTTTAAGCATAATTCGATGAGGAGGGAACTCGCAAGCTTACTTCAACGCCATTTATGAAGGACCTGCACAAGCAAGAAATAATGGCAAAGAATGAAATGGGATTTTTTAAAGTCATTGTCAGACCGTTATGGGCTAGTTTAAATGAATTTTATGTATTTTTATGCTGGATCAACATTTATAGGATAAACAATTACAGAATGTTATTGACAATGTAGAGAACACTATAATTAATTGGGAGAAGATCTATCACACATACAATGAACAAGCGAAATAGGGTTGAACTGTAAATTGCATATTTCGTTTTTGAAATATTTATTTATATATTTATAATAAATGAGTGAGAGAAGAGAAGAGGATACCACTCTTGTGCAAGCAGCCATCCCAGCTGCCTTGGAAGGAGCTAAAAAGGCTGAGGAAATGGAAAAGAAGATAAAAGAGTATGCATGATAGAAGATATATTAATTTATAGAGAAGGTGGATAAAAGCTTTAAGAAGCTGAGAGACAAGCAGACGAATAGATTGCTAAGGCATAAGAAATTATAGGCTTAACTGGGAATTAAGCTCAAGTTGCGTAGTAAAAGTCGTTGGTTGTTGCTGCCTCTTAATATCTGGCTGGAAGTTTGTTATCGATGTTAATTCTTCAACTTGGTTTCTTCGGATCCATTCTTACATTTATTCCATTCTTAGAATAATTGACAATTATCCTATACCTTGTTTCCATATTAATTGTTCAATTCTGTCCAGGCTCTGTTGACAAAGTAGACAATTAATACATTTATTAGGTTCCTAAAAATTTTGGATTTTGCATAGTTCACACAGCCAGCAAAATATTATTGATGATATACCTTACACTTCATTTTGAATCAATCAAATTCGAATTAATACAATTAGTATTTGGAATTGTCATTCTATTCCTATTGTTCCAAATTAAGAAGGGAATAGGTATCCAAAATATTACATTTTTTAGCTGAAAATCAAGATATTGCTCTAGTTGTAAAGAAATAATTCTTCACAGTTTTGATAGTATCAGCGGTTATTTCAGGATTCTTGGGATTATTGACAAGATCAAACTTATTCATTACTGTTATTTTAATAGTTGTGGGAGCTGGATATACTTATTATTTATAATTGGCTTTGTAAAGATTCGGGGATCACAAGTACTTGTATTTGGACAAGAATGACTTGTACATGGGAGCTGCTTAATTGGATGCAGATCTATTCTTATGGTGTAAATTGGTTGGATATCATTGCATTAAGAGGAATGAGCAAGGAGCCTACGTTCCAAATTTAGAATTTGATGAGGAGAACAAATAAAAGGAACCAGAAAACTAAGAATAAAACAAGATCTGATATTTTCATTAAAGAATAAAATAAACATATCATTTTATTTTTATATAAATATATTATAGATATGATTTAAATAATTATTTTTATATGTTTGATAAATTTTGCATTAGACATTCAGATTAAATTCTAACTCATTTTTGTTCCAATCAATTGTGTCCTCAATTTCTTACCTTTTATTGTACTCAGTGTGAGATCAAACAATGCAATAAAAATTATCATTTGCAATAATTTGACAATTTAAGCCATTTCATCAATAAATTGAGTTTGCCCAATTTTGGTAATTTATTATGGGATCAACCTTAGACACCAAATAAATTGAGTATTGCAAACAATAGATGAACAAAATAATTAGTAATTTCAATACAATCTAGGAAAAGATCATCAATGATTATGACAAGGCAATCGAGAAAATAATAGAATAGTATAATATCTTTTTAATTAAGCATTTAGAATAGAAGTAGTTCATTTAAGACTGAAATCATCAGCTAAATAGATTTCCAAAAATAATACATGATAGATAAATTGACAGAATTCCAAGACACTATGGACAAGCATTATAATACATACAAATAATCTTATGATTAGATTAAATCGATTCTTAATGCCTAAGAAAGCAATGTTCACATCGAGGAACATTACAGATAGGTTGACATGAACTCATTATAAGAATATTATAATGTATTGTTGAGAATGCAACCTGAATTCGAGGTTTTGGCAATAGAAAATAGCTTGTAAATTACAAAGGAGCAATAGATTATCGAATCATTTAATCATAATATCTACAAGGAATTTTAAGATAAAATCGTAGAATATGCTGAAAATATATTAACACTGCTGTGGAGCAAATACTATTCAATGACCTCCAATATCCATTTGTATGACAACAAAAGTATATTCTAAATGCATATCATTAGCATAAAGCATTGCTTAATCTGAGATGATTGAAAATATTAGAATTAGCAGATCCTCGTCATCCAACTCCTATTCTGTGTTTAATGAAATCGATAATATTATAGCCATGGGACAACAATTCAACAACACCAACACATCTATCAAACTCAAAAGTTAAACCTATGGATATACCAAATTTAATCTGATGACCTAAGCACAACTTAGTATCAAACGCAATCATTTGGATAATTAATAACAATTGCCAATCATCACTCCTCATTGTATCTTAGTCATTAAGAATTAACATATCATTTTGACTGCAGGAGATAGCAACACAATCTATGTTTGGATCCACAAGAAAGAGTCCAATCTATGGAGATTAGAATCACAATTAGCTTTGTAGAGCAAAGAACAACAATATATTCAATGTATGGAATTACTCTACAATCCATTTATTAGTGAGTCAAGAAACAGTAAATAGAGTTTTGCAAATCTAAAGGTTCTGTTGAATCCTATTATCGCAATTTGTGGTTAGAATAACATCTACATTGTGCAATTCGATATTATGACTAATCAAATTACCATATAGTGCTAGTATACAATCAAAGACCAAAAGGAGTAAGAAATACATACTGTGCAGCAGTGTTAAACTATGGGTAGTTATAATTATTTCATTATTGGCATGGAGAAAGGAACCATGATATTATTTAATTATATTATCAGTATCGACAACACTTTTACTATTAAAATAGATTAGATTATCAAATAACACAAGGATTGCATTACAAGCATTGAAATAATAGGTGATCAATTAATTGCAGTTGCAAGCAATGATAGATCTGTTTCAATTTGGCAATATTTTAATAATAAACTAAGGTTATTGCCAATCAAGTTAAACAGGTTCTGGGAAGACATTCCATGTCTAAGATAAGTTTATACCAATTCATTTATCACCTTTGATTCAAATTTCAATATAACATAGTGGTATTTAGAAAATCAGAATAAAATTGTTATTATTAACAGTCTCTAGTCTAGTAAATTGAAACAAGAAGTCTAAGAGGCAGTTATCATAAATAATCCAGATAATGCTTAAGATTTTTGTATCTTATTACTCATTAGAGAATAGACAAATACCAATAAGATTATTATTTTGGACAGATATTTCTCAGTTGTATCATAGGAGTCTCTACCTCAATAATTTCAAAGTTATTTGAGCATCCCAAGGAAGAAGCATAACCTTTATATTACCAATTATAAGATGAGGATTATCAATGATTTAGTGCCTAATAAAGGGTTCAGTTCGTTTGTTGATGTTAAACAGAATGAGAAATAGCCTAATTAATAATAATAATAATCTTTTTCTTAATAATAATAATTGAACTAGAATAAGAAGGTTAATCTGGCTATTATCAACAATAATAAGACAAATTAACATTTTATTGAAATTTCTTACATTATAGGAACTGACTGAATTGATGTTTATTATGTATAATAATGGCATGTATTTAATAAGCATTCTTCTTAGTAAAAATATATATAATCTATCTCTCTTATTCACTTTAAAAGGAAATCCAAAATTTAGAACTTGTAAATAAATACAGAAGTATTTTGAAGAAAAGATGAATGGAACTGATTATAAAAATTAATTATTAAAAATAATATGAGTGCAGAGTAATGGTTAGTCTTACGTTTGGATTTATTGCCTAGCATTGCACAGGAAGTAGAATAAATTTGCATCCACTATATTCGTATTAACTGATGATATAATGCATAGATTTATGTGACGAAGTCAGAAAAGGAAATAAATAGGCTTACCAAGATTTAATCGTACTATAGGCTAGAGTTTATAATATAATAATGATAATAATAGATTCGAGGGAGGATGGATGATTTTGATAAGTTTTACGATAGAAACTACGCTGATTATCGTATTGGTTATTTTGAGAAAATGAAGTTGAGATTAAGAAAGCTCATAAGTCCTCATATTGATGTTAATAGATTAATCTATGAAGAAACTTAAAATTATAATCAACAGTATATGAATAAATCCAATTCATAGATCATCTCCTATCAAGAATACCACACCTCCTCCTGTTGTGGATAATTAATCGAATGTTTAAAAAGTAACAGAATTCGTGTCAGTGCAACCCAAAAGGATTCAATCACCTCCGAATAAAATGACAGCTTCTAGCAATTACAATAGCACTAATAAATAGAAACAGGCAACTCCAATTGCGTAAAACAATAAAAAGGCGAGCAAGTAACCTTAACAGGTGAAGTCATCTTAAGCTAAGGCTAAGACATAATAGGATGAATTAGTTTTTACAATTAAAATGAGCAAGGAGGTATTATTCAATGATTAATAAAAATAGGAATATTTGTAATATATACAAGCTAAATAAAAATAGAGATGACTGTTTGAATTATTTATATATAATTAAAAATTACGTTAAAAATAATGTTTCAGAAGATGCTCAATTAACAAGTGAAGAAACAAGTAGATGAATGTATTTAAATGATAGTCGGAAGAATAAAACAGAAGAGTAGTTACAGAAGTGGAAGAAATGGATAAGGAGATTAAAACATTATAAGACATTTCAAACCTAAAAGCTCGTTTAAAAATGAATCAAATCGCCAAATAGCCTTTTAAGAAAAACAAAGAAGAGCCCACGACTTCTATTTATGTGGGGAAGTTTGAAAATCAACTAAAATCATTCCAATAATAGACAATCAAAAAACAGTCTCGCAAACCTCTTTCGATTGAAAAGAATAGCACCAAGTCTGTGTTGATGCCAGCAACAACTGAAAGATATGATTATAGCAATTTTACTTATACAAATCTCAAAGTTGTTGGCAGCGGATCGTTTGGAGTTGTTTACAAAGTAAATAATTTTAGTATCTGCAGGCTAAAGTGAATGAGACTGGAGAAATAGTAGCTATCAAGAAAGTCCTACAAGACAGAAGATATAAAAATAGAGAACTTTAAATCCTCCAAGAATTAGATCATTAAAATGTATTGAAGATGAAACATGCTTTCTACACTCCAGCAGAGAACAAGGACGAAAGTTACTTAAATGTAGTAATGGAGTACTTCTCAGACACCCTCTACTCCTATAATAAGTCATTTATTAAGGATTTCAAGAGGATGCCTGAACTTTTAGTTAAAATCTTTAGTTATCAATTGTTGAGATCCATAGCGTACTAAATATTAATAAATCCTTAGTTACATTTCCATATTGGGAGTATGTCATAGAGATATCAAACCACACAATGTTTTAGTTAATCCAGAAACCAATAAATTATAGTTATGTGATTTTGGAAGTGCCAAGAGATTGATCTCAGGTGAACCAAACATCGCTTATATTTGCTCAAGATGTTACAGAGCCCCAGAACTCATATTTGGAGCTACTGATTATGACACCCAAATTGATGTTTGGTCTGTTGGCTGTGTCATTGCTGAATTAATTAATGGAGAACCCTTATTCTTGGGAGACTCCGCTGTTGATTAAATGGTTGAAATAGTAAAAGTGCTTGGTACACCTTCTAAGGAGTAGATCTTAAGCATGAATAAAAACTACGATATGTAGTAGTATTAATTTGCTGCTATAAAGCAAAGAGATTGGAGAAGAGTATAATATTAAATCAATTTAATAGGTATTGAAAACTAAAGATCCAAAAGCCATAGATTTAGTCTCAAAATTATTGACTTACTGTCCTAAAACTAGATTCACTCCTCTTTAATCTTTGGCACATCCTTATTTCGATGAGTTAAGAGATTAATTTAAAGCTATCTAAAGCACAATCAAACTTAGTGCCTCTGATCTCTTTGAATTTTCAAATGGTATTTATTTTTATTTAAAATATTAGAAGAAGCATCTAAAATGACTTAATAATAAATGATTACAATAATACCAGACTGGTATTCTAATACTTCAAAACCTTTAAAAACAGTTTGCTGATTAATCATGATTATTTTTACATAATGAATATATCAATCGAATTTTGTGTATAATTTACATGAAAAAGTCTAAATATATAAGTTTAACTAAATAGATTTTCATTAAATAAACTATCAGTATACTACCAATGGTTTAAATAATCAAGATATATAAAATTTTAAGTTTTATTATCATCCAGCTTCAAGCTTCTAACTTAGAACTTCCAATCTTAAATTTATTTATGGTAATATAATTTTAATTATTGATAATCAAATCCTACTAAATTTAATTAGTATTTAAATGACAGTCTTATTTATAAGAATAGATTATAAAATATTAAAACTAACTACTAAATTATCAAAATTCAGTATATTATATTTTCATTTATATCAATTTTAATAATATTATTAAATGGGAGGAGTTCTAGGTATTTTTGGTCTAGATACGAAAGCCTGAGCTTATGGTTACACTTGTTTTTGATGAGGATGAATTTATGCTAGACTATCAGCTATGAATGGACCTTCTACATAAAATGATAAAATATATTATTCTTACATCCAATAGGCATTTTTTCTAGTTGAGAATCCCTCATTTACTCTTGATAGATGCTTCTCTATTGCAATTCCTTTTGCATTATGGATTCCATCAATTGTCTTTGTTATTCTGCTTGTTCATTATCCAATGCAAATTCATTCTTCAATAACTCTTCTCCAACAACCATATCGTTGTTCTCTAAGTCATCTTCATCTTCATCGTCAACTGGACATTCTTCGTCATCTTCTAAATCATCCACATCATTATCCTCCTCCAATTGTGACTGCTCATAATCGTCTTCATTGCTCTCTAATTGTTCAATCATATATTAAATCTATTTCTTGAATCTCTCTTCACTAACAGACAATAACTTAGGTAATTCTTGAGGGATATTTAGTTGATATGCATAATCTCTCAGTTCTCTCCTACTAAACATAGAATAGAATGTTCCATTTGTGAAGGTTCTAATCTAATCATTGGGATATTCAATTAATTCAAAAAGCACTTCAAAAGCTAATTCTTTATTCATAGACAAAGCATCACGACCCCTTGAACTCAACGATAAATTCATTATCAACGCAGTTATGTATTCATATGTGTATTCACTAAGATTAAATTTCTCCTATTTATAATATTATTTTTTCATACTCTTTATAAGATTGTCAAAGCCACATAAATGATATCGTTATCAAGCATCCAAATTTGGCTTTGTTTTCTTAACGATAATTTCTGTAAAGTCCCGATGGCATTTTTCCTTTTTATTGAATCAGTCTAATCTTTTTTGATTAATTCAATTAGTAACTTTATGAGTTGAGAATTGGATATTAAATAAGTTCTACCATCGTAATCTGATGCCAAAGCATTCATTAATTTTAATGTTTAACATTAGATCACAGGGGCTGCTTTGAACATTAAATGCTAAGCTAAAATGATGTTGCGTTAATGAGTTCCTATCAAATCGTGAGTTTAATAAGCAACTACAACAGACCTTCTCTCCAAAGCACTTCTAGCTCTGGTAATTCTCCATCTCAATGCTTGCAATACTGTAGCTATTAATACTGAATTCTGAGACTTTGTGAACAATGAAATGATTTTGCCATAATTTAAAGGAATATACTCCTCTATTGACTGTTGAACTGGATTAATCTCTATTAATATAGTAACAACTATAATATACATTGCTAATTTGTAATTTCAGATAGGTCATGATCTGGTTAGGTTATGTTATTAAACAGAGAAATGTCCTCGGATTTATTCACCAAGTCTTCCAAATTCTAACTAAAGAACTTGTCATAGGAAGTAATCTTCTTTTTGAATTATTGTATCTGCTCAGGTATCTTCTTATTGCTTTCTATGTATTTCAACATCTCTTTCTGCATCTTCAGCATTTCCCCTGTCAAAGAGAACCATTTTTTTTAAGCTTCCGTTAAATTTTTTTAGGCTAGATGATTCAATTCTTGTAATGCCTAAATCTATTGGTTATTCTTCTTTTTGAGTTCAAAGTTCTCTTATTACAATTATTTCATTTCTATGACACGCTTTTGATCATTTTATTGTTAATTGTTCGTGGATCCTTCCTTTGATAAAACCAATCTTTTTAAAACACTACCATGTTGATCTGATCCATAGATAGATTAAATAAATTCCTTTAATTTTATTCTCAAATCCGATACCCATTCATGAGTGAATAGATGCTAGAAGGATTGATGGGTTTATGGATTTTTTACATATGGTAATGCATAGAATGAAAGAACTTCATTTGTTTTCGATAAATCACCTCCTTTTGTGTCGAGGTAGGTTTTGAATTGATTAATCGAATACTTATCAATCTAACCTTTCCTCTTGAACAATGGATGAATAGGATAGATAAAGAAATAGATCTATATGAAGAACTCCAATTTCCAAGAATCATGGTCTTGTCGTTGTGAAATAGGGATGTATCGACTCCAAGATTCGAAAAACTTATCTCTTTCTCCTCTATCGAAATGCCCCAAAATTATATGTTCGGTTTCATTACTTTGTTCAGTTGCAAATTGTGATTCAATTTTGAATTGCTCTAATGTTTTAATACAATTAGATCTCAACAAATAATCCTGCACTATGTTATTAAGTTGTTCTGTTAGATTTCCGCTTGAGTCAACTGATTTATCAGCCTATATAATATTATTGTATACTGATTAAACTGCAGATTGCACTCTTTTTTAAGGACTCTCATTCTTGCGATTCACCCCAGAGTTCACCTTACTTCTCGTATCCTTTTATGATTAGGGTTTCCGATTATTGTTATTCATCATAACAGATAATATTAATAAATAAATTTTTAATTTCTCAATACTCTCCAATAACATATACTTTTTAGAATATTCAAAAGAACTCTTTAAGTAATTAAGTCAATTTACACTTGTAATTCTCATATACTGATATATGCATCAGACTTATTTAAACTGTAAATTTACATTTAAAATGAGGGTTTATTCATTTTCTCATCTAAAGAAATTTATGTCATTTAAATATTCATTAATTGATAATTCTAACTTAAAAACTTTAATATAAAAATTGAAATACAATTATTTAACCTTAAAAAAACAATAATAACCATAAATAACGTATTCTAAGTTTATTAATATTGATGAACTATTTAGATAAAATTAATTTTAAAGGAATTTTAATTAGACTGAGACCAAGAATCATCAATTTTAAATGAAATGAAATGATACTTTGAATTGAAAAGACCAAGTATTTGTGATATATAGTTAACTTTATCTGTTTTTATCATTTAAATTTTTTACATGAATTAGTTTAATATAATCTTTTCCATAGAAATGTAAATCATCTCTCTTAACTCATTAATAAATCCAAAACATCACTTCTACAATTAGGACACTTCGTACTATGATCAAGCCAAGAAGACAAGCAAGATTTATGAAATATATGCTTGCAAGGAAGTTATATTATTGTCTCATCTAGTATATATAGATTGTTACCTTTTAAGAAACTATTACAGCAAATACTGCACTGTCTGTTGGATTTACCCATCTTCATCATCCTTAATTTTTTTTAGAATATCTTAGGTACTCCATTACCCTTTTAAAAAACCTTATCAATGTTGCTCTACCATAATTGATTTTATAAAGACTAATTATCAATATTTGGTAGATAATACCACTATCTCTTATCTTATCTGATTAGTAACTACATAATGATAGCTATAATACCTTATTCCCAGATTCTAAGTGGAACTTCTTCAACTTCAAACTCAGATCTTTATTATTCCTCTAAAACTTATTTCATTTTATACCCCTTCTTTCCTCAACTATTGATATCATTCTCGGTGTGTAATTGTTCTTTATTTTGAGAATTTATTAATGCTGTTATATAAATTAATCATAAATATATCAGCATAAAATATATTGTATACTGATTTACACATTCAACAAGCTAATTGATGAGTTATTTAAATATTCTCAATATAAATTACACTGTTCTTTGTTCTCTCAATATCTAAGTATGTTATTAGAAATAACATTACAATATGTCGCACGGATCTTTTTCTATTATAATAATATATTAGCTAAATAATATGATTCATAATATTAGATTATTATAATAATATAATAAATAGTCAAAAAAATAATTAAAAATCAAATCGTTATGAAGTTAAAGTGAGATTTGATGGTCAGAATATTTTTAAATTTTATATTACCATTTTCAGAAATGGAGATTGATCTATAGCATTTTATTGAGTCTTATTGAAATGGAGATTAAACGCCGACAAACAAGTTCTCTAGAAAGACAATATAGAATAAATTAATAATGCATCGATTTTATGATTTTTAAACCATTGATATATGAAGAACTTTAATTAATATTTTTATCATCTTTAAAAAATGTACAATAATTCTAACCAAGATTATTACTAATACAATCAGAATACTTAACAGCAGTATCAATAATAATAACAACAACAATAATATTATAATCCATAGGCCTTTGATACATCGGATGGAAAAGCCTAAAAAGTGAATAATAATATTGGATGTATATTATGATCTAGATTATTTAGACTTGGGGGACTTTTAAGATTCTTACATTAGAGCAGACTTTGTAAAAAAGGTGTACACTCTTTTGACAATGGAACTTTTGATCACTTTAGGAATGATTGCTTTGGGACTTTACACACGAATGATTAATTGGCTAGTATATATAGAAGTGGATGAATTCGATGTTTGTTATTATCAAGCATTTGGACCTATCAGATGCTCTGGACCTATTTATTACCTTTAACCTTATCCTACTTGGCTATTCTATGTGTCTTTCTTTATTGCATTGATAATGCAATGTGCACTATATTGTGGTGGAAATCTTGCAAGAAAAGTAAATTACTTTGCTATACTTAGGCTCCTGCGAATTACATAGTCCTATTTCTATATATTGTCTTCTTCGGATTTACTCTAACAACCTTTTGCATATTAATGGCCTTGTATTGGGGATAGGCTATTGTTTGGTAAGCCTGGGGAATCACTTTTATGATAGTTTTTGCATTGACATTATATGCATGCAAGACGAAAACTGATTTTTCTTTCAAAAGTATCAACTGTTCCATATTTTTTAGTTGGTGCAATTTTCATTCTATGTCCAACCATGTTGATGTTAGTCATTATGTTATGCATTTGGTGGAGTTACGTGGTCTATATCATGTTGTGCACCTTATTTATAGTAATCTATGGATTCTATTTGATATGGGAAACCTAATTAATTATGGGCAAAGGAGTAAGAATATTTATAATATTATTATAGAAACTTAAATTATCAATTGACGATTATGTGATTGGATCTTTGTTGCTCTATGCTACTATAATTTAGTTGTTCCTCAGAATCATAGAAATTTTAGCCATAGCCCGTGGAAAATGAAAGTTATAATAATAATAATAATATCAACATAACATATACATTGTGGTGATCAAGCATCTAGTTTTATTTAGTACCTTTTTTAATTTTATTCGATTATGGTTTCTAATTTAAATCTTTTTTTAAATAAAAAGGACATTGAAAGTAAGAAATTAAAAATATTTCATTAGAATATTTATGGATCAAGCTACATAAGATTTACAAGAAAATTGGAATGAGGTAAATGATTATTGTAATTTAAATAGCAAGTCGAAACATTCGAAGAATTGACATTGGGCAAAGATTTATTGAGAGGCATCTTTTCTTACGGTTTCGAAAGACCATCAGCCATCCAGCAAAAGGCCATTAAACCAATCATACTTGGCAAAGACGTATTGGCACAAGCCTAATCAGGTATAGACTCCAATTTTATATAATCTAATAGGAACTGGAAAGACAGGTACATTCACCATTGGTGCCTTACAAAGAATAGACCCAAATTAGAGAAAGACTCAAGTCATCATTTTGGCACCAGTTAGAGAATTGGCAAAGCAAATTTATGATGTTGTCAAAGGAATTGGATAATATTTAAATATTGAAGCCTTTTGTTGCATTGGAGGAACCTCAACCCAAGAAACAAGAGAGAAATGCAAATAAGGTGTGCACATCATCATTGCCACTCCAGGAAGATTGATTGATATGATGAAAAACAAATATTTGGATGCCACATTCATGAAATTATTAGTTGTTGATGAAGCTGATTAGATGTTGGATCAAGGATTCAGTGATAACTTCGCTGAAATTCTTAAAATGGTACCAGGAGATATCTAAATTGGTATACATTCATCATTTATTCTATATAGCATTGTTTAGTGCAACATTCCCATAAGAAATTATTGAATTGAGTAAATAATTCTTAAGAGATGGAACAGCAAAGATTTTAGTCAAGAAGGAATAATTGACCTTGGAAGGTATTAGATAGTTCTACATTGCCATTTAATAAGAAGACCAAAAATTCAGAGTTTTGGTTGAATTATACAAGAATCTTACAGTTTCATAATCAATCTTATTTTGCAATTCCAAAAAGACAGTCGATGATCTCTATGATAAATTGACAGCAGAAGGTTTTACAGTTAGTAAAATCCATAGTCAAATGGAATAAAAGGAAAGAGAATAAGTAAATTCATCATCTCTATTCGATTAGGTTATGTAAGAATTCAAAAAGGGAGCTGCAAGAATCCTAGTATCTACAGATCTTATGGGAAGAGGTATTGATGTTCAATAATTATCTTTGGTTATCAATTATGAATTCCCAAGACTCAAGGAATAATACATTCACAGGTATCATTCATTTTAATCTATTATTTAGAGTTGGAAGAGCTGGTAGATATGGTAGAAAGGGAGTTGCAATCAACATGGTTGCTCAATAAGAAGCTAATCTCTTATTAGAAGTTGAGAAGTATTACAACACTAAAATCGATGAGATGCCCAAGGATTTGGCTGAAGTAGAGAAGGAATTAAGTTGAAAAATCAGTATATGTATAAATAAGAGTATATATATTAAATTAAATTACCATTAATATTATTATATATATATCATTCTATTTTTAAAAAATATAGAATACAAAAATTGTTTAAAATTTATTCTCAATTTTATAAAATCAACTTAATTATTCTTAATGCAAAGATAATTTATCAATGTAATAAACACAGCAGATGTAAACAAATCCATATTCCAAATTTTTACACTCCCCTTTTCTTCAAAATATAACAGATAGTGTCAACCAGGAACAAATTCTTAAAAATGAGTAAAACCTTACGTCAAAATAAAATACCTAAGATAATCAAAGCTATCCTATAATCATACTCATTGTATGTGTTATGATACTTATTTTTGTCTGTGGAGTCATTTTTGAAGTTTCAAGAAGAAAAAAACTCAAAAAAGATTTAGAATAAAGATTAATCCAAGAGAACATGTACTCAATTCAAAATAACATAGTTAAAATGAACTAAATCTAAGATTCTCTATAAAATTCCCTTTGGAATCTTAAAACGATCAATAATTAAAAATCTAATACTAAGTTACTTAAATTCAAAACAATATATGTACACCATAATAAACTAGAATTATAAATAACTCAAGAAAAATAAAAAAATCTATGGTCTGCTGAAGGAAATATTGTACTATAATCTAACTAAGAAATACAAGTTCATCTTAGAACTTCTCTCGATTCTGATTTATTTCAGAAGATAAAATCAATCGATTACTTATACTTACTTTAATTATATTAAGGATCCTTTAATGAATAAGAAAATAAGTTCTAAGGAAAATGTAAAGTTTACGGATGTCAAGCTACATAAGATCAAAATTTTAATGGATCATTTGAACTCTAAAAAGTATCTCAATGAAATGATATTAATATTTATATTACAGAGAAATTAATATAATATAATAGAGTTGTTTTAATTATCTACTTCTTATATTGAGATATAACGATGTAATTATAATTAATTTTCTGTTGTTTAATTTAATATTGTATTAAAATGTTGATTAATTAAAAAAAAAATAATTTAAAATTCATCTATTTGCAAAATTTAATTATTATAAATACCATGCATAAATAAGATAGAATTTAGAATGAACTATTAAAGATCATTTAATTCGATGTATTAATAAATGTGTACAGTATATCTATGTGAATTAAATCTCCTTGTTAACTAATGAATTTTATCAATACTGTAAATTATATTATGAATATTACTAGTTATCGCTAAAGCATTTTCCATATTCAAAAGAAAATACATTTAAAATATTTCAATCCTCATCCTTATTCTTCTCCATTTTAACAACAATCAAAATAATTACTAAATGCCATTTTATGAAGGAATGCAAATTAAATAGATATATGTTATTTTTATTAAAATAAAAATATATTTATCTTTTTGTATAATTATTAAAATATTCTATCAAAATCAAGATCTAATTTTGATAATTGAACAATATTGATATAAAAAAGTATGTTCTACTAAAAAAACAAAATTAAGAGAGGATACTTTTAAGTCAATTAATCAAATGATACTTTATTATTAATCTCAAATAATTATAAAATTAGATGTAATTATCAAAAATGTTCACAAAATATTTAAGTAAAGATCAAGTAATTTGAATTAGTTTAGCAATAGGTGGATATATATATTAAAATATTAGTATATTCACTAAATCTTCTAGTTTATTATATTGATGTTTTGTTTAAAAATTTTCTATTCACATCATTCGAATTTTCTTGTAAAAGGATGCAAAGATATCGTAATATTCATTAAGTAAGATGAGTTGAATGGTTAAAACTAATCAATATAATGTAAAATTTTAATTTTAGTGGTTTAATAAAAATTATAATTCATCAGAATGGTGTGCAATATAATTTGTTAGCAAGAATTAAATACATTAATTTTATAAAAATGTAACAATCCTACGATTGTCCAATTTGTTTAAGTATTGCTGTGGATCCTATACAACTTTCTCAATGCAATCATATATTTTGCTCAGCTTGTATCGTAGATTTACTAGATTACAACAATTAATCCTACAAGTGTCCATTATGCAGATAACATTACTAGAAGAATGAACCCTTAATTATCAATTAAGAACTGGCTAAAAAGATTAAGGAGAGCAATCCTGAACTATATGTATAAAGATAATAACAGATTCTTCAATAATAAATGATGTTACCAAATCAAATTAAAGTAAGTGTTTTATATGGCAACTTGTATGAAAAAATCAACAATAATGATAAAAATTAACATCAATGGACTTTAGTGGTGAAAATGGATTATAATAAGGATTCGGATAGAGTTGCACTTAAGAATTTCGACATCAATAATATGATAGAATCTGTTACTTACTAATTACATGAAACTTTTCATCCTAATGTAGTTACAGTTAAATAAGCTCCATTTCAATTAAAAAGACTAGGTTGGGGAACATTTATGATTCCTATCCTCATTAAATTTAAGAAGGAATACAATATTCCTAATTTGACAGTCGATCATTATCTTAGTTTTTAGGGAAATGGATCAATGCAAAAATAAATAACTAAACTAGATATAAGTAATGTTAAAGAGTATTAATAATTATCAGAATAACAACAATAATAACAATAATAATAATAACAATAATGATTAATTATATTCTTTTAATCGATCCTTTACAGATATATATTATTATCATTAAATTATTTTAATAGATTAATTAAACGTAAATATCATAATTTTACTCTCCTCTTAATGTATAGAGTTTAGATTAAATTGATTATCAGTTATTTAAATTTATTATTGAATGGAATTTAATTAATACAAAACAAATGAAGTCAAATCAAATCCAAAATACAAGGGGCTGTTATAGTGGGGTATAGAGAATGGAGTGTTGATGAAGGGCGTGGATTTTCCAGCTTCATTCGGGGATGTCATAGGAGTAGTTGCCTCTGAAGACTTGCCATCAGATACTGTATTATTATTGATTTAGATGTCATTAGGTAATCATTTGCATACCTTAATCATTGATTATTTCACCTGAAAAATGCAAGTAGAGCACTCTCATAACAGTGTACAATAATCATCCAGAAATGTTTGATGAGGAAGAAACTAATGAAGCAGAGTTTAACATTTTAAGTATCAATCTCTTTGTATCTGAGCTTTTTACATGTTCAATGAAAAGAAGAAAGGGGAATAGTCTTTTTATTACCCTTACATTTAGGCAATCCAAACTAACAATACATTAATGGCTTGGTCGAATGAGGATTTGCAGAAAATAGAAGATCCACTTATATTAGAGGAATTTTAATTAATTAAATAAGATTTCTTAGGGTTATGGAGTAAGGCCAAGTTAATCTTTGATAACGCTTAAGATGTATTTGGAGCCCCAAGAATATCAGATAAAAGTGATTTTTTTTGGGCTATTGAATGCGTTATGAGTAGATGCTTTGGATGGGCACTTAAATCTACTTGTCTAGTTCCTATAGCTGATTTCCTTAATCACTCTAATAAAGCATGCACACATTATATGGTTCATTCAGCTTTGGAGAAGGGTAGTGTTTCTAATTCAGAAGAGTAAGCTAATTTTGAAAGACAATATGTCATAAAAAGAAACAATATGAATTTGAGTATTTTAGGCATTGAAGCTGATAAGGAGATACAGAAATGGGAAGATGAGAAAATTAAATTTATTTTAGGGAATAAACAGTGTTTAAGAGATTAGAACTTACTTGAAGATTTGGAAAGATCATCTATAAATGAACAAAGAGATATCATAAATATGATCCATTATGAATAGATAATTTAGGATCCAAAGTTGAATATATGGGATTAGGATTCTCTTGCTTCATCTGATAGTGAAGATAATGATTCTGATGAAGAAGTTAAATTAGAGAAGTTTTAAGAATTTGAGATTTTGAAGATAAAAGAATTGGCAGAATGGAAAATTAGAGAAGAATAAAAGAGAATTGAGAAAGAGTTTCAGTCTATCAATTTGAAAAATCAACCTATTGTTACTGTAACCTTGAATCCAGGTATGAAGTATTAAAATATAATAGAGAAGAAAAATAAGGTAATAATTCGAGGATTACCATAATATCAGATTGAAGCCATTAAAGCAAAGTAGTAGATTATCAATGGGAGATTAAGAAAGTAAAAAGAAGAAAAGATTTTGTCTTAAGTTGATGATGTACAGAGCAGGGAAGATTAATAATGGGATTGGCTAGATGAATATGATTAAGAAGCCTACTTTTGCATTACAACTACAGCCCCAATTAAGAAATTTGAATAAGTGACAGTTTCATACGGGAAGAGAACAAATAGATTTTTATTATGTTGGTATGGGTTTGCATTGCTGGAGAATGTGTACAGTTCGTTTAATTTTAGAGTAATTAGCTGACTAATTAAAGTTATGGTTGAATACTGAGATCCTGGAGGATAAAGAGAAAAGCTTAGATTAGATCCTGAACACGATAATTATTAAGAAACTAATATATGAAGACGAGTCAATGGTAGACAAGATTTTATACAATGGATACGAAATACCTATTTCATCTTTATCTAAGGAATTTAGAATAAAAAAGAATAAGTTAGATATGGACATAATAAGCATTTTGCGATTATTTTTATAGATAAAATACGGGAAGGAAAAGGATTTGTTGAGTACAATTCCCATGTCAATCGACTACGAAATTGTTGTGATGCAATTTTACTATTCAATGTTACAGAATCTGATGAAATCTTATTCCTAAGATTTGGTTCAAGATCTTAAAGAATTAGAATAGACATTCGAATATCCAAAAAGATTTGCTGTATGACTTGGTGTTTGATTATAATTAGATATATATCAATAAAGAGAGGAAGGAAATTTTAATAAGCCAAAGTTAAATAGTTGAAGAGGCAATCACAATATTAAAAAGGTTTAAGGAAACATAGAAATTGAGGGATTGCTATGTTTAAAACATGAACATAGAGACAGTATAGACAATTTCAATAATTAAAGGATTAAAGGATTATCTTAAATTATTATATGAATTTTTGTGATTTAAATATTAATGTGCTTTATAATTGATAAGGAGTCGAGTAATTGAGCATGAGTGTTGTAGGATAGAATTAATTGAAAACATCTTAAGAATATCATTAAATAATTAATCATGTTTTTCTTGTTGGTAATATAGGGTATTGCAGCAAGCTCTTTATTGAAGAATACCAACTCCTTATATGAGGAATGGAGACATAAAGCATAAGCCTTAGTTACTAAAACACCAATGGAAATGATAAGATAAACATTAGGATTAAGAACCTTAGATTCGGATTATGAAGAATAGTTTATTATTCCAGAGACTAACGGAGATTTAAAACACTCTAGAGTGGTTAGAATGATGACAGAGAATGGAACATCCAATCCTCCAGTTCCAGCATTCAATACTACAATTAATGAATATTTAAGATAAGGACCACTCATCCCACTCAAATGTTATCTTGGTTAACCCATCCTCATCAACGTGACTTAGCATTACTGCTTCAAACAGAGAGTCACTTATCTTTAATACTAAGATATTTCAGTCAACAATTCGGCCAATTGCACTATTCGGTATAGATTACATTATGGGTGTTTGTGTCCTCCTGATTTTTATGGAGATTATTGTAGGAATTGGAATCCAATAGTCTGTGAAATAGAGTAACCATCTAAGAATTGCAAATTAGTGGTAGACGAAGACTATTACAATAAGAAAATAGATGGTAATCCCCCTTGCAATTAGTTTAGGAGTAGTCAGTTTGTGGATGTACAATTATTGAATTTATATAGAATGTGAGAACAGTCTGCTATAACTATTACTAAAATTTACTAAATACTAGTGTATATTATCCTGAAGAAAATTACACTATCATTTGGAGCAATTACACTAAAGGGATCAGTGCCTTGTTACCTCAATAATACAAATATTCAGCTCCCATTCCTGAGAATCCCAATGATCCATAATAATACATTCAATTTGCAACGGCATCAGAAGAAGCAGAGAAGGAATACTTCAAATATGAATAGAAGGCATGCACTGGAGTTGAATCAAATACCTTATGCAGTTCCTTATTATTCAACATAAATCCTTATGTAAGGTTTATCAATTGGACATACCTATCAGAATCTGATACTACTTACATTGATTACAATTTAACACTTGTTGAAATGATCGGATAAAATTACTTCTAGGTTCCCATTAAAGTTACTAAATCTACTCCTTTGTTTGGCAGATATTCGTTAGAAATTGGATTTGTTCTCCATCTCTACGGGTATAATGAGTTGTATGCGACGAACGGATCCAATGTTACAGCCTAAACTGGTCCAAAGGAGTATTAACCACAATTGTAACCAAAAATCTTATTTTTTGAAGACTAGTTATATGAAGGTATTAATGTGAAATAAATATCAAAGAACCTACTTCTTCAATTAAGTAATTAGAAGGAAAGACTAGAGCTGGATTGATAATTGCAATTATAATATTACTCATTACAATTCTATTGATCTACAAATATAGAAACACTTTGACAGAATGTTGTTTCCCTCGAATCGACAAAGTAGCTCCAGAAAAGTATGATAATTAAAAAGGCTTTTGTGAAAGGTGTTGCGATTGTTTCAAAAATAATTAGGGTCATCGTCATCATGTAGCTGAGCCTAATTCTTAACATTAAAATTAAAGTTTGGAATGATTAAATACGTATTATAAAATTATTGCTAATTATTTAAATATAAAATTTATAGAAAGATTGAATAATAATACTCTTATTATTCTTTTACTCTAAGACACTTATTCATTCGTATTACCCCTCAAGATTTATCCTTTTTCCATTATTCCACATCCCGTATTTCACTCTTCCATCTGGAAATACAAATTTACCTCTTCCATTCTATTTACCTTCATGCCACTCTCCCTCAAGAACCTTCCCATCTGGCCAAAAGAACTTCCCTTTCCCTTGCTTCTTATCATTTACATATTCTCCCTGATACGACCGACCATCTCCCCATTGATACACTCCATAACCATGCATTTAATTATCCTTCCATATACCCTTATACCTTCTTCCATCAGCCCAAATATATTCACCCTATCCTATTATCTATTAAACTTATACATAACCATTAATTTTATTATCAAACCATTCTCCTTCAAAATAACTTCCATCTGGCCATTTATAGGTACCTCTTCCCTGCTTTTTGCCATATTCGTATTGTCCCTCATAAACCGAATTGTCAACCCCTATCATTTTAACATAATTTAATACATTTCTCTGAACCATTTCCATGTTGATAATCATTCTTCCATTACCCAAAGTATATAACTCCATTTGATTGTCTATACACTCCAAATCCGTTTGCTTTATCATTTTCCCATTCACCCTCATAAACATCTCCATCGACGTGATAAAAGGTTCCTTAACCAAAAGCTTAATTGTTTTTCCATTATCCTACATATTTGGCCCCATCTTCCCATATTTGTATTCCCTGTCCATCTCTCTTGTCTCCCAACCATTCTCCCTCATATGTTGATCCACTCACAAATTGGTATTTTGGTCGATACTCCCTTTAGAGTGATTCGGATTTAATTGTTACTTCATTAGTATATTTTAATACATTCAAACTCTTCTTTGGTAAAATATTTCTGCTTCCCCCTCTTACTCTTCTTATCTACGGTTACTGAGTTATTCTATGACTTATTGAACAGCAGTTTGGTCTACAAATAAGCTTTCCTTGCTTTGTATCCCTTCCATTATTTTTATATCATAATAGCCATTTTAGTTTATAAAATTTATTTCTATGCTTACTACTAAGTTTCTTCAAAACTTTTAGTTGATTTTTACTATTATAGCTATAATCATAAACTTTGTGTTATTGCGTATAATTTTGATAGGACTACTAAGAACAAGAGGAGATAACAGCTTTATTGCTTTCTGATTTCTTCGTAATGGTGACTTCATTGATCTAATCTAATCTATCTTTTTAACACTATGAACAATTTGAACAGTTTGATCCCATATAAAGTTATACAAATAAACAAATAATTAATAAAAAATGAAATTTTTTTGATGTTAGCTTTAGTTAATTAATGTAAGTCAAAATTCATTATGTGCTTGCATAATTATTCTCTTCATAGTTACATACTTTTAGGTCTAGTTAGTTGCTCTTGCTTATTCTTTTGATTGGTGGTATCATTTCTATCTAATTTATTAAAGTACGTTTAATTGTATATATATATTTTACTTCCCAACAAAAACTATTTTCATTTTATCAAATATTAATATCGTAACTTAATCAAACTACTGTAGATTTATCAAATCTGATAAATTATTCATAAAGTAAATTAATTTTTGTATATCTTTATGATATCTTAAGTTTAATAATCTAATAATATAAGTAAAATGGAAAAATATAATTGAGCACATTTAATGTTGATTTTCGAAGTCAATCATAAATTTTAGGTCTCAAACGTACAACAAATAAGAATTATGGATATTATTTTAATTTTATTCTAAGAGTTTAGAGAAGAAAATAATAAATTTGTAAAATATAGGATAATTAAAGAAATCTATATCAATGAATATATATATATATCAATAAGAAATTTAAACAAAAAAAGAAATATTGAATTTTAGATTTTCAATCAAAGATGGTTTTTTATTATTCTGAAATTGTAAAATATCAAGATAATAAATTAAAAGAAAATCCAGATGATTATACACATATATCCACTGAAAAGAATCAATATTGACTGCTTAAACAGATGCAGCAATAAAATGTTGAAAAACAAAATTAAAAATTAATTAATTAAATTATAATCAATTTAGGAATAGTTTTTGTAAGTCTGATCTCATTTACGAGGGATTCATGCTAAGCTATTTATTTCTACAATTGCATCTAAGCATTCTTGCAAATATGCAAGTGTAGACTGCACTATCGTAGGTGTTGTAAGATTAAGGAATATTTTCTTTAATAACTAGATTTGGATCGAGTTTATGATTCAGTAATTTTTAGAAGAGTTTAGTAAGTTTGTGTTTTATGTTATCATAAAATGGCTTACTGCATTTAATGGAATCATATACATAGATAATGAATTCGTCTTCAGTAATTAATACTTGAACGAAATACCAATGGTTGTGATCATGTTCTATTACAAATCCAATTTTTTAATAGATTAGCCAAAACTTAACAAATCTGAATTATTTAATTAGTTATTAAAATTTGTCACAGTCTTCCAAAGAAGATGTGCTCTAGAAGATGATAGTTCTCTAAAATTTTTCTCTCTTTTAAGGAGGAGTATTCCAATACAATTATTCATCAAGCTATAAGAGATATTAGATATATCCATTAACGATATTTGGTCTAAGTTAATTTTTATCAGTAATAGAATTTAAGTCTTTGTCATTTATTAACTTGTTATATTTATAATTATTATTCTAGATAATCGATTTCTATGAATCTTATGCTTCTGTGATTTTGGAATCAGAAGTTTCATCCAAACATTCCCCACAGAGAGAAGTTTGTCCTAGTTCTTAATATTTATCATTTATAAACATTCCTTTCATCACAACTAACTTTTAGTTTCCATTGTTGTCCACATCCTATAAATAAAGTTTTCCTTTGCCATTCTTTTAGTATTTCTAATTGATTTCGCCATAATAAACACTATATTTTTAAAGAATCGCAAATTTATGACCTTTGAATGCAATCACATCCATGTTCTCCATATAAGTGATTGGATAGGCAGAGTCTGGGGAAGACATAATTGAAATGTTCTCCAAGCATTTATTTGCTGTAAGTGTTACTGCGTAAATTCCAGGTCTGGAGTCTATTTTATTGAAATTAGCTTGTGTGTCTTCATTAATTAATGAATCACTGTCTGAAACACAATTATTGCCCATTTAAATTAAATATATTATATATGAATCACATAAATTTAATATACCATATGAAATAATGTAGGAGACTAATAAAGTAGAAAATCAATTCTGTATGATTCTGTGCTAAATTTAGTTTTCTTAATAAATTCCTTCTTCTTTATTATTAATCAATTTTCTTAAACATGATAGTTAATATGTGCATAATTCGATAATTTTTAGAATGAAATTTATCAAAGAAAATAAAGATAATAAAGTTTAATTCATCGAATAAAAAAAAATCATTTATAAGGGCAGTGTTAGATTAGAAAAGTTTGCAAACATAAAACCAAACATTATTAGTCCTACTCAGAGAGAATATAAAAGTGATTTGAGTCCAATCATAAGACAAAAAAGAGCATAAACTATTTTAAAGTAGTTGCTTAATGAATAAAATTAACAGTAAAATGTAGGCTGATAAAATATAGAGTACTTGAAGCCAAATCCTCACGGAATTTCAAGCTTAAGAGAATATCAGTTGATTACAACTATTCCATTTAATTGCCAAACATTGAAGAATATTTCGATTCATAAGATAAACTGAAATTGCTCGAAACAATAAAGAATGAAAAGAATAGAGTGGAGAATCACATTGAGAAATTAGAAAAAATTAAGAAGGAATTAGATCTTTCAGATTATGTGTTTACTTAGCATAAACCGAATACCTATCATTCAAATACACCTAGCAAATCTGCAAGGAAACACACACACAAACTAAATACAAGTGGCAGCACAGTATTTGGAAAAACAGAGAATGTGAAAAGGCAATTGTCAATTATTGATTGTGAAGACAGAAAATAGATTGATAAAAACAAAGAAATCGAATTGTAAAGGAAGTATGAGAGAGTAAGAGATAGCAAAGTGTTGCCTCAGTTAGTAAATCAGATAAATGAATCCTACGAAGAAAAGAACAAGTTAAGTGATAAATTCAATAGACAATTATATTATTGCATCCACAATAGGGATTATAGCATTCAAGATAAAATTAAAGAATATTAAAAGGACAGTTTATCCTACACCCAATTTTAATCAATATAAAAGCGACTTAAATAACATCTGGAGGGCAGATTCAAGGCCACAGAGAATTAAGTTATAAAATTTGAAGATGAACTTAAGAATCTAGCCAAAACCAACAGATTAACTGAAAGTAGAAAACAGCAGCTATCTAGAATAAAGATTGAATTGGAGAATGGCAATTACTTAGAATATTATTGATATGATATTATAAATAGTGTGTTTAATATTCAATGATCGTCACTCTCATTCTTCCAAATGAATCAAAAGTATAGATGGCATCTAAAATAAGTATGATATATAGTTTGGAGTGTGAGTGATTATTATTATTATTATAATATTATGAATAATGTAAATTTAAGAGTAGTAATTCAACTAGCCTATTTTATAATGGTGCTTACAATAAAATTAGTTAATCATAATTCAGAATACTTTTAAGTTATTTTAAGTATGATCTTAACTTTGCTCTTTATACCTTTTAATAGATATGCAAATACATGCGTTGAGCAATAATAACTGATATTTAAATCACTATGGTAAGTTTTAAATCTATTTTGTTTGGGCAGCGTTGATCTCGGGTTGGTAAATGATGGATTCTTAAGCAGATTTCAGTACTTCTGGTTGGGATTAACAATATAACTAGAAATAGATTCTACGATCCAAAATTAAATAGTTAGAGTTGGATACCTCTTGGTTGTTATTGCCTCAGCAAATTTGACCTCAATTTATCTATTAATTGATTCCTCTGCAATTGGGATCATTTTTGGTGAAGCTCTCTATGGTTTGCTCCTATTATGTTAATTTATTGTGAAAACAAATTAGCAGGTAAAGAAGTTGCCCCAACAGAAACCCTGTTCTCGTAGTTTTACTGATAAAATAGAGAGTCCGCAATAACAGATATTAGATGAAGACTCAAATCAAATCAAATTTATGCCATTGAATTAGGGATTAGGAAAAAACTCTTCAGTTTATTCGAGGGATCCGTCAGTTCTTGAATAGATAGAATAGCAAAAAACTTTTTATGAGATTTTATTCAATCAATTTCCTGAGGGAATACTGATAATCAATGATCAAAATAAGATTGATTATCACAATAATCAAGTCTACAATCTGTTGGGTAGAAAACATATTCAAAATAGACAAGATTAAATATTGACTCGTTTGTATGAGTTAAAGAATTATAGTTCGAAATTTCAATTTGAGGAATAAGCATAGTTTGACAAATTCTTTTCAAATTTGGACAAAAAATTAAAATACAATTAACATGAATATTATTAACCTTTCGATTAACAATTTGATCAATAAATAAACGATGAGAATTCTAAAGAGAGTATTTTCAATAACAATTTCGATGACAATCAAACCGATTACTATTATCAAGCTGAACTCAGTAAGGCCGAAACCCTAAAATAGGAATTGGATAAGGCCTTGTTAGAAAAAGCCGCTGAGAAAAACGGATTATCGTCTCCATTTTAGAGAGAATAATCTTTTCCTTCATAAAGAACATATAAGGGATAGGATAAAATTAAATTTTCACCCGAAGTCAAAAAGATGTTGTGTATGATAGAAGAATCTTCTGAAGTTCATGACAACGAATTACAAGAAGACAAGTCTTAAGATGAGTGTAATACTGGATTATTGATCCAGATAACAATTAAACCATATATATATGAAAATAAAAGAAGTGTCTTACTTCTAATAAGAGACGTGTCATTATTTAATCAATTCAAAGTGTTATAATAGCAAAATAAAAACAAATCTAGGATGTTAGCCTATGTTTCTCATGAGTTACGTAATCCATTATAAGCTATAATAGAAATAAATTAATAATTGAAAATTCAATTTTAATAAGATAACAACTTGATTTTAAAGTAATCAATACTAAAATAACATTAGATATCTGTAGCCTTTGCAGAGTTCAGCAATATCAATTAAAGGTTTGGCTAATGATTTATTGGATTTAGCGTAATTGAAAGCAGGAAAATTTAGGTTGACTTGCAAGGAATTTTCAATGCATCAATTATTAAATGATGCTATATCAATTATGTAATATCCTGTAAGTTTAAGGAATTTAAAATTAGAATTACAATACGACCCAAAGATCCCTCAGGTAATAATATCTGATTCATAACGAATATAACAGATCATATTTAATCTCATTAGCAATGCCACCAAATTTACCAAGGTTGGTGGGATAACAGTAACAGCTAAATTGCTATAGACAAAGCAAATAGAAATCTGTGTCGAAGATACAGGAGTGGGATTGAAGCCAGAAGATAAAAATAAATTGTTTTAACCATTTGGAAAATTGGAAGATACTAAGAATATGAATACGTCAGGAGTTGGCTTAGGATTAATGATAAGTAATGTACTAGCATAAAAATTAAGCGGAAACGATGAAGGATTATAAGTAGATTCAAAAGGAGTAGATAAAGGAACTAGATTTGTATTTAAAATTCAGGATGTTAGTGAGAATTAAGCATCAACTCCGAAGGAATCCAAAACTCTCATCATGAAAGAGAGCAGTCATCGAAATATACTAATTCAGAAGAGATTCGAAGACTTATCCATGGAACCATCATAAAATTGTAAATGTCCTCAGATTATTATTGCTGATGATGAACCAATCAATTTATAAACTTTAGGTTGGAAATTAGATCGAATGAAATACAACTATCTAAAAGCCTAAAGTGGTTAAGAATGTATAGAAATTCTCTAAAATTGGTAAAACAATTAAGAATATTGTTGCAATTGGATTAAATTTATCATTCTCGATATTAATATGCCTTACCTAAATGGGTATTAGACATCTAAAATAGTGAGATAAATGGAGGCAGAGAAATAAGTTAAAAGATGTAAGATAATAGGATGTAGTGGATTTACAGATAATGAAAGCAAACGAGTAGGATTTGAAAGTGGAATGGATATCTTTATTTCAAAGCCAATAGAGGATAAGGAGTTATAAAGTGTCCTTTAGTAACCTTAATGATAAAATGATTCGTGTAACTAAACTAATATATATATAGTCTTCCAGCTATTTAATATTTCCTCCTTCTTCTCTGTTGTTTGAATACAAAGTTAATTATTAATTTGAAATAATATCTATATATAACTATTAGAATAGGATTTGTTTTTCAATCTTTATATAAATCATTCCTTTTAGAATAGTTCATCCAAAGATTCTTAATTACTTAAGTATCCCAGACCTTTACAATTGAATATTGAGGCATTGCTGTTTTCTGACCTTTTCAGACTAACCCCACTTTATCTTCTATTCATGAGACTGCTCAAGGCTATGTGTTAGTTTTCCTTATTAGGATTTGACAGTCTATGTTATTACGTACTCTTATCCTTAACATGTTCATAACAATCTTAAGATTCAATTAATTAATCAGTATATTATAAAAATGACTTGCTTTTTTATTTGCAATTAATTCCTGATTCTAATTTTGAATTCTGAATATTTTTGATTTATTTCAAAATTACTTAATTCTCATTTTAATGACCATCATAATTAACTTTTTAATTTTAGTTTTACACAACCTTAGGAACAAGAATGTCTTTATTATTTCTATTAGCTTTTTATAACTCTTATTTTGATAATTGATTTGACGGAGATATGGATCTTTGATTTTAAGAAGGAAATTAAGTATTATTGTTTAATCTACTTTCAGTTGCACTTCTTTATTAGCTTCTGTTTTGAGCCATCAAAGACACATCAAGTAATTGTCTCAATTATGATGTTTGATTAAACTTAGATTAAAACTATTCTAAACTAAAGTAAATAATCTCATAACATTTTGTTTGGGTATGATTTATCTTATATTCAATCATTTAACCTTCTTCTAGAATAAAATTACCAAGGTCTCTTTTGCATATCCAAAACTACTACTATTTCATTTTATATTCATCATCCATCATCTTCTCTTGTTGTTTCAATTGCTTGAGTTGAGTAGTGGCCTATTTTTCATTTGAGTATGTTGATTTTGACATGGAGGATATTTTTGATCTTAACTCTTCTAATCTTTTACTTTAATCATCTTGATCTTTCCGCCTTGTGTCTATCTGCTTAACGTAATCATTAAAAGACTATTTTAATGATTTGCTTTCCTCTGTTATTGGAATTAACAATTCCTTTAATGCTTAAGAGGATCCTACAATCTTGGATCCCAAGAGTTTTATCTAATCTAAACAACACTCATACTTATGAACCCATCTCTTTAAACAGTGTGTTGATGTTAATTTTCATATTATCAACAATGGCTTTCTTTGAAATTGCTTCAATCTTGCCTCCATACTCGCTTGTTACTTATCCAAATTCCTAAGGTCATAATTGAAGAAGAACCTTCATTATAGATTTATTATGCTTCAAACACTCCAATATTTACTTGAGGTTTGACTGTAATTGTCCATATATGGATTATATTTCATTATCACTTAAAATTTGCTCAATTTAGCAGTTCATAATATTAATTCAATATAATAATTCAGATATCAATTTTTCATCAACCTTATTTCCAATCAACCACACAATCAAGTAAATTACACACGGGTACATCAAATAATTCCAATCTTTTTCTGACAGAATAAAAAATATCCTCAATATTAATTTTAAAAGTACAGGAAATACAGAAATCTCCCAAGCAAATGATTAAATAGTTTACTAATGATGATTGTATTTCGAAACATCAATGAAATAATTGGTATCCCAGTTATTAATCTAAATAGGTCGATATAATAAAAATATACAAATATATTGCACAATAGCTTGAATTACCAAAAATTATAGATGTATTTGATGTATCCTCTACTAAACACTTTTCACATTGTTTCTTAGAAATTAAACAACTTTTATTATAAACTAAAATACCATTTACAAATAAGTATAACTTTGATTAGTAAACAGACCGAAAATATTTTCTTTTAATCATTTTCATCCTACTCTACATATTCTGATATTGCTCGTTTTGATATCTCTCCCCGAGAAGTCTACTTCTCTACTAGTTCGATGTCCATATTTTATTTAATATTTTGAGAATAAAATATGGATTAAAAGAAGAAAAATAGGAATAAAACTGGATTTCAATTTATTCCCATTTTCAGTTCAAGGATTAAATAGAATAAGTAGGGAAGGGCAGGTAATCGGTTGAAAAATGGAGAATATTGAAATCAAGGCAAGGGGGAAAAGAAGGTGATAAGTATTTCTTAGGATTATCTCTATTTGAAGAGTGTTCTGTAAGGATGCTGATTTTATTAAATGATAGAATGTTGAAATTTGAAGGAGTAACAAATGACCATATCTGAAATTAACCTCATGTTTTGGGTAATATATTTCACATTTAACTAGAGATTTAATTAATTTCAAAATTAATTCAAGATTTTTTTACAGATGGTCTCCTACTATGTAACTGTAATTATTATATCACTTAAGGAGCCTTATTGTTTGTAAAGGTCAATGGTTTTTCATATTTTTTCTTCTCCAACATCTCCTTAATTTATTATCCCTCAATTAATAGTTTACCCATTTGACTAATTTCTCTATTTGTTCTACTTAATAAAGTGTTTTCATGTGAAGTTAATTAAATCTTAGCAGCCAATCTATCACACTCCTATTACAACTGTTTATTCATTCCTTCCAATCTTTCTACAACTGACTACAAATGCAATATTTCCCTATCTTTCAAGATCATCTGTTATGCATTCTTATCAAAATTCTAAGAACTTTACTTAATGTAAATGAATACTTTTTGTTATTTCTTCTTAATTGTCTCAATTCTTCTTCACTTTTTTGTAAGTCATTTTCAAGATTAGCAACTTACCTTAAGAGATCTCTATTCTAATCTTACAATTGCATACATTATTAAGATACCTCTTCAAAGGATCTAACTTATTTTAATATTATACTATTCTGCTTATTCTAAATAAATCCTCTCTTCTTATATTTATTTAATCAAATTTTCTGAATTCTTTTATTTCATTTCCAAATCTACATATTTATCCTCCTTAATTTTAATAAGATCGATGAGATTTTATCTTTCTTTTTTCAATGACTCTACTTAATTTAAAGTGTCTTTCAATTCCTTAGATTGTAAATCTTTAACCTAACTTAATTGATTAGCCTGTATTTAATTCTCTTTTAGCAATTAAGCAATTTAAGTCTATTGATCAGACTTATTCTATTGTAATTCCTTTAACTATTAATTAAACTCTTTGATTTGCTATTACAATTATCCATCCTTAAACTATTGCTATTGTAATTGAGATTATAATTTATCTGTGAGAGAATCCTTTTCAAGTAATTAATCGTTGAAATTTTAAGCTTCTTGCAAATGTTAGTTGTTTAATTCTTCTAATTCAGAATACTTTGATGTGAGAATAGTGAATTCTTCATTTAGAGCTTAAATCTACTATTGATATTGTAGATTGTTCATTTGCAATTGATCAAATTGAATTTTCATTGATTAAAACTCCTTATTCTTATTTTTTTCAGAATTTGACAATTACTGTTATAATGTAGAAAATCTTTCATTTGAATTTTAAATTGAATCAATTTTAGATGCCAATTTATTTCTTTCTATCTCAATTTATTAATAATCGCTATATAAGTAAGAAAGATTTTGTTCATATTTTTCTGACTGATATTTCATTTGTTAAATATAATTCTTTAGGTCCTCTATTTTAGAATACAATTGACTTATTTCTTATTCTTTTTTAATGATTAATCTCTCTAATTCCTTAACCTTCTTTCTGTTTTATTTCTTGACATGTTTATTTTGATCTGAATTCTACAGCTGTTTACCATCCTATGTATATGGATCATGATTATTAAGTGATTCTTATAAGTGTGCTACCTCTTAAGCTAATTATTCATTATCCTCTTGCAGCGAGTGAATCTGCTCTTTATACAAATGATTCTCCTATGTTAGGTATTCACTTTATTAAATTTTATGTTGCATTTGTGATATATGAAGATCGTTTTCTTCTATTATTTAGTTATAATAAGAAGCAGCAGATTCAATTTATTTTCTGCATTCATGTATTTAATTTTCAAAGAATTCATTTTCTTATCTTAAATTCTAACTAATAGCAAATTATGTTCTAAGGTCATTCTTGAGATTTTCAATTTGATCATTTAATTCATTATTTTCTGTTTCAAATTAACACAATGTCTAGAATTAGGATTAGAAGCTTTACCTACTTCAATGTTTGAATTTCATTTTGTAATTTCTAATTTTCAAAGGTTATATTTTGATTGAGTTTGTGAAGATTGTCATATCTTTAATGCAATTCTAGTAATTCATCATCTTAAGAAGACATAAAATATATTTATATTTAAAATAAAAGATTAACGATCATAAAATTATCATTTTTCATCATCTGAATCACTCGCTCAAATATCGCATCTGAATAAGTTAATGAAATTGCCTTCCTTTCTTGATTTCATAGATAAGTTATCTTGTTTATGATAATTAAATGGATTAAGATATACAAGACATATCTGGTGGTACCCAATAACTATGGATCATACACTAGCCCCATAGCAATTATAATTAGCCAAACAGAGCAGTTATTTGAATATTATTTGATCTATTAATACCATATGAAGGGTTATTGAAAAAGAAGCAAATTGTGACCTGAATACATTAACTTAATTTATATTAAGGTTATTTTAAGTTTTTATGGATATATTTCGATGTTCAAGTAAGGGTTCTTAAAAATCCTATGATTTAAATGGAGAGACGGATATTTTTAAATTTATTATTAGAGATTACTAGTTTGGATCGATCAGTCTCAAATTGGGATTACTCATTCACTTTTATTTCTTAATAGAATTTTAAACACAATTTTATTTCAATTAAAAAGGGTGATTTAATAGGGAAACTATTAAAAAAGTTATTGTTTTTCATTCTCTAAGATTCTTTTTCACCTCCAATTCCTTCGTTTTTTAATAACTTTTCTTAAATAATTTATACGAGTAAACCTAATCACTTAAAATATATAATTCAATAAACCTCCTATTTTTGTTCATTATTTTATTCAAATGGCTGAAAAAATTCTATTTATTAATATTGATCCAATATATTTAAAAACTTGATTAGAAGCTTGAGTTGCAAAATTTAAGAATAATTAGTATTGGTTTCAAAAGATAGAAAGCTTTAAGATTTAACAAATTTAAAATAATGTAAATGAGTAATTACTAAATATATTCATATATGTGATCATAATAAAACCTAGTAACCTAATATCGATGGTTGCTAAGTCTAGTTTAATCTGTTTCTGGCAGTATTCGGAGCAGATGTATTGGGTCTTGTAAAGAATTATCGACTACTTATGTTGCCTTGTCTTAAATCAAAGCTTTCTGCCATTTAAAATGGTTTTACATTTTTAAAAAGTATATCATCAAATTTTATAAATTTTTTTATTATTTATGGTGTATATGAATTTTTCATAGCATTAATGCATTTGATTTAAGTATGTTATTTCTTATTTAATCTGCTTAAGAGCTTTTAATTTTATGATTTCAATTGCTCATTAGTACTTTATAAATCAATTTTACTTTTTTGTAATTCCTAAATAGACTTTTTACATTCAAATAGTTCTCTTGATAAATCAATAGAAATGCTTCGTTCTGCTTCAATTTTCTATTTGGATTATTTCATAGGTTTTTCTTTCTTCTTCTTAACTAGTTCTGTTTGAGTAGAAATAGAGAAATATTGATTTACTTTATCTTAATTTTAATTATTCATTGATCTTTGAGTTTCCTATTTAATTGTTTATTGTGGAATTAAAATAGGTTTAGAAATCTAAGTATTTGGCATTAGGAATACTGGTTAGGGTTGTTCATCATAATTAAGGAAAATTTCTGCAATATTTTTTTAAAGCATGTTTCTTTGGGTATGATATTCAAATTCAGAAATAATGTTATGATTTTTTAGTTATAATAATAGTGCATTTATCTTCTAGGTTAATAGTTAATTGACAATTTCAAGACTCACATAATTTTTTGTTTGGATAGACTTAAATTCTTACTCCAAAATAAGTTTTGAATACTGCTCATTTTTTAGCTTGAGTTATTCGCACATTAACTTAGAATCTTCGAACTGTTCAATAATTAATAACAACTATTATTTGTATTTAGATTCCATAAGTTTCAACTATTAGATAACGTAATCATGAGCTTTAGATTATAATTAGGTAAATTCATTCCTAAGTGTAATTGCTTATGAATCTCTTAAAATCTATATATATTAATCGTGTTTCATATGAGTTTATTATTTATAAATATAAATATTAGTAACAATTTATAAAATTCTAATAAGCATTCGTCTTATAAAATATTGTATTAAATTTTTTAAAAAATTAGAGAGGATTGATCAATATTGATTTTTTTGGAGAACATAATTGATGCTCTTATCCTGTTTATAATATTCAAACCATTCTCGATTGATAAGTAAAAGGGGAAGCGTTGACTTTAATTAGCAACCTATTTATTATATCAAATAATTCATTCTAATTATAAGAGAATATACAATAACTGAAATATTGATAATAAAACAATAATAGTTCTTTGAATAAATCCATTCATTTTTGTTTGATATCCATTTTTATCAATCTCATTCATTATTATGAAATCATTTACGTAAAATAACTATAAACAAAAATATTACTTTGAGATCTACTAAAATGTTAGTTTAACCCTTTATGATAAAAATATTATAAGAACCAAGTAGAAGAGAGGGAAGAATTAATTATATGATATATAATTATTATAATGATTTTTAATAATATAATTACTATGGTTATTGTTTAATACATCAATTAAAATGCAATAATATTTAGAGGTTGGCTATGCTTTGTCAAATAGAGCCAGATGTACAGGATGCTTTTAAAATATTGCAAAAAATGAAATTAGATTTGGACATGTTTTTGTGGCTCCAGGATTTGGATATGACAAAAAACATTGGTATCATTTAACTTGTTTAAAATTCATACCAAAAGGAGATCGTAATCAAGATGTTGCCCTGATTAACATTCATTGTTTGAAAACAGAAGATCAAAAGAAAGTGCATGATAGATTAGAATTCATTAAGAAAAACTGTGGAAAAAGTATATCATTTATATAATTATCAAGAATTTGCAAAAGAATGTAAATTATTGGAAAAACAAGATGATCAATGTGAATATATCAAAGCAGATAAAGACATCTTCTCAACTTTTATTAAGCATATGAAACACAAAGAACGAAAGGATTTAGGAGAGTTTTGATGATTTAATGATTATTTAATAAATAATATATAAATCAGATTGAATTAATTGGTTATACTAATCATTTCTGGAGAATGCTTTTGAATAAATTAATAATTGATATTTAGTGATATCAATTTGAAGTGATCTAAAAGATATGAACAATTTCAGATCTTAATTTATAAATTAATCAAGATTTTTAACTAATGTAATTCATTTTTTCTGGTTTGTCCAAAACAAAGAAAAATATTGATATTATTAACTGATAGTATTGTGCAAATCAATGTTAGAAGTGGTTATGATTATAATTTGACGTTAGGAATGATTATTATTTTATTGTCTAACTTTCTTATGTTTATTGTATCTAAATATTTATGTCAAATCAAATTTTGATTATTTAATACTTAATATGAAAACTCAGTCTGTATTTACTTATTCCGTTCACTCAGTCAGAGATTCCTGTCATTTTAAATTTACTAAGACAATTCAATAAAAACATAAACATTCGTTTAGTGACCTCTTTTCAAATAATCCATTAGAACAGTGCAACAAATAGAAGATAAGAAGAAAGAGTTGTTATTGTAATGAATGTGGTAGAATGAGTAAATTCCAATACAAATTTATGAATCTCAAACATCAATTACTCCAAAATAGAAATCAGAGTTATACTCTGCATTCATCAACACAACATTGGCCAAACTAAAATAAATTGTCTATTTAGCTTTCAAGTATTTTGTTATCATTATTAAGGTATTAAACATATACGCAAAAGTTAGAGCTCTTTTCGTATAAGTAGAAAATCATTATTAAATGAAAAATCTGAAGAACAAAGATCTCCACTGATGCTATATGACTCTTCATTTGCAAGATCTTCTATTAGTACAACATAGAAATTATTAGAGGAAACTGCTTAGAAAAATAAAACTTTCAGACCTAGTGTTTTTCATACTCATGATGGACCTTCTCCGTTTGTACTTAAATCTTAACAATTAATTACTTAACGACCTCCATAATCTGAGAGATTTACAAATACTAAAATCAAACTCCGCAATAATACTAAAATTTTATGTCCTCTCCTTATTGGGTTTACTAAAAAACTTTTGTGCCTTACAAAAGTGAAACCACCTCAAATATGCAAACACAATAGATTAAAAACATAATGATATATCAATATAATGTCATCTTTTAGTTCTTTATAATAATTATATTTTATATGTAATAATTAGATTTACCATTTGTCAGAAAACAAAAATAAAACACGGACATTTGGAAAGGTCCTAGTTTCAAGGACTATTCATTTGAAGAAGAACGAACTTCACATATTTATAAAAAACAACATCGAAGGAAAAGTTGTTATTGTTAATTGTGTGGCAAAATGAGTCTCTTTCAGTACACTTATATGAATGTCTCCTCTTGTGTGAATCATATCAAAAAATCCTTAATTCTGCAACAAGATATCGAAAAGTAATAAGAACTTGAAAAATAGTAGAGTATTATCGACCAAAGATTATTTAGAGATAACATTAATTTATAACATCATAATAGGAGTAAATCTATAGAGTTGAGCAATACTATATTTTTGAATAATTGTCTTAGAGATAGGAATAGAAGAAGTTGTGAATGTAGTGAATGTGGAATATAGAGCACTTTCTAATAAAAATATTAAAATTTGCACTTCTTTAAAAAATAACTACTGGCAAATCAATTTAGAATTAAAAAGATTTTAAAAAGACCTCAATACAGAAAATAGAACACAGAACAATTTTCACCCGTAAAAAATGGAGAGTTCAGGTATTTAAAGAAAAGAATGCTTGAAATAGATCTTAATAATTCAAAAAATGACCACCCCATATTAAAGAAGTTTCAAGTAAAATAACCTTAAACATAAAGAGTGCTACGTCATCAACAATCATTAAATCTATTTGAAACGAATACTAAAATTAAATTCGATTTACATTCACCTATAGAAAATAAAAAACAAATACTACCTTATTTTTAATTCAATTAAAACAGAAGTCCTCCCTAAAAGAATAATAAAAAACCTGCCATCACTAACCAATAAAAAGAATACTTTAAAAAACATAACTAAAAATCTGGTATATTTTGATTGTAATTCATTTCTTTGATTATTTTTTCTTCTGCATTTATATTTTAATAAATATAGATTTTATTTTAAAACAGTAATTAAAAGCACATTAATTTATTAAATAAACTCAGAATTCATTATGTCTTCATCAAGCAATCAAAAATAAATTAAACGGAGGAACAAAAGTTACATTCATATTACAAATCATCAAATACCTGAATAATGTAGAGAGCGAAGAAAAAGTTGCACTTGTTTGTAATGCGGATAGCTTAGCTCTCTATAATTCAAGTTTATCAATTTATAATCACAAATTTAACATTTTTCAACAAATAAACATAAGAAATTTTAGAGTATTGAATCCACATATATGGATTCTCAAGATACCATTATTGCAAATAATCAAATTCACAAAAGAATCACAAAACCAATCAAAGTTAAATAACACAATTCTAATATCAATAACATTAGTCTTATTTAAGCTAATTAAACCAATTTCTCTAAGAAATAACGATCAAATAGCTGCTACTGTGATGAATGTGGAAATATTACTAAGTTTTAATCATAAGCGAAGTTAATCTATACCTAATAAATAATTAAATCCAGGCACACTAATTTTAGAATTAAAAGAAATCTGGATTAAATGTTTAAAGGAATCAGTCCAATTGAAAGAAAATAAGAATAAGAAATTGAAGAAGATGAAAATAATCCACTCTAACCCAATCAAATTACCTCATTTAGAAGATCATTTATACTAATTAATTAGCCGATCAAATAAATCTAAAAGGTTCAATAAGGAAGTGGCAGAAAGATATTCCTTAGAGATGCTTGTAAGACCACTTTCTTCTCTAAGACCAATTCAAACAGCAGAGAATTTACAATTAAATCTGAGAGCAACAGCCCAAACATTACAAATAAAAAATTAAATCTTCCGATTGTCAAATCATCATATAGCAAGAACAGATAAGTAAATGAAGTTCAACTTTTTAAATTTACTCCTAAATTAAATAGTATTAATCTAATATCTTGAATTATAGATGACTATTATTAAAATTTAATATATTTATTTATTTGATATCTTTTATTCCTTTTTAGCCATTCAATCATTACAAATGGAATGAGTAAAATTGAGATTATGAGATACTATAAATGTTAGATTATTTTAACCAACCATTTAATTAAGATTCATTTGATTTTTCGAAATAACCAATAGGTTAAACTAGAAGGAAGGATTATTATTCATTAAAATATAAATTACGCCAGCTCCCTAAGCTTTAGAATTAGATTAAATAAGACAAGAATAAGAGTTGCGAATGAAGTACATAAGTCAATTTCAATAAAAACATTAAAATGATAGAAAGAGATCATGATTTTTTGGATAAATTCCAATCCAATATTGAAATAATCTTTTCTTTCTCTCAAATTTAATATAAAATACTATATTTATTGGACTACTAATTGTTCTTTTAAAGTTTTCTAATGATAGGTAATTATATAATCATCAAATCCATCCTAAAGAGTCAAATCTGTATTAAATCAATTTTCTCCAAAGCATTCAGATTAAAAATTAAAACCTTATTAAGAAAAATTTGTAAATTACTAAATTTTTGAGAACCGTTAAAAATTATCTCTTTGGCTTTTATTAAGATATGAAATGTGTTTATTAGTCTTGAACATATGAATTAAATCTTTTCATTAAGTAGAATTATAATAACAATTTCTAAATATATATTTTAAATAAGAATATATTAACATTTCTAAATAGGGAGAAGATGATGAAAGTAAAGAGAAAACGAATGATGTCGAATGAAGGAGTTCTAGCAGTAGTTACTGATTAAATTCTTAGGGAAAACAAACCAAAACTTAGGAAATTAACTAAAAAATAGATTTAGCAATTGAAAGAAAATAAATAAAATCAATCAGAGTCATCAATAGAGATTATTGAAAAGAAAAGTCCTTTGAAATGCTAAAAGAAGATTAAAGTTACTTAGGAGGCTTTGTAAAGATTTCTAAAAAGGACATTCATAATTATTAGTGATGATGAGGCTGAAGAAAATGATATTAGTAATTAGAAAGTATTATTAATATGAAAAAAATTAGAGCCATGGTTAAGAATAACTGAAAAGTTAATCAAGTTCAGGATCATCATCATTTTTTTCATCTTCATCTAGTAGTAGTAATTTATAATAATATGAAAAGAGAGAAAAAAAAATAAAATAGTTTTAAAATTATGGTCAATGATCAGATTATAATAATATTAATTTATGTTAATACAAATACAAATACAAAGTTTCTTTTTACCTGAGTAAAATTCTAAAATAAAATTATAAGTATTTAGAGAATGTACATAGTGTTATTAATTTTTATAATATAAATAATTTAAATTCAAAATTGAAATGAACTTTAGTGAAATTTTTCCTGGAGTGGTGTTTGCTTAATTTGCACCTAACAGCAAGTTTATTGTTTTGAGTAATGGAACAAGAGTAATTGTAAAAGAAACAGATTAATTATAATCGATTAATTTTACTCATTCATAAATTAATGATGCTTAAATACAATAAATAGAAATATCACCAAATAGTGAATTAATAGCATTAAGTTATCCAAAAAAGGGATATATAGAAATAAGGAAAATAGATGATATTAATTGGTGTGCAAAGATAGATGATAGTATTGAAACTATTTAATGGTGTCCTGATTCTATATAATTAGCAGTCATTAGTGAATTTTAAGTAAAAATTAATTAAATTGAATTAGATAAAAGCCTCAATTTATAATCTAAATAATAAAAATGTTACTCATTTTAAAAATCCAAAATAAATTTCATTTAGTAACAATGGAAGATTTATGGTTATGAGTGAAAGAAAAGATGCTAAAGATTTTATTGGTATTTACAGTGTAAGAGATTGGAAATTATTAAATTATCAACCATCTGATACTTTAGACATCGCAGTATTGCAATGGTCACATAATGATTCATTCATTGGGGTTTAAGACACTGAGTTAAATGTAATTTATTAGATAATAATGTTTTAGTTCAGGTTGAATATTCATTGTCCTTGTTAAGGTCTATAAATGAAATTCGAACCTTATTCATATTCATTAGGCATAAAGGTAAGTAGATTTGCCAACCAAAGTGACTTGATGGCTGTTGGAGCAAATGATGAGAAATTAAGAATCATAAATCTATTGACCCTAAAATAAATAACAGAATTAGAACATAAGATAACAAAAGATGTTCTCATCTATAAAGAAGAGGAATATTCTGATTAATATTCATAGAGAGTGGTTACAAAATGTATTATTCTAATGTGATAATTAGTTACTTAAATGGAATAGGGTTGTAAAATAAATCTATCAAAGACTTAAAATGGTATTAGTTTATTGGAATGGAGTTATAAGGATGATTATATTGCCACTAAATTTGATGCGATGTAAAATTGTGTGTTCATTTGGGATATGGAATTATTGACCTTAAAAGCCATAATGGTCTAAATATTACCTGTTAGATCTTTTACATGGTCTAAGAATTCTACCACTCTAACAGTTTGTACTGGAAGTAGTAAGATATTCTTTTGGAATCCAACATGTACATCTGCTTGTGATATGCCATTCGACAAGAACTTCCATGTTGTAAAAATAGATTGGAGCACTGATCAAAAAAGTATGTTGCTTTTTGATAAATCTGATGTTGTTGTTGCCTATCCAACTCTAGATGATAGTTTTTGATTAATTAATTATATTAACTCATCAGATATTTGTTAATATTATAATATGATATATTATGCCATTGTTAAATGAAAATAAAAGACTATATTTAATATTTGAAAATGAGCAAAACTCTATTCATAAGAAATTAAATAACAATTATTATTTGTAATCAAATAAGCAAGCAGCATTCATCTGATACTTCTGTTTCAGGAGAAACATAATTATATTTTTTCCAGCATTCTACTTCAATTACTGTTTGAACAGCTTTCCCTTTCTCTATTTCATCTATAAATGTAATTTTGTGTTTCTTAACTCCTTTCATTATTTCGGTGCCAGCTTTGTCCTGTCTTTTTATTTTCTGAACTACTATCTAATCTTAATTCACAATATTATTTGTTAATTCCATACTATTATAAATATGAACAAATCCTACTCAAAAAACCTAAGATCATTCTTCTAAAACTCAATTTTTCAGTCAACAAATTCTCCAAATATACATAATTTATCGACTTACAGAATTCATAATATTGAAAAACCACATAGTAATCGATACAAAAACTGAAGATTTCACTAAAATAAATTAAAAAAACCATAATTTCTATCAAATATTCTGTTTCCCTTGTTATCTAAGCAATTATATCACAATACCATGAGTTTTCGATGCTAAACTTCTAATAAAATATAATGATTCAAACAAAGCATCTAGATGGTATATTTAAAAATAGAAATTAATTATAAATTGACAGCAGAGCAATGTTATATTAAAAAAACACAAATTGTTGTTATAAGTGAATTATCTCTAAGGTGAGAATAGAATAAATTTGGGTTAATATTAATATCTATAAAGTATAGAATTGTAAATAGAAGAAGAAATAGAAGTTTGATTAATCCATTAGAATTATACTTTGTTAATTGATAATATTTGAACTTATAGTTCACTTTTTCTTATTGCTTTTAAACATATTTTAGATTGGATCATAAGGATCAGGTTCTGGTTTCCATCCTTTTTGATATTTCCATGTTTTTGGAATTTTTCTATCTTAAGGTTTCAAGTCTTTGTTCCTTTATTTATTATTTTGATCAGTTTAAAACTTCTCCAAGGCCTCTCCTTTGCCATAAGTTCTGTTAATAGTAATTTTATTAGGGTCAACTTATATTTTTTCAATTTCCTTTTGATAATATAAATTGGAAATACTTGTTACAGATTTTTAATTTATTCATCAATATTATAAGGTTTAGTAGCATCCTCTAATTTGAGATTCTCTGAATTGCCTGCTAAGAATCCCCAATCTCTATTCCAAGCAGCTGTGCATGTTAATTCATTATTAACTCTTCCTATCCAATTTCTATCATCTGCAACTGGATCTCCTGTTGACACAAATTTTCCACCTGCTTACTTTTACTACACTTGTTTAGGCATGAAATTTATTTGATATAAATAATAATTAATTAAGTTACATAAAATACAGCATATAAACATATATATGGAAATATGTATTGTTATCGTTAATAATATGAACAAATACTTAAGATGATAAAAACAAAAAAGAGTTCATTAAATAATATAATGGTTGTATGTTTCATCTTTTTTTATTGGAAAATCTCTCAAGCACTTTATTCAATGAATCTTAATGCATTTTAACTTTTGGAGTGACTGTGAGTAATTAACTCATATTTATTATAGTATATTTCGGTTTCTTTTTAATTGGAGATTGAGAAATATTTTTTTATCTTTGTTGATCTTCTTGAGTTATAGTTGGAGTGAATTTAAATCGAATTCGAGTCTTAGTAGTAGAAGGAGTGTAAAAGTTAGCACTAAAAGAACCCATCTAATAGGCTTGACTTTAGGTAGGTCTATGATGATGAAGAGAGTTGATCGACTGGTTAAACTATTTTGGTTATGATAAAGTTCTTATTCGATGACTGCTGTTTTCTGAGATTCTTTTTTCCAATTTAGGTAAATAGCCTGTAAAAAGAGTATCTAAATAGCACTACTCTTCGATATCCCATCCTGAGTTATCACATAAATTCATTTTAAATATATAATTTAATAAGTTTCTTAAAATTAAGTTGCAAATCATAATATTCCTATTTAACTCCTAATCACCTTAATTGATATCAATAATTATCACCTATTTATCATTATATAAGACATAATAATAATTGAATAATAAAATTAAAAACTATAATGAAATAATCAACGAAAAAAGAACGAAGAGGCTCAATTGATTCCTAGCTTTCCTCCTCTATATTCAAGTCTAACTTTTTAGCAATTGACATCAAGAAATAAATAGATGATGAATAAGTAAATTATTAAGGAGATGATGAACTTGCGATATCGGAAAAATGTATAACTCTATCCTTTAATTTAGAACCAAAATATCAACCAATACCTTTGTTGAATAATGAATAATTAATTAAACTAAGCAAAAAAAAGAATTTGGGAGATGAGGAAAAATTATAAATTGCTGCAACATTGATACAATAGAGAGGTCTCAAATTTCTTTAGTATGTCAACTATTATTATTAATTAGACGAAGAGCCATTTGGATGAATTTCATTGAAAAAGGGGATGCCAAAAAGTATTTCTAAAAGTAACCTCCTTAAAATGTGCAACAATAGATAAGCAAGGATCTCAACAGATCTGGACATGATGATAAAATGAAAACCAATAAATTCACTCATATATTAAGTCGAATTTTAGGAGCTTATGCCATATATAATCCAAAAATAGGATATACATAAGGAATGAATATTATTTGTGGGAATATTATTCTATTATTAAGTATTGATGGCAACGATACTTAATTGGAATTGGATAATTTTGAAGTAATAGAAGATGAAGAAGAAATGTTTTGGATGTTTGTTCATTTAATGAAATCAATGGAGAATCTCTTTATTTCAGGAGTGCCAGGCATTCATAGTAGAATAGCAGAACTAGAATTAATGCTCTAAAGTCGTTGTAATGAAATACTTCTACATTTGTAAAGTAACAATATTGTATGAATATGATCATTTATCTAGAATAACTTATGCTAATGTTTTAGTTAATATTATTTTACAATGCTAATGTAAAAACAAGATAAGAAGTTCGTAAGACTAATACTAGAAATGTACTTATTATATGGAGAATCATTTATTTAAAATTTTATTGTTGGAACCCTATAATTTTATTAACTTAAAATAACAAACATGAATGAATTAGAAAAATTAATGCCATTTTTTAGAGATACAATGTTTGCTTCCTATTATTAAGAATTGAAAAAATTAAAAAAACAAAATTTAATTATCTAACATTTTCAATCGAATCACTATTTTGATAAAGTGCCATATTTAGGTAATTCTTCAAACCAACCCATTGTTGAAAAGAAAGGAAAGAAATAATAATTCTAAGAAAAAATCTTAAATTTACTGAGTAAAAACTGGTTGAAAAAATTCCTTGGTTAATGATTTATATATATATACTCATATAATTATACATCAACCTAAACGTATACCTTATCCTTAAAAGAACTGTCTCTAAGGCTGCTGGAATTACTATTAATTAAATCTGTTTCTTGCAAAAGGAGTATATTTTACAATATATTTATTCACAAAGTTCTTACTAAGAAATTACAATGAATTGTTACAAAAATTTGGGTGTTTCCAACAAGGAAATGTTCTGAGTAACTGGTAGAAAGTCTTTAAATAATAAATATGAGTGTGCTATTCCTAAACCTATAAGATCCTAGACTACGTCTTGATCAGTGATGGCATCAAAAGCAATGAGGACCCATGGAAAGTATTCACTTTTGAATTAAAATCCAAAGTAGAATCTCACAGTTTCAAATGGTTTTCTCTTGCACCAAACATAGATCAATGCAAAACAAAATGCTCCAGATAAAAATCCGTAATCAAATAACCAACTCATTATCTACATAATCAAATGTATTACATCTCCTGTTATAAAAAAGTAAAGAATCATATAGTAGAAATCTGCATAATTAGATCCTTCGAACATTATTTCACAGTTCTTTATACAAAAGATTATAAACAACAAATGGAGGATAAAACTAAAGCTTAATGTACCGCTGAAAAAGTAATGAGTAAATAATCTATGGATCTACATAATTCGATGATAATTGATACTTGAAGACTGAATATTTTCTTAGCATCGAACATTATGTACCACAAATAAGCTGGCTTGAATTTGCCTATTATTCCAAATAAGACTAAAACACTCACATATGTTCTTGTAAAAAGAGGTTATTTTGTATACCAACTGTTGAAATCGTTCATCATTCTTGACGTGTAATATTATTATAAATTAAAGAAATTAATTAAAGAATATTCTCTTTTAATTATACATAGTTATTCTATCATCAAGTTACTAATCATTTATAAAAATGCTTAGTTATGCAAGTTCATTATATATCTCTATTAATTAAGCTAAATACAATAGAAATTCAGATAAAAACCTAAATCTGCATTATAAATAATTTAAACGACAGAATAGTCTACACTAAATACACTATTCGATATTCAGGGATCTAACTACAATTATTTAATTAATTTTTAATGTATTTATTATTATTATAAAAAATAATGGAATTTCCTTAACCAATAAACTTATTGATATCTCTAATTCATTTTAAACCAACTAGAATATAATAATTGTTACTAAAAGAATATCAATATAGCACACATGCCCGAGTGGTCTAAGGGGCCGCACTCAAGATGCGGTGAGTCATTCTCGCGTGAGTTCAAATCTCACTGTGTGCAGTTTTTTCATTTTTTATTTTAATAGTATATATACTAAGAATTATAACATTTTAAACTAATATTATTTAAATATTAAGGTATTAAATTAAAAATTAAGTGAATATTCACTAATTTGAGAATTTCATATAAATTCCAAAAGTAATGCTTCCAAAGATGTATAATTGTGTAAATTTATAAATTAATAAAAATAAAATCATTATATTGGCTTCAAATCAAATGCTAGTGTCATAAGAGGATGGTTTTAGAGTTTGGTTTTATCTATTGGAGGCTTTTGAAAAGGCAGATTCAAAGTAGGTAAGGAATATCTACCATACTTAATTAAATCATGTACAAACCATGTGACTTTATCTTTTTTAGTTGAGAAATACAGCAGCAATTAACAAGCCTGTTTAGTAATTCCTTGATTCTTTTCACTATTAAAATCAATTTCAAATTCAATTTTTTCATCTTCAAATAGGATTGCTCCTTTTTGGCTCTCAAATGTTTAATCTATTTTATATTTGCAGGGTTCATCATTCACATCATACACAACCTTGTCTTTACAACAGATAGCCACATCCACTATGTATTCATCATCTCTAATCACTCCATTAAGCATTTCAAGTAAGATGACTACTTTTTGAGCATAACCCTAATCTACTGATTTGTCTTGAGATTTATTAAAAATGCTTGGGATTGGTCCTTAGGATCTGCTAGACTTATTTAGATTTGACATTTTGGATTGATCCAATTTTGATTAATTATTTAGGCTAACATATGTATCATATAATGGCAGTTAATTAGCTTTTTATTCAGTAGTCATAATAATAAAATCTACTTCAATTTCTTATTTCTTCATAGTTTCTGGATTAAAAGGAGGTGATTATCCTGGAGGAGCCAATAGATTGCATTAATAAGCTCCTAATTTCATTTTGTAATCATTTTGTGCATTATCAAGATAAAATAATGGAGTAGCTAGCCAACCAAATAGATCCTTTTAATTAATAAATAAACCCATAAATAGCATAACATCATCTCCTCTGTAATTGTACAACCAATCAAGGGATAATGTGAATTCGTGTTTTGTTTTAAATTCAATTTCCTTTTCCCCATTTGTTTTAATAGGTTCTAATTATAAGACTGCCATCTAAGGCTGCTATTCAAAATCTTCTAAAATCTTAGACCCATTAAAGACACCCAACTTTAATTTAATTGGAGCTGTTTTGTATTCATTAGTAGGTAATTTAGCCAATTTAATTAATCTAAATGTTAATTTTGCGTCTCCGAATTAGCTTTTCTATCTATTAGTTTATGATCCAGGAGTTGGAGTTGTGTTTTTTGATTAATTTTTAGAACCTCGATTTGAGAATCTAGTTTTCATTTTAGTGGTTGCTCCTCCGCTTTTTGTTACAGGACTATCAGCTGATTGATTAGTATAGGATAGTTATGAGATGTTTTATTTAAAAGTTTAATTCGATAGACCTAAATCAACTGGTGGAATGTCTTTCTTTTTCTCAAACTTCTTGGATTCATTCAAATAGACATCTTAAATTTCAGCAAGAGAAGCTGCATGTGCTGTTGTATGAATATGCATGTCAGGCATGTCATATTCACTTTCTATCACTATAATATCATTGGAATCTAAGATTGGATCTCCAGGAAGACAAATTCTACCATAAACCAAAGTATTGTTAACATATGGTAATGCTTAAGTGAATAAGAAATTTGGATTTAGTTTTTGACTATAAAATGGAATCCGAAATCTTCCTATAAGCAATTTACCTTCATCCTAAAATAATCTGATCATTGACCATCCTATAACTTCAGGGATATTCGACTAATAACCCCATAATTCAACAAACACATATGTGTCAGGATAAGCTTCTAAATCTCTAATAATATCCCTATCAAAGAATACTGCCTTATTAGTTCTATAGGTTTCAAAAGCTGTAAGAGAATCTTTCGTTTGTTTATATGGGTACATATCTGAACCTTTTCGAAATATTCCATAATTAATTCTTAAAGTATGAAATTGAATTTCAACCATTGATGCGTAATCAAAAAAGAGTACAAACCCTTCACTTGCTGCATAATGAACTGCTCTATTAGATCTATCAAATAAATTAACTTATTGTTTTATTAGTTTTTTTCTATACTCCTTGTCTTTATTAATTGCATCGGATACTCTTTTGTCAAAGACGGCCTTTTCTATTAAGTTTCTTAACTTTTATAATTCCTTGTAATTGTCCATTAATCTTTAATGATCGGCTGATCTTGGGTCCAATTTACTCATCATCAATAATAGCTCAGCTTCTTGGTTTCTTAGATATTCTAAGGTCATATCATCTGCATTGTTAGGATCAATCTTCTTCTTCTCCTCAATTTTCATAGGCTGAGTTTGTAATTATAACTTATTCAATTCTTCTCTAAAAGACTACGGTAAATATTGATAGATTGGATGAGTTGATAAGGAATTTGAGTTCATTTAATTGTTTTGTTAATAGATGGCTCCTTATTATGGACGATGTAGATTTGGCTATGAATAGGACACATTAGGAGCCATTGGTTGTTAATATGAAGAATTTCTTTAGTTTTAAGGAATATGAACGTATTGAGGTTATTAAGGTAAGTCATACTACGAACCATTTGCCTTTCTATTTATATTTCTTTCTAATTGAGAAAGATTCAATAAAAAATTAGGATCAACTCCTCCAGCTTTAACATAGTCTTTCCTTAACTAATCTATCTCATTTAAATAACTATCTTAATCAGTATTTGCTTTCTTATTATCATTAATTTATTCAAATGGTAAGACTAGCCTTGTATTACCTTTATTATATTCTTCCAATTATTCTCTGATTTTTTATAGATGTTCTAATTATTCTCTCTAAGTTTTACCAATACTTTATTTCAATAAATATCTAACTTCATTTGATGTATTATCCCCTGGACCACTATCTAATATGAAAAGATTCAAATACTCATGACTTCATCTAGATCTCGATGCAATATATCATCTGCTTATCGTGCTTTTAAAAATTATAATCTTGCTTCATCCTTATTTAACTTTTATTTAGCTGCATCAAAATTTTGGTTTTTACTCACATCCATCAATACTGAGAGTCCTACACTAGACAAGGTATTTGGATTCTATTATTCTCTGTACACCTTTGCTTTTTCTGTCTACAGTTACTCATATTATAATTTCATCTTCAAAATTTCTTCTCTTTTCTTATACATTTCTTAATTTGATATACCCTTGGTGTTCATCAATTTTTCATTCAAAATATACTATTCTCTATAATTTTATAGGTTCCTTAAAAATTGCTATTCTTTTCCATGAGTTGCTTATCTCTGAGACATCAGATTTTATAAATAATACTTCTTCTAAACTTATTCCGGAGTCAAGAATTTCATTCCTCCTCTATCCAATTAATTAATTTCTGCCTATATCTTAGCCATATCTCTTTCATACTCTCCTTGAATAATATGCAATCTTTCTTAATTATGACAATTACTTATTTAATAACGAAAACATCTCCTAAGCCTCTTAATCATGATTTGCTTATCTAACAGATAAATTACTCTTCTAATTTGCTTACTCCAATAAAGAATCGCTTAAAATTCTAGACATTCTAATTAAAATTAATTGTTAATCTCGTAAAACAAATTTTATTATTTGTATTATATTACATATATATTTATTAATAAAATAGTACATAAATTTTTAGATTAAAAATAGTACAAAAAATATGTTTTCAGGAATAAATTCTGATGTTAATTAATGTACACCTATTCATTTATAAACACCATACTATCTCTAGAAAAGTAATAATATTTTTTATGTAATAGCAAACTAATACAATTTGTTAATTACCCTTAAGGCCATAAAGAAGAGCAAATCTAGATTATGATATTAGGATTAAGACTGTTGAGTCTAATCATTTCGAACTTTAATTTTTAAAGGACGTCATGCTTCATATTTACAGCTTTGCAATCTAACCTGAACCTGCTTAGGATTCAGAAAAGGAAATAAGAAAGAAATTTGATGAATTTAAAGATGAAATTTACAAAGCAGGAATTAAAAGGTATTGCATCACAGGAATGAATCTTTGGAGCTATCAATTAAGATAGGATGCCATTCATTTAGAAAAAGTGGTGAATAAAGAAGGGAAGATGATATTAGATATCAAATATATTAAGACAATTAATTTAAAAGAGATGACCAAGTTTGATGATTAATAATCAATAAATGTGACCAAATAAGCTGTTAATGCTATACTTAAGTAACTATATGAATAGAGAAACATGAAAGAGTTGTTTGGAAAAGGTAAATTTTATGAATCCAACATAAATTAAGAAAAAAATCTCTAGAAGTTTAACGTTGGCTACATGAAAGGTTTCAGAAGTGCACTTTGCAATGGTTAATCATCCCCTTTACTTTAAATAGATTATAGTGTAAAGTTAATCAATACATATACGATATTGAAGATGATTTCAGATTTGAAATGGAAATTCGATAAACATGAAATATATGAAAAATTAAGTAAAAAACTAATTGGATAATCTGGGCTTGCTCAGTATTCGAATCGATTCTATAGAATCAATGATATAGACTTTTCTAGAAATCCATAATCCATGATGGAAGATGGAAAAACTACATACCGTTAATATTATTAATAAAGATACAAGATTACTATTAAGGATTTATCCTAGCCTTTATTGGTCCATTATACAAAAAAGGGATAATAAATAAGATTGATTCCTGAATTAATGCTGTTAGCTGGAATAACAGAAGAACAAAAAAATTGCAATTAACTCAAAAAAGACCTTAGACCTATATTAATTGTCAATCAAAACGAACGATAATAAAGGATTATGAATGAAAGAAGTGTATTAGAGCAATTGATGAAAGAATAAAATATAATCCTAAAATCTAATTCTAAAACATAAGCTTATGAAATAAAGAAGCCAGAAATCTATGCTGAAGGAGATATAAAAAGTTTTCCTGGTGGATGCTTTGAGATAAAAAATAAATTTTATTAATAAAGTGAACTAAATAGCTGGGTTTTAATTTATAATGATAGAGAACAATAATTCGCCGATATTTTTGTAAACTAACTAATATATAGTGGAAAACATTATGGATTAATTTTTTCATAACCTATTCGTTTAAAGGTTCAAAGTTATCAAAGTTAAGATTGGGTATCTTGCCTTAAAGAAGATTTTGAGAAGAACGGAATACCAAAATTGGTAGTTTCATTAATAGATCAAAAAGAAGATAAATAGATTTATCAAGATTTAAAATAGTATTTAATTGCTAAGGAAGGCGTATCTCATCAAAATGTCACTTTATAAGTGATTGAAAAAGAAAAATTTGGCGCAATAGTTCCTAAAATAGTCCAATAAATACATAGCAAATTAGGAAATTAAACATGGAATATATAAAAGATAAAAGAGATATCAGATAATATTATGATTATTGGAATTGATGTTTATCATAAAACAGTTTAAAAAAATGATTCTTGTGTTGGATTCAATGCTTAATTTGGATAGTAAGGCTATGCTAATTTTACTAAAACTCTAATTGTATAAAAAGGAAAAGAAATCAATAGAGATGTTGCCATGTTACTAGAACAAAGCTTGGAAGAATATAAAAATTATAATAATAAAATATTACCTGATACAATTATAGTATTTAGAGATGGAGTAGGTACTTCATAGATAAATAAATTATATTAGGAGGAGGTAGTAACTATGAAAGAAATTATTAAGCAAAAATATAATTTAAAATTGCCAGAATTTGCATTTATAATGGTGAATAAGAGAATAAATGATAGATTCTTTTCATAATCAAAAGAGAATTTTGGAATGATTGTTGCAGATAGAGTTGTCTCGTCTCATTTTGATTATTTCTTGATTGCATAATAAGTCAATTAAGGAACTGCAACTCCTACACATTATACAGTTTTGGAAAATTCAACCAAGTGGACTGAAGATTAATTTTGGAAATTCACATTTTATTAATGTTTCAATTACAAAAACTGGTGTGGCCCAGTTAAAATACCAGCTTGTGTTTAGAATGCCCACACTGCGGCTTATAGAGTTGGCGAGGTTATCAAAGCCAACGCGAGCTATTACTTGGAAACCAAATTATTTTATATATGAAAATATATTGTGTTTCCTTAAAAAAAAAATCAACAAAAAACTATATATTTCATTAATTTTATTATTTGAAGTAATCACTAAAACTATATTTCTTAAATCCATCCTTCAAAACCTTAAGTGTCATAATTTCTTAATTTTGTTCAATTATTTTTGTCTATTGTTCAATTAGTAATTATTTTAATTACTCATTCTCTTATCTAACTAACTCCATCTCTAATTCAAAATCATGATTCCGTTATAGTAGCTTTAATATTCTCTTCTCCAATTATTCTTGTTCTTCATTATGTTTAGGTATTTAAACTAACTTATTAAACTTATAAATACTATTTTCAAGTTCCTAAATGTATTCTTGTAACTTTTATTATTCTCTAACTTTGTTTACCGTCTCAACAACTTCACTTCTGATTCTGGTTCCATTTTTTTAGATTGAATTTATCTTCACTCCTGAACTCCCGCTCACTCTTACAAGTTTCTCAGGAGTGACAAATTTTTATTAAGGGATTGGCGAATGAGAAGAATTACGTGAATTTCTCATATACAAAGAATGAGATGGTGTTCTATTCATATTTTAAATATTTTTAACTTCAAATATATTAATAAACTTATAATACTACTATACTATCAATAATTTATTGATAATGCTTATTAGGCCATTTCAGAAAAACTATCAATGGCTAATTTAGCTAATCCATTCGTTCCCCAAGTATCTCCCCATGTGTTTTCAATAACCCAATACTATTATCCATTCTATTCGCCCCATCCTATAATTTTCACTGCTTAGCCACCATGAAAATGAGGCTACCCTTCCAACACTTAATAAATTCCATCTCTATAGATTAAAAAGTCTTTATAAACTGGGATAATAGCAACTACTGGTCCTTTATTTAACAGATCTCTTTTGATATCCTATTATATAAATATTAATACGTCTTTCGTCTATAACTAACAATATGACTCTGCTTTATATCTCTAACAATGTCCAAGGGCGTTAGTACACTCTTTAAATGTATCATCTCCTTTAAAAGGATGACATTCATTTGTTGTTAATCCATGCTTTATAATATAATCAGCTGATTTTGTTAAATGTCCTCCTTTGCACCCCAAGTTTAATTTACCATCACAAGATAGTAAATTTTGAGCAGATAATTATTAAGTTTAATTTTATTTGCAAACTCTGTCTGAGAATGAAGAAGAAACAGCAATAGAATAAGATGATGAACAATTTCCCTAATTGTAAACTAGATGATTGCATTATGGATATGCTTCCTTGAAGTTGTAATATACAGGAATTTCATCCATAAAAGACAATTTGCATTTCTCTACATTTATTTGTTAAGTGAAATCATTTTTAAATAAGGTTTTTGCTTACATTAATGTGATATTCTATTGTAAATATAATAATTAACATAGAAAAAAGCATTTGGGCCTAATGTGTATGAATGGCCTTAGGAATTATGCAACTTTATTTCAGATTCATTAATTATGATGTATTCTTTTGTTTATTTAGTAAATGATAAAAAAGAAATGATAATAAACCCAATCACAACTATTAACTTGAGGAATTTCTTACTTGATAATATAATATGAATTCTGTAGGTAGTTATAAAATCTGGTTTTGTGGTCCGTTTCTTAATCGCTGTTTACAATAGTTTTAGTTTCTCAACTTATTACTTTGTAGGACAAGGACTCGACGAACGTGGTCCACGCATTCTTAATTAATTAATAATTATTTAATCATTTTTTTATCATAATAAAAATCTTATAGGGATATTCCTTGATGGTATTACAGCAATCCCCCAATTAATTAAATAAAACGTAATAAGAAAATAAATGATGAAGTTTAGGTTAAAGCTAATGATTGAAATGCTATTAATATATCATAAAAAATGCATAATTCGATAAGATTAATGATCTGGAGAATTTGGTTTGGAAAAATCTTTGTTATTAGAATATCAATCAAAGTTCGTAGATACANATACTATCAATAATTTATTGATAATGCTTATTAGGCCATTTCAGAAAAACTATCAATGGCTAATTTAGCTAATCCATTCGTTCCCCAAGTATCTCCCCATGTGTTTTCAATAACCCAATACTATTATCCATTCTATTCGCCCCATCCTATAATTTTCACTGCTTAGCCACCATGAAAATGAGGCTACCCTTCCAACACTTAATAAATTCCATCTCTATAGATTAAAAAGTCTTTATAAACTGGGATAATAGCAACTACTGGTCCTTTATTTAACAGATCTCTTTTGATATCCTATTATATAAATATTAATACGTCTTTCGTCTATAACTAACAATATGACTCTGCTTTATATCTCTAACAATGTCCAAGGGCGTTAGTACACTCTTTAAATGTATCATCTCCTTTAAAAGGATGACATTCATTTGTTGTTAATCCATGCTTTATAATATAATCAGCTGATTTTGTTAAATGTCCTCCTTTGCACCCCAAGTTTAATTTACCATCACAAGATAGTAAATTTTGAGCAGATAATTATTAAGTTTAATTTTATTTGCAAACTCTGTCTGAGAATGAAGAAGAAACAGCAATAGAATAAGATGATGAACAATTTCCCTAATTGTAAACTAGATGATTGCATTATGGATATGCTTCCTTGAAGTTGTAATATACAGGAATTTCATCCATAAAAGACAATTTGCATTTCTCTACATTTATTTGTTAAGTGAAATCATTTTTAAATAAGGTTTTTGCTTACATTAATGTGATATTCTATTGTAAATATAATAATTAACATAGAAAAAAGCATTTGGGCCTAATGTGTATGAATGGCCTTAGGAATTATGCAACTTTATTTCAGATTCATTAATTATGATGTATTCTTTTGTTTATTTAGTAAATGATAAAAAAGAAATGATAATAAACCCAATCACAACTATTAACTTGAGGAATTTCTTACTTGATAATATAATATGAATTCTGTAGGTAGTTATAAAATCTGGTTTTGTGGTCCGTTTCTTAATCGCTGTTTACAATAGTTTTAGTTTCTCAACTTATTACTTTGTAGGACAAGGACTCGACGAACGTGGTCCACGCATTCTTAATTAATTAATAATTATTTAATCATTTTTTTATCATAATAAAAATCTTATAGGGATATTCCTTGATGGTATTACAGCAATCCCCCAATTAATTAAATAAAACGTAATAAGAAAATAAATGATGAAGTTTAGGTTAAAGCTAATGATTGAAATGCTATTAATATATCATAAAAAATGCATAATTCGATAAGATTAATGATCTGGAGAATTTGGTTTGGAAAAATCTTTGTTATTAGAATATCAATCAAAGTTCGTAGATACACATTATATTCTTAAATTAGCAAATGATATTTAACAAATTTCATTTTAAGGAATAATCTCAAAAATTTAATCAATAAATTTGTAGATCACATTTCAATTGTTCTCTAATTTGAAATGAAATACAAACATTTCAGAAATAATTTCGCCAAGTTGATTGATACTGCTTCAACCTATATTTTCATTTCTTTTTCTTAATTTGTCATTTTAACACGAATTAAATAACTTTCATAAATAGTTAACATCTTACAATTATGCATTAATTTAATACATAAGAAAATTAAAATCAAAATGACGATTATTCTTGATATTTTTTGCAGGTTATTTAGTAATAAATTCATAAATAAAATTGGTTGAGATTAGATACCAGTGAAACTATTCTAAAAACTGAAACTTAATTTCTAATAAGGAAAAAAGGTAGTTCTCTTTAAAAATAATTATTCTAAACATATTTATATCATTTTAAGGTTTTGAAATCGTACCTCTAATTAATAAATGTAAGTTGATAAAGATGCTTACTAAGATCTTCTCGTTTATGTCAATGTTAGAGATTTTAATATTTCTATATTCAAAACTTTATGTAATTCAGTATTTCTTCATACCTATTATAATATGCAATCTTATCAAGTTTCCAATACCAGTAACTGGCTTAATAATTTTAAGATCTTTATTTGCTTTGTTGATTGTTAAATGAATATCTCTATTATAATTAACTTATAATCTAAAGTTTCTAAAAGTTAATAAGAATTGATATTGGTAACTATAATATCATAATGGCTATTTAAAGCTGATAGATAATTAGTGAATATTTCATAATAAAATTTAATAATGGATAATTAAAAGAAGTGCCTTTTTGAAAAATTTGGAGGAGACTAACAAGTTTCAGAACTCATTGATCAATTCTATTATAAAGTATTGTTTGATAAGCTACTTCGTGACAAATTTTTGAAGGCAGATATGAGTAGAGTTCGATATCAATAAAAGCGATTTTTCGCTTAGATGATGGGTGATTCTAATACCTAATATACTGGAAGGTATTTTATTTGCTTATATAACAATAGAGATTTAATCGAAGTCCACAAAAATCTCAATATCACCAACTAATAATTTGATAAATTTAAAACACATCTCAAAAATATTGCTTTAGATATGGAAATACCCAATGCAGACATAGAAGAGCTACTTCAACATGTTGAAAAACACAGAGACCTCATTGTATTCTAAAAATGATAAACTGTTTATGTAATTGGTTATTCTTATATATACAAATACCGAATTATTTTTATCATATTAATTTTATCCATATTATTTAGAATTCTAAATTGCATCATGTACTATTGCATATTAAATAATCTCTAATATTAATAATACTAAAAGTAATTTAATACGCAATATTATCAAATAGAAATAATTTGATAGAAAGTGAATCCTTAATAATAGAAATTATAGTTAATTGTTATATCATATTGAATCAATAATCAAATTTAACTAATGCAATGTCTTTTCCTTGGAGATGTGTTTGCTTTTATGCATATTTATTACTTGTCACTTTTTGTCTAATTTTTTTTGAATAAAGGAATCAAATAGACATTCTAGTATTTCTTATTTTGAGCTATGATAGTTTCCCTATGAATAGGAGATCTTTGCGTTAACGATTTTAAGGAATAATTTTCTAATAGCGGTTTTGGTGGTTAACTCATTTTACGAATTGGACTCTAAGGTTTAGATGATATTTTAAAAGTATTCAATTAATCTAAATTAAAAAACGAGGACTTTTTTTATTTTTATTCAGCAATCAATTATAACTTTTCTTCAGAATTAGCTAATATTATGCTCTAACGAAATCTACAGTGATGTGCAAATCTACTTTATCTTCGAGATGATAAGACTGATGATTTCTTCAGAATTGGCGAATCTTCAAATTGAGGAGAGAATTCGTCAGCATTTAAAGAAGATTGAGTTTAAGAAATAGCAATTTATTGTTTTTTAAACATTGTTCTTACTTTCTCTCTGTATAATGGAATATGATGTGTTTTATATTAAAATTAACTTTAAGTTCCACATTCTGAACAATAGCAACTCCTTCTTCTGGTTTTATTAATCTTGATTAGGTTGTGCACATCTTATTTGTATGTAGATCTAGGTGTATTGTCTCTATATTATTTAAAAACAATAGGTTTATATGACTTGAGATAACTATACAAAGAGCCTTGTTTATCATCACATTTAGAATTAATAGGATGTTGTCGTCTACTCATCATTATAAGTAAAATATGATATTAAAATTTTTAATCAAATTGTACATTTAAAGTCTTATTTCTTATTTATTTAGGGTGAATCCAAATTAATAATATTGAAACAGCTGTTCTAAATAGATGGTAATTTAATTATATACTATAAAATGAATATAATAATTATCATTTAATTCTGAGGATAACATTGAAGTTTAACTAAAAATATCAATCAAATATTGAATTGATGCTTGATAATATGTTACTACCTTTTGTTTGTATTGTTGAAGTGATATGCTTTCATTACCCAATGTCTATCTCTAATTTTAATTTATATTCAGAGTTGGAGATGTAGACTAAGATATCATAAATAATTTAAAATGCAACTCCATATGCAACCTAACAACGAACTATTTATATAAACTTTATCTTAATCTTAAAGGACTTCAAATAAACTATTTGCAAAAGATGTATTGTTTTGTAATAATTTCTAAGTTATGAAATATCTTTTATTTATTGATTATAAAAATTTCTCATGAGTAAAGTTATCCATAATATGCTGCTTGATTTTAAACAACTTTTGCTGTAATTGTTTTATTAAATTTGCTCTTTATATTAAACTTTTAGTTGATAAATTTGCTAAGCGTTTCGTGTCTATAAGTTATGAAGATATCTCCTTCTTTTATTTTGATGCTTCTAAAATTTACACTTACACTAAACTAAATAAATATAGAATATCTATCACTTCAATATACATTGGCAAATAATATTTTAACTTTTATTAAAATATATTTTTCTTCCTGACTTGAGATTCTTTTTTAAAAATGCCTCAGAATCCATTAAATCTAAGAAAAGATTGTTTGGTTTTTCTTTTATGTAGTAATTAAATCAGAAGTTTAATAAGCATTAGAGTATATATAATAATATCAAAAAAATGCCATAAAAATAGATATTTTTGGTTTCTTTTAGTTTGAAGGACTCTATCTTTATCAATGATCTATTGTAATTTTTGATTTATTGATCAAATTTTGGTATGAGACTAAAATTCATTTGTGAAATGGATTATATTAAATATAACAATTAAAATATGTTGTTTGAGAAACTAAAAATATACAATACAAAAGAAAAGCTATTGGAAAGATTGAAAGAACTCAAGAAAGAGGAAGAAATGAAGAGAAATACTCCAATGAAAGAAAAAGTTAAACGAACTTGTATGTAAAATTTTGAGTTAATAATTTAGTTTCAACATCTCAATCATAAAGAACAACATTGAACAGTTTTAATAGGTTGTCAACATCCCCTAAGGTTTAATGCAATTTAGATATTGAAAAAATCAAAATGCCTCTTACTTTTGAAAGATATCAAAATGTAACAAGAATGACAGAAATCCCTATACGTTAAAAGTTTTATTATTATATGTATTTTATAGATTATCAACTCCACAACCTCCTCAAAAGAGCATTCTTGAAAAATTAAATGAATAAGAGGAAGAGAAAATGATTAGAGAATTAATTGATAATTTTAAGCCAGAATTGTATGACGATATGATGGAGAATGATTAACAAGAAATTGAAAGATAAAATGATGAAGCACATACGAATTCCATGAAACAATTTTCATATCAAGACTATAGTCCTTAAAGGATGAATATGATAAAAAAACATCAGCATCATCACCATAAATCAAACCCATCTCACCTCAAGAATAATCAGAAATATGAAGAATAAAAACAGCTATACATTTAATAATTGGAATATAAAGGAGATATTAATTAAGAATTAAATACTGATAGAGGAAAATATTTGAGGAAATTTCGATTGGCTAAGTAATCAATAAATATTATTTCTTTAGTAAGAATTTGAATAAAGTATCTTAAGAGGATTTCAGAAAGACTATGAAACAATTTAATAAATTAGAGGATTACGCATAATTTTATAAATAAACCCCTAATTTGTACATATAATTGAACAAAAGCTCTCATTAACAGCAAATATTTTAGAGTGGTCTAGGACTTGTTTAATAATGCAATCACATCTAAGTTGCAAATGCATAAGCACAGATTAGATCCCCTTAATAAGTTAAAGTATTTTCTGAAGCTCTTAAAACTCAGTAATGTAAGACTATTACACATTTAAAGTTGAATCACAATAAACTTAATTCATTGAAGTACCCCTCATGATTATATTTTATTAGAATCCAATAATTGACCAAGTCATTCCCATAACATTTGTAGGAATTAGATTTGATGAATAATGGATTAGATTCTAAGTCTTGTTAGTTATTATCTAAATATATCTAAAAATCATAGATAAAGAAAGTAAATTTAGAAAACAATCGAATTGGCGATATTGGAAGTAACGCATTATGCTAGGCAGTGCAGGATCACGATTATTTATTATATTTAAATTTGTCCAAAAATAATTTAACAGAACATTGTTGTGTTGAGCTAGCAAATTATATCAAAAAAACACAGGTTCTATTTGAATTATATCTTCATTTTAATTCAATAAATAGTGTTGGAGCTGTTAATATTTGGAAAGCATTGTATAAAAATTCAAGTGTCAAGGTCTTTGATATTTCATATAACAGAACAGCCTCTTTAGAATGTTCTTAACAAATGGCCAAAGTAATTATTAAATAGTATCCAGAACTAATGCATATTGATATTTCATATAACGGATTTAATGAGGAACAGTCTATTGAAATAAAAAAAGCTTTAGATTAAAATTAGAATATATATGGATTTCATTATTAAGGGAATTGCCCAAAATATGCAGTTGACTCTACTGGACATTTAAGAGATAGAATTTAAGAAGCTATAGATATCCAAAAAAAAATTGATGAATGCAAAAAGAATCCTCAAACAACTCTAAAATTAGTAGATGACAATTAAAATCCTGAATTATAAATTTAAGAATAATAATAGCATTAATAGCAATAGCATAAAAGAATAAAAGATTTATAAACTGATTCAGAACTGTATAGGAATTTTAGATTTCGAAGGATTTAAGGAATGAAGCCAATAAAGTAAAACTACGACACTGACAGTGAATTGGATGCATGTTGGATATGCGATGGTTGGTAAGAAGTAAAATTTACTTGGACACCTGGGAAATCAGGTGGAATGAATAATGACCCTATATTTGTTCATATGAACTTTGAAAATTACAAACCTGTTTTAATGACACTTCATAATGGAGAATATTCTGCTTATAAAATGTGTCCTCCAAATTTCAGAGTCACATATTTTTTCAGCAATCCTGTGCTTGGGATCTAAACAACTGCTAAAAATCAATTAATTACATAGACTCCTCAAGAAGACCCTCTATATTCAACTAAACAATCCTTTTTATATAATGGAGATATTCTTATTGAAGGAAACAAAATGGGGTTCGTTAATGAACTTTTTACTGAAGATAAATAGTCAATTATGGATCGATATTTTGCAAAAATCTTTAGTAAACCGAGAGAAGAGGAAAAGACATTTGATTTGACTTAATTTTTAACAAAAACAGAAAAATTTTGGAGTTATGAAATTTCCATTTTTAAAAACTATCAACCAGACAACGATGAATTAATTGATGAATGTTTTGAATATGATTATGGTAGCTCAAAAATAAATAAAATTATTAAGGACCCTATTGAATATAATGAGGTTAAAGAAATTATGAGAGAGTATTATCCTTACATTTTTGCAGCATATAAATTTTTAGCATCCACCCTAATTGGTGCAACAATTCCTTGTATTTCATCAAATGCGTTTTCAGACTTTTTATCAGCCACTGGAGTCATATCTGAAAAATTTAGATCTGGAGATATTGATTTAAATTTTATAGCAACATCAAATGTTAAAGATATAAATTATCCTAATGTTTATGAAAAAGCCTTAGTGAGATATTAATTGATGGAAGTATTAGTTAGAATTGCTATTGATAAATATCTGAGAACCTAGATTTGCAAGTCGATAAAAGAGAGTTTGAGAAAAATGTTTGAAGAGGATGGAATTAAATTAAAACTCTAAGAGATTGATCGTAGTTAAGATTGGAGAGATATGAGATATTGGAATGAATAATGTGACATTTTATTAAGTAATTAATATAGTTAAATTTTCTATTAGAGGATAGATTACCAATGTTAAAAATGCTTTTCAAATTTACATCTAAATTAAATGCCAAATAAAAGTATTACAAACATATATGGCTATAATTTAAAGATTTCAGAGATCTATTAAATAAATGTGATTTGTATTGCGATATTTTTGTTGAAAGGGATGCTTACCTTGCTTATTTACTAGCAATGCAGACCTCTGTTGATGAACTTTACTTACTAAAACATTTCTAAATGGAATTTTATGAATTCTTAGAAACTTTGGCTAGATGTGCTGAAAAATTATCTCTTATAAGAACTAATGAATAAATGACCATCGATGATAGAAGATTGCAACCTTTGTTTAAGAAATTAGATGCACTAACTTTTCTCATATATATTAGATTGGGTGAAATTATTAAAGCATAATTTCGAGAATCTGATGATCTTTCTGATTTTGATAAGTGCATGTAAAAGACTTACGGCCAAATACCTAAACAACCAAGTCCTGATGATGAGGAAAATCCTGAGAAGATAACACCTTAATAAGAGGAAAAACTTTTAGAAGAGCAACTTAAAACCATTGTTGTCCAACCTTTAATCACTATTGTATAATTTTTATTAATTTAGTCTTAACCAAATAAAAAATCGGCTGGAATGACATTTTTGCAGGTCATCAAATAAGCATAGTAACAGAAATAGTTAAAAAATACATTTAATTTAACAAATGTTGTATAATATTTTAGGAATAAAGAGGAAGAGTAACAACTAAAATGATTATAATTTTGATTCATATTATAAAAATCAATCATATTAATCAGATTCAAATTTATTATGTAATTTTGAGTTATGGATTTTTTATTAATTTAAATGTCAGATAGTTAGCTAAAAATTGCCAAGTATTCTATGATTGTCTACTAATATTCACTAATTTTTAATTTATTACTCATTCAGTGTATCTATAAGAAATTCGATATAACATAAGAATAAGAGACCTTTTCTTAATGCACTTGCGGAACGATGGAAATATATTTTTTAGTTTACACTAGGATCCAAAAAAAAGATAAGACAACCTTAGTAGGGTTTAGTAGTTGAATAATATATAATTTATTCTAATATATATTTCTAAGCATCGTAACTTATCAATATTTCTTAAAAAATGAAAAATAGAAGAGTGTAAAATTGATATTAATTTTTCCCTAAACATTTCTTTCAAATTACTATCAATTAATAAAAAAATATGTTTCCCTTGATTATTTGTAGTTAATTTTCTTTATATATTTCCAATTATATTTTTAAATTCTAACTATTAAGCTAGATTTCTCTTTGGAATTGAATCAACTAAACCCATCCTTTTATCTGTATTGGTTATTAAGAAAAGTAATCAATCATCAATTTTTAGTTCTTTTAGATTAATTATATATATATTTTGGTAACACTGTAATAATAACTGAAAGCATTATTAAATTTATTAGATTTAAAATAAATTAATTATTATTAAATAGTTCGTCATAAATTAAAATAGGTTTATAAAATAATGCTTATAAACAAACTCTGTTAAACAGGAAATGTTCTCTAAATTTAATAAACCTCATTATCATCAATGAGTTTTGACAAGTCTCTTAAATTTTCACAATAAGTTTTATTATTCCATATTTTTCAATCTTCTTTAATTCTTATTCAAATGCCAAACTAACTTCATAGTTTAGGATGAAAATTGATTAGCAATCATACTTTATTTCGAAAGATAAATTAGGTAAATTTTCTTGTATAAAAATTCAATAATCCATATAAATATTTCATTAATTTTAAAATAAAAAAGAAATCTATAAAATGTCAAATTTCGACTAAGCACAATCTACAAATGTACCCCTTGTGGTTACACAGTAAGAAATAAGCCAATAAGGAATATTTAATCAAACTTCTAAAACATTGGGTTGGTATTAATATTTTCCTGAATCCAATGGCTTTGCTACATAGGAATTATCAACTCATGATCAGCAAATGTTGTTTATTGTGAAACTATATGCATTTTTGGCTAGTTTGTTCATCTTCCAGTATCTAATGGTTATCTTGTTTTATTACTCTAACCAATTCAGATGGAGTTTAATCTCTTATGATTACTAACCTTTTTATTGGGTTATTCTAGGGGTTACAATTATGCTAGGATTGATGGCTTATTTTATCAAATAAACAAGAAATGTAATGCAGTTTATACTATGATATAGCCTCCCATAAATCTAATTGTATCTTTGTTATATTCCTTCGGAGTAGGGTGTGTCTTGTAAGCACCACACGCAGAAAGATTATTGTGGAATGAAATCAGTTTGTTAATAATCTTATATCAATTTTGTATGACTGTTTGTACATTTGGAACACTTATTGCTTATAAATTTTAAGATTCTCAGTTCATGAATGGATCATGTAATTATTATTATTATTTTAGATATTTTGTTGTTCGCACTTATATTAGATGTGTTTATTATACTTATATTTATTTTAATTTATGTTGAATTGGCTTGGTTGATAGTGATTAGTGTAATTGTCCATTTAATCTATGCATGTCTTCTATTATTTGAGACAAAATTGATATAAAGAGGAAAAGTATTAAACAGTATTATTTTAGTTTAACCTCAGTTTGAATGAGTATGTTTCTGGAGCTCTCTTTATTTACATAGAAGTAACTCTATTCTTTGTGTTTCTGGCCATTTTATTTTTTATCTTTATCTTTGTGGCTATAATAGTGTTGATTGGAACTTTTATTGCTCACAAGAAGTGATTTATTAATAATAATTAATATTTATAATATATCTCATAAAGTTGAATAAATTAAACATTAAATAAACTTAATATAAAAAATATACTATTTAGGATATTTTTCAATAATGAGCATATTTATAATTGTTGTTTCTTTATCCTTTTTATAATGGGTTTTGAAACAACACCTTCAATTTAGCAAGAATAATACTCTGAGAAAATTAGAGATCACGATAGTGTATGAACGAATTCAAATTAAACGGAAAAATAATAAAATAATGAATAGTGAAGACTTATATTCAAAAATCCTAGGAAGATAATTTATTCTTCAAATAGGAATATTAAATTAGAAAAATGATGGTATTGAATAAATTAATTTCAAAGATGAATTCAAAATTTTTCTGTGTATTTTTTTACTTTAATTTCCTTTGAATTTGAATCCCAAAATATTAAAAATTCTCCGTCATTACTTAATGTGCCAAAAATATTTCCTTCACTTTTCTCGTTGCAATCAATTTGATATGTCTACTCACAATCGAAGAGCTAAGTTGAATACGGGGATTATTAAAATCTTAAACAATTTATATAGTAGCCATTCTTTATTATTAATACGTTTTTCTATTTGTTGTATTTAGAAGGAAAGTAACACATACATGATTGTTCACCTCCATAGATTGGAATGTTTTATGTATTGATGTATACTTCTTAATTTGATAACATTTAAAGGTTATATATTCGAAGATCGTTAGATGAGTAAGGTACAAAAACAAAGGTTTGATTGTTTATAAATTACAATCTATAACCTCTCCGATTCAATTAGATAACCTATTTAACTTCCCATTATTTTTAATTATGTTATTTATCGATTATTAATATCTTACAATCCTAAGTACAAGTAACCAATTGATTGCCATCTTCCCTGAGTGAGCAATCATAAATTGTATTAGAATGCTCATTTATTGTTTGAGAACAAAACCATTCAGAAGTAGTAGGTGGCAATGAAGACCAGAATTTGATGGTGCCATCTCCTGACCCACTAATAAGTAGATTTTCTTCTTTATGACCAAATACAAGACAACTTATTAGTCTGGAATGTCCCTTCAACTTCATCATGTACTTTGGATTTGGCATAAGAATGGAATACCAAATAATGATAGATGCATCTTAAGAACCAGAAACAAAGTTTGGTCTTTTCTTGAAAAAATTAAGGGTTGTTATCCAATCTTTATGTTTATATATCTCTTGGAGTTATTTCACCTAGCCATTTTTGAATTAGAGTATTTTAATATTTTTATATGCCGAACAAGTCAAGAGTGTATTACTATCATTAATAGCTATGGCATAGCATAATTGCTATTAATGAATTCCATGTTCTGAAATAAGTTCATATTTATATGGCTTATTGTTTAATTATATAGAAGCACAACACTCTTATTGTTACATGCTTAAAATTATTTATTAAGGGTAACAAATGGTGAGCCATTATTTTTAATAAAGTTTATAGAAATTTCTAGAAGGTTTTGTAGAATTTAAATCACAAGAGAATTTTCCTCATCATTTTTAATATCTTAATAAAAATAATAATTAATTAAAGGCTTACAAGTATTAATGGATTTTAATTATTGTTCAAATTTCTATTTTAAGGAAAAAATTATAAAATATTTTGTGAATTAATAATGTGATCTTCTTCTTAAGGTTTCTTACATTAATACTGATCATAATATTTTGAAAGATTATTTAATTCAACAATTAAATGTTACCGCTTTATTGTAAAAGAAAAAGAGGAGAGAACAATCAAATCACAAGTACTTGAGAATATTTTTCTAAATCATAACTCGCTTCTATGAGTAAGTAAAACGAATGATGCTTGATGTTGTAAAATAAAATCTTATAAATTTAATGGAAAAATTAAACTAATTGGGATTTTCCATTTCTTTCATCTATATCAAGAGATTGAACAAAAATAATCTTAAATTCAATTATATTCTATTCTATAATTAAATACCAATAATGATTAAATTCAAATATATGTAGTATAGTTTTTTTCAAGAACTAGATTCATTAAAAATAAATAAATATTTAATTCTAAAAAAAATAAATAAGTAAATGTAATGGTAAAATCAAATAAAATATAATTTTATTATGCAATATATATTATTTGATTGTAATTTAATGTAAAGTTACAAATGAAGAATTTTTATATAATTTCAAATTATTTTTTAAAATCGACTCTTAGCACTCGAGTTGTTTAAATCTGTGATTTTTTTTTATTTCATTTTTCGAAAGTATTTTAATCTCATATATAAGGTTATTAAAATTAGATTTATTAGTTAAATAACTATGATGAACTTCTTAGAGTCATACATTGAATTGCATAAATCAATTTAATGACTCTATAAAAAAATTGAAATTTGAGCATCAGATACTTCATTTTAAGCAAATAAGATAAAATTCAAAGAGAAATTTTCTACATTTTGATAAACTAATTCATAATTTATTATTCCCCAATAAATCTGTGACTGGTTTATAAAAATAAAATGTGTAGTATTTACTCTTAAGGTTTTAATATGAGAATTTAAACGATAAATTGTATCATAATATTCTCTTTCTTCTTGTAGATCATAATAATATGCAACATTTTAGTTAAGCTATTTTACAATTAAATAATTCTCATCAATATAGTCAGGCTTGAAATCAAAATTTAGAGATGGGTGCCTAATCTATTTTCTTATCTCAAAAGAAAAAATAGAACTGTTTTAAATATTAATCTAGAGTTATATCATGAAGGATAAATTACGATAACTCATAAATAGAATGACACTAGTAATATTTACATTCTATTTGCATTAAATTAATCCAATATTTTTTAATGTTGGATTATTCTCAACTGTAGGCAATAAATCTTTAAGTATTTTTATGACATTCTAAGAGAATTAGATACAAATTCCATTAAGTTAGATTGTGTAAATCGTTATTTCTACTTCAAAAACTTAATTATAATCCAACTTTTCTAACCCAATAAATGAATCCACTGATTCCTCAATGTATTTAATATCCAAATTATAATTATTTGAAAGGTGAATTAAACTAAAATTATAATTTTTAATAAATAGATAGGTTTATTACAATGCATTCTGTAATTTAACCAAATTTTATGTTTTAATAACATTTTCATGAAAAGGAAAACCGACTCTAAATTTTATGATTTATACCTAGAGTTCCTTACAATTTGAATGGTCTTCTAAGATGCACTAGAGTAGATGAATATGCAAATAGTCATTTAATTGACAAATCGATAGAAAATAATTTTCTGAAATCCAAAATACCTAGTATAGGACATTTTCTGTATCTAATTATGAAATTTCACACAAAATTTTGTCTTCTAAAATAATTGCTGAAAATGGATACATTATTAGCTTATTGTTATCTAAAAAAGCAATATTCTTTTGTTTANTTTAATGTAAAGTTACAAATGAAGAATTTTTATATAATTTCAAATTATTTTTTAAAATCGACTCTTAGCACTCGAGTTGTTTAAATCTGTGATTTTTTTTTATTTCATTTTTCGAAAGTATTTTAATCTCATATATAAGGTTATTAAAATTAGATTTATTAGTTAAATAACTATGATGAACTTCTTAGAGTCATACATTGAATTGCATAAATCAATTTAATGACTCTATAAAAAAATTGAAATTTGAGCATCAGATACTTCATTTTAAGCAAATAAGATAAAATTCAAAGAGAAATTTTCTACATTTTGATAAACTAATTCATAATTTATTATTCCCCAATAAATCTGTGACTGGTTTATAAAAATAAAATGTGTAGTATTTACTCTTAAGGTTTTAATATGAGAATTTAAACGATAAATTGTATCATAATATTCTCTTTCTTCTTGTAGATCATAATAATATGCAACATTTTAGTTAAGCTATTTTACAATTAAATAATTCTCATCAATATAGTCAGGCTTGAAATCAAAATTTAGAGATGGGTGCCTAATCTATTTTCTTATCTCAAAAGAAAAAATAGAACTGTTTTAAATATTAATCTAGAGTTATATCATGAAGGATAAATTACGATAACTCATAAATAGAATGACACTAGTAATATTTACATTCTATTTGCATTAAATTAATCCAATATTTTTTAATGTTGGATTATTCTCAACTGTAGGCAATAAATCTTTAAGTATTTTTATGACATTCTAAGAGAATTAGATACAAATTCCATTAAGTTAGATTGTGTAAATCGTTATTTCTACTTCAAAAACTTAATTATAATCCAACTTTTCTAACCCAATAAATGAATCCACTGATTCCTCAATGTATTTAATATCCAAATTATAATTATTTGAAAGGTGAATTAAACTAAAATTATAATTTTTAATAAATAGATAGGTTTATTACAATGCATTCTGTAATTTAACCAAATTTTATGTTTTAATAACATTTTCATGAAAAGGAAAACCGACTCTAAATTTTATGATTTATACCTAGAGTTCCTTACAATTTGAATGGTCTTCTAAGATGCACTAGAGTAGATGAATATGCAAATAGTCATTTAATTGACAAATCGATAGAAAATAATTTTCTGAAATCCAAAATACCTAGTATAGGACATTTTCTGTATCTAATTATGAAATTTCACACAAAATTTTGTCTTCTAAAATAATTGCTGAAAATGGATACATTATTAGCTTATTGTTATCTAAAAAAGCAATATTCTTTTGTTTAATACAAAATATAAATGAATCTATGCAATCTTTAAATTGTTTAATAAATTACAAAGGTCCCTATAATGTAATATTTTCATTCTCCTTTATTGTTACATTATGTATTGGACCCAAAAACATTTCAGAAATTTTTAACTTCAATTTTTCATTCTTTTCGATTTTCAAAATCAATTAGTTTGATTAAGCAGATAAAAGATGACATTCATTTAAAATTAAAATGCTAAAATTGATACTATCTTCAAATTTGTAGGTTGGATTTAATGTTAACTGATAAGATTAGAGCAATGTTTATTGATTGCTAACATTAATATTAATAAGGGACACTATTTGATTCAAATAATGGTACCAGATTTACCCATTATACAAATATAATAAAGTATTATTGATTAATTCAAAATAGACATCATTTGTTTAAATAATATTAATTAATTGGATTGTTGTTGTAGTGATAGAGTATGTAGCTATAAAAAGAGATTGGTTTTTTTCAATTAAAATTGCTAATTTCAAAAAAGTAAACTTGTACTTTAAAGGGTTTGAGAATTGATATTCTTATAAAGTATAATTATTTAATTGGTGTAATGCATATTCATCCAAATGATATAATATTAGTGAGTTCGTTTGATTTTGTACTCCCCAAAGACAAAAGGAAGTTTTTAACTAATTTCTAATAGTAATAATTTAGACTCCTGATAATTAAAAGCATTTTACCTCACCATTTAATTCATAGGCAAAAATATTTTCATATTGAATCAATTTATAAGACCCTTATTCTTTATAATATAAAATTTATTTTGGTTCATAAAGATATGATGAGATGTAATTGAAATGATTTTATGAAAACTAATCTAAATATATTAATAAAGGATATTCTGAATCCTTAACATATAGAATAATTTATTCAGAAGTTTATTAGATTTTTATTATTTCCATATTAAAAGGTATTTAACTTAAGGTTATTTATCCTGAAAAAAGTTAAATCATTTCGATTTTCATTTTATTTGTATCAATAATATAATAATCTTCTAGATATTCTATTACTTCAAATTGTTCGATATTTATGCTCAATTAAATTTGGTTTTTTTAACAATTAAGGAAATAGTATTGATTTTCAGCTTGGAAGACTATAAAATTGATATTTTTAATAGATAATAAAGTAATCTTACTTTTAAATTTATATCTTTTTATTCTTTAATAGCATTAGTTCTCTAGTTTTTCTTTATATATGATACTCATTCTAACGCTTCCAGTCTTATTATTATGAAATTCAAACTCTTGTTATTGAAATTAAGTAAATGAATCAATAGTGAGTTTTTCTTCTTGTTGATATTAGCAATTCTTTTATACTAAGAGTGAATACTAGAAATTATTATTCTATTGGATCTTTTTTTCATATTGAATTTTGAAACACTTTAACAATTATTATGAGCCATGCTTTTCAAGTCTCTTAATTAGGTATACAAATTGTTATTAAGGTTTAACATAACTACTTATTGGAAAATATCTATAGAATTATGACTATACTTTGAATTTATCTATTTAATAAAACAAGTTATCTTATTCTAAAAAAAATAATGATGAATTTAAAATATTATATTTTTGATATAGATGTTCATCAATCCTTATATTTAACTCATTTTAATTTTGTAAAAAGAGAAAACCAGAAAAAAAATGAATTTGATCAGTTTTAAAAGAATTATCTAAAACTATTTCATAGTTTATAATTTAAACTGGTTATAAATTTGTCTCATTTTTATATGTTATGAGGAGAACTTTTTAACAAATATTAGAAAGTATTATTTTCAATATTTGATTTTCACTTTTGTATATTGTATTAAGAATTGCTTAGCCAGCTTCCCACATAACTTAAAGATAATTATTTGCCTCAACAAAATAAAGAGTCAATGAATTTGTTTAGCAAATTTGTATATGATCTATCTTAGTAAATAACTCAAGAGCAGGATTGTAATTCTTCATTTTAGATTAAATTATAATTTTTAATTATTCATTATTTATTTCAAATACCTTCCATTAAAAACAATTGACAAATGCAATTATAATTTAATTTTTATCAAAAAGATTGAATTATTTCTTTTTGCACTTATCCTGTATTTAAATAGAAACATCATACTCCAATATCAGAATCACTTCACCTAATAGGCTTACTTAATATTGTTTTAAAGTAAATTAGGTCATGCAAAATAATAATAGGTTACCATTAACTAGTTAATAAAATTCATCACAGGACTCTTCATTAGTTATATTTGTTTTAATCTTGATGCTTTCAATATTATTTTCTTATTTTTCATAATTTAATATATCAATTTTGATACATGTTATATAATAGTTAAGATCTAAAAATAATTAACAAATAAGTTTCTTTAATAAAACCTCTTAACCTAAGGATTTAAAAATTCTTGTTTGAATTGGAACAACTTCAAAAGGAATAGTAAATAGTTGTTATACAATTTTATTATCAATATGCTTCAGATTGTAATAATTTTCCTCATTTCCTTCTAAAATAAAACAATCTTAAGCCTCTTAGTAACATGTTATTATGGGTTGTATTTGCTAAATCTCGCATGAATTTGAATTTATCTAAAATATCTAGACTTCAAAGACAATGATAATAAACAACATTGTTTAATATTTTTGGAGAAAAATTAATTAAATAATAGTTATCATATATAAATTTTATTGATTAAACAATACATCCATTAAATTTAATTCTGTATTGATTAATTGAAATCAATTGACTTAACTACTACTTTTGAATAGAAATACTGATGATACAAATCACAATTTGCTGAAAATCTTAAATCATAAGAATTAATATATTTAGTAAAGTACTTTGCTTCTTCAACTTTGTAGTAATTCTAATTTCTAATCTAATAATCAATAATATAATTCTTAAGGTGAAGCCTAATTATTTCAATAGAATTTCGTGGAGTGTTTGATGATATCCTACTAGAATTTTGGAGTTTTTCTACAATTTTATTGATCAAGGGTTCCAGATTATATCCCAAATTATGATAAGGGAAAAATTATTACCAATCATATTTTAAAGTTTTAGAAAAACCTCAGGCAAACCTATGTTTTTATGATCCTATAATTATTAATTACCTATAAATGAAGATCCTTTCAGCATATTAATTTTCTAAATTAGATTTAATTATTTCCTGGGATATTTGATTGAGCTCACAAATTATAAGAAACTTTTTGTTTTAGTGGCCTTTTAAATCGAATATTTTATTATGGATTACAATACTAGTACTTGCATATTCTATTTTATTATTATTACAAAAATGAGTATTTTACTATAGTTTTATAATATGTATCAAGTTTATGATGACATGCTCTTAAATTGATTTTTTGTAAATTAAAGTAACACAATTTCAAAAAGGGTATATAAATTAATCTTTTAGCGTTCTCTTTGACTGGAACATCTTAGGGTTGTTTTACAAACATTGATAAAATTGATTATTTATGTAGGGATTCTTTTTTCTTTTCAATATAATATAATAAATCGAGTCCTCAAAAATATTTCCAAACTTAGATAAGAATTAGAATATGTTTATATTTGAAATACCAACAAATTAATGCCATAATTTTGTTACAACAGATTGGACTGTTAACTTGATTTCCTTTAATAAATGATATGTGTTAATTGCTATGTAAATTTAGACATAAAACAGTATTTGGTAATGTTTAATCATAACAATTATTAAATTCTGATGGTGCTCTTCGATGTCTTGATATTTGGATTTCAATTAGATTTTTTGATCTTCTGTAAAAGCAAAGTAACAAAAAAGGCTTTGTATAGCACAATTTTTATTAATCCAATTAGTTAGCAATTTCCTTAGCCAATATTAACATTATATTCTTTTTAAGTTAAAGATAATGATTCCATCTCTATAATGGTTATAGCCTTCAGATGTTAGCCAAAAGTGATTTTTTAATTAAATCTATTAATCTTCTAAATATTTGAACAAATTAAATTAGAAAGAGTTAAGTAATTTATTGAAAGTGTAAAGTCCGAGGAGCACCATTTTGATTATTTAGAATTTGAGACTTTATTGTTAAAATAGGACTCTTCCTAAACAATAGTATTAATTCAGAATAGTAATGAATAAATTATATAATATAAAATATTGAATATTAAAATAGCAATAGAATGTTTCAAGGAGATCAATATTTTGAATGTCATTTGGTTGAGACTCAACTGAATGATCAGGGATATCAAAATCTAGTTGACAAAGAGGAGACATTTTAATAAATTGAGAAATTAGATAGTGGGTTTTGCAATTATCTAAAAAATGATATTTTAAATGATAAAAAATAATTATAGTAACTATTAATTAGAATTAATTAACAGTGGAATAAGAATTTAATGGTAGAACTTAAAAGAGAAGAAATCTTCACTTTGATTATATTAATGTTTCTTAATTAAATAAATAGGAAACAATAGTTTGGAGGATTTTATTTAATAAATATGGAACATTTTAAGAAATCTTAAATTAGACTTTGTACTCAAAAGATGCGATGCATAGAGAATTACTTACGTTTATTTTATAGGAATAAAGACAATCTTTTAGAGAGTTCATTCGATAACAAAGAAAAAGAGCAATTTAAAAATTAAATTGTTAAATTCATAAAAAATATACAAAAAGTCGAATTTTCATTTAATGAAGGTGACGAAAAAAGCAAATTAAACATATCTATTAATGCAACCAATCATCGTAATGAAGATTAAATGAATTCAACTGTTGTTGACTTTGCAGATCGGAATATTGGAGGGTTAACATTAGATAGTTATAATTGTGCCTAGGAGGAAGTAGACAATTATTGTTATATTTTAGATTCTAATGCTTATTTTTCCAGAAGCTCTAGTAACTATGATATTTATTCCACCTATGAAGGATAATGAAGCTGTTTTAATAACTAATATAAAGAAGTTCTCTAAATATTCTGGATACGAATAATCTTTCACCTGGAAAGAATAAGATGATTTAGATAAGAATTTCTTTAATATGCTAGTAATTATTATTAATACTTAGGCCATTGATGCAAAGCCATTTAGTGGAAGCACAATATAGTTTAAGAAACACAATTTAGACAGAGAGATGCTGAAATGTTACTCAGGATTCTCATTAGCTTTAAAATACTAGCCAAATAATGATATTTCAACTGGAAGATGGGGATGTGGTATATTTGGAGGAAATCAGTATCTGAAAACAATGATTCAGTTGATTTGTTTTGCTTAAGCAAAATATGAAAATGAAAATAGTACAGCAAAATTGATAATTAATACTTTGAATAATCCGAACCTAATAAATTTTGTAAATGACCTTAAGAAATATGAATCAATATTAAATTTACAGAACTTAATAAAATTGTTTTAAGAATTATCATAACGTTTTTAATATTCCAATGATGATTAATTCTAGGATATGATAATCAATTACTTTTAAAAATAAATACAAAAAGAAGATTTAAATTATTCTGAAAAGTAAAAGGGTACAAAATGAAAATAAATTAGATATATTCAATATTGTTACATATTTTATTATATTAGAATAGAATTAAGTAGTTTTCTACTCAACTAACCTAAAATTATAAAAACTCCTTAATTATTCTAGGAGTTGAAAATATATTATTATTAAAATATTATCAGAACGATTATAAAAGAGTAAAACAACTGATCAAATAGTTTTAATTAGATAAAAAGACTGATAACTATCAAATAGTGATCCAAATCTGATACATAAAACAATCTTTTTTATGATAATAGAATAAATTTTATATTCTATTATTAAATGCATTATATGCAAAAAAATATTGCTTTATTATTATTCATGTATAATTAATAATTTGATCCATCCTAGAATAGAAGGAATAACAACTAATATCGAACTTCTAATTAATATCCATATAATGATCCATAAATTAATTACCGAAATCAAAATCAGATCTATAAATATTAAGAACAATCATAAAAACTCTAAGATTAAGCTTTAATTTAGTATTACATTCATGAAGATTTTTAAAATTTGATCAATCTTATCTATTCTTTGTAAGCAGTATCTGAACATTTCAACCATGATCCTAATAACGAAATGGTCATTTTGAGTAGAAATAAAGTCATTACTTAGCTAAATATATCGAATTCAATTCATTATGATCTATAATAAAATTACAGGGATCCAAAATATCGAGAATTAATATAAAGGGAGAAATTGAAAGTGTAACAAGCAATCTCTTAATTTCCTAATGATCTTAAATAATCAACTTATTTGAGGAGTTATCAACAGAATAGTTTATCTGACTAAATACGACATAATTATTAGCAACTTGATAAGATTAGAACCCCTGCTACATTTAATCAAAATGTGGTTTCTCAAATCTTTTCTTCAATGCAATTAATTGATAAAAATGTTTCTCAAATAAAATCCTTGAATTAGTATACTGTCCCTACCGAATAGGATGTCTTAGCTAAAGCAAGGTATTAGGTGATGATATAATTAGGCAATACTACTCTATGACCTAGAATAAACTATATGCAAATTTTTAGAAAGGATAGCAGTATTAATCATAGATATATAGTAAAAAGGAGTAATTCTAAGCCCCATAATAATTGGAATGGAATTAATAATAGAAACATTCTCCTCAATTTATCTAATCCCAAATCATTACTCCACCTAAATAATAAAGATATTAATCTACTTAACATTAACAATAAAAAATGTCAACAAGCAGTCATATTTGGGGTTTTTAAAATTTGGCTAATTCTTGAAGTTGGAAATATAAATCAAAATGATTACAATAAAAATAATATACAAATAATTCAAGTACTTAATATACTATTTATTATTTAATATAATATGCTAATGAAAATCCAACTTAAAGTTATATCATCTATCTTTAACATGCCATTATGTGCTTGAAATATATCCTAATATGCAGCCCATTCACTTAAAAATAAACAAACATTGTAATGGATTTCAAATTGGAACATGAAGCCTGGCAATTGGTAAATTAAAAGATTAACAACTATCAGATCCAAAATAAGTTCAATTGTTTTATCTAAATTCTACTTTATACATTCTCGATTGATTTTGATCAAAAGCCTGCGGATTTTGGGAGGATTATATTTTCTTTAGAAATAATAAAAGATGAAAAAGAGAAAATTGCACAAAATTTAAATAGAAAATAGTCACATTAATCAAGCAAAATGATTTTATCAAGCTAAGAATATGATCAAAGTATCAAATTCGATTGGATTTTAAAAGATAAGAATGAATTGCAGATTGTAAAAGGCACTTTAATTTTTTTCAGCTCTTTATTGAAATAAAAAGTAACAATAATCAGGTTTCGTCCTATTCTAATAATAAAAGCCCGAATAGATAAATTCATTATTAAATTTCGATGTTCTCCTCGTATTTGAATGTTTAGTAGAAAAATTTTAGATATGATATTACTTTAGCTATCGACATAAAGTATATTATAAATATTCTTTAAATTGCTTAAACTAATTTCTTTCTCAGCCTGAATGGATTTTTCGTATATTTTCATAAGGTAAATTTGTTTCCCTACTTAATGATGCCATAGTCTCACCATCTTAGCTAAAGCCTATATCCTTAATTTCTTCCTCAATTTCCAAACTTTAAATTAGCTAACATTCAATCCAATTCTATAATTTGATTTCTTCTGAATATTTAACTAGAGTCACAACAAATTATGTATTTGGCCAAAAAATAACTCTATCGGCTTAATTTTGCAATTACAATAATATTTAAACTTATATATACCTTTCCTATTTTTGATAATTTACTTACATTTACTACAATTTTATGATTTTCCATAAAATAAATAATTATTCCAATATTTTTATTAATTAACAAATTACTCTATATTATATATAATATAACAAATGATTGAAAATAAACTATTTTATCATCTTCTTTAATTTCATAAATGAATATGAAGGTTAAATTCTTTTCCTTAAAAATACAAAATTTAAATTCATTCAATTTGATAATCGATAAATAATACTAATATCAGTCTAATTGATATTTATTTACATTTAATGAATTAATAAATTAAAAAATATTGATTATAATTAGCCAATAAGAATCACTTTTTGCTAAGTTTATGTTATTAGTCCTTCGGCTGATTTGACTTTACAGGTAATTAATTGTTTTTAACACTTTGCACTTTAGGAGCATGCTCTACAGTATTTTATTTGACTTAAGGAGATTAAACTACTTGTTATTTTTAAACTGGAGTTGGTTTTTAAATAGGTTTTGCTGGTTGATTTTTTTATTAAACTTAAACAGGCTTTTCAATTTTTTATTTAGGAAGGATTTACTTCTTCTAGGTGTTTTTGGTTTATTTGACTTTAGATAAGTTAAGCTACAATATGGCCCATCCTAATTGAGGTTTCAAAAATTCATTATCAATGAGGGTAATTCCGAAATAGCCAGATGCAAATTGAATGGGTATTTCTTAATGACGCCATTCAAGAGTTACAGGTGCCTTAGAAACTCCGGAAGGAAATTATTCTGGATATATTTGTTGAAATTTATCCCAAGTTTTTGAAAACTCATTTTTGACAAAAGGTTCTTTGTCATTAATATCTGCATTTTCATTGACTCTATAAGGGAAGAAGTAAGTAATCCACCCAGTTGCAAATCCAGGTCTCACGTCATATATTTTGGGATCTGGATGTTAAAATCTATAAATATTATTCCAGAAAACTTTGTCAACATTTCCTTAATATAATTGAATGAATTAATCTAAAATTGGCACAATTTCATTAATCCACCAATCCAATTCAAATTCTCTAAGTGGTTCTACATTTTATCTTAATTATTGCCAATCTTCCAAAGTACCTTGAAGTTTAATTTTGGAAATTCCGCACCCAGCTCCAACTATGTATTTAAAATATTTTTGCATTGTATCCATTAAACTTACTTCATAACATACTTTTTCTACATCTCTAGTGGTTGAATACTTTTGTACACAAAGCTCATATCTCTTCTACCCTATTTCATTTTTTATCAATTAAGAAAATTAGGTCGGAAATTCTTCCCATTTGTAATCTTCAATTTGATCTATGTCCTCAACTATAATTTTCAATATGTGTTGTCCTTAAAAGTTTACAAACTTGTCTCTAAACTTTTCCGCGTTGAGTTTTATGTGGGTACAGAATCCTTAAGTAATGAGCAGTTAGATATCATCAGGACTGAAACATAATGGAAAATGATGATAATAAGCTATGTGAAGTGTATTCACAAATTAATTAGTAAACATCAATTACTCATTTTGTAATTGATACAATTTTAAGTTGTCGGTAAAGCTATGTCTAAATAAAGTATTTTTTTTAACTATCTTCTCGTTGAGTTCCTTAATCTAATTGATCTGAGTTAATTCCTTATAATCATAATTTAAGCCTCCATCAATTATTTAAACTGATTCATTTTTCATATTTTTATTCAAAGTTCCTTTTTAAATATTCATATCCATTTCTTATTTAATAATGATTCAAAGGTAATAATTAAATTTGTTTTAATAAGACTAAATCTGATTAAAACCGATCATTATATAACTTTCATCCTATTAAGGCGTTAAGATAGATACTTAAGTTATGAGATAATACAGAATTAATAGTTAATTCAACGTTAGATTTTGGAAAATTAAATTAAAAAATGGTGCTTTTTTTGTTAAGCAATTATTAAAATAGAACGATTTAATTTAAAATCAATTCATTCTTCGAGTTTACTTAAAACAACACTTTATTTCTTGCTATTAATACTAAATAACAAAAAATTGTGCTTTTTGTTCATATTATACCTTTTAAAGCAAGGTCAACATGGCCTAGTTTCAAATAGACTTTTAAATTATGAAAAAAAAATAATAAAGGAAAATTTGAAGATGAGCAGGTTTGGGACAAGTTATTCTTGACTACTTCAAATTATAAGAAGTTTTAAAATAGAATGGATTAAGTCTAATTAAATACTATTGCATAAAGATTTAAAGAATTGGGCAATCTAAGAAAAGTAAAATTTTTATAACTAAAAGTTAATCAAAAATATTGATATTAATAATTAATCTTGCTAATAAAAATTTTATCCCTTCTTAATCAACATATGGTCCCACAATTAAAATTGAAAAATGAAAAGATGTACTAGGAATCTATTTAAAATTACTTTATTTAAAAGGAACAAGGCAGAAAGAAATAACTCAAAATCACAATACAAAGAAAATGGTTGGGCATTCTCATTTAATAGGGCTAATCAAAATATGATATTCACATTAATTGATATGATAAATGAAAGAAAATTATTTAGAGAAAATAGATAAAATTAAGCAATTTTTCGAAGTTGATTTCATTTAAATTAGGCTGGAATATTAGAATTTATTAAGTAGGTAATTTAAACTTTATTATGTTTTGTGGAAAGGGCTTATTGAAAAATAGAAGGAATAAATAAAATTATTAAATTAGCTATAATTTATGAAAAAGAATGGTGTTAATGATTTAGCATCATGGAAGAAATAATCAAATATAAAAAGATTAGAAGCACAATCGACAATAGAAAATTCATAAATATTGATTGCCTTTTGAAATAGATTAGTGATTTGAGCAAACTAGTACTAATAGATTCTCTATTCATAAGTTTCTATTTCTCCTAAATTCCGTAGAGTATCAGTTAGGCTTTTTTCTTTTCATAATTCTCAATCTTCTTTGATAGCTTCTTCTGCCTTTATAATTCAATAAATTAGTAATTAATATTAAGAATAGTCTATGTAACAATTGAACATTTTTGCATCATTAATGGAGTCTAGTAAAACTATACATCAATCACATCTAAATAAGAATACAATGTAGAATCATTTTAATCATTAACTTTTTTAATCAACAGAAGATCCTTTCTAAAAGTTGATTTCTTTATTCTACACAAAGAATTAGTCGTCTTACTCATTTTCATTCTAATACATTTAATTTCTTTCTTTCATATTAGCTTTCATCTTTGATGTCACACAATGCAATAAATTACTTAAACAATTGCAGATTGGAAATTGAATAAATGAATCGGATTGATATCCAAAAAACCCCATTTGAAACAAATTCAGAATGGCAATCAGTTGTTGCATCATTATGAACTCTTCACCAACATATTCAGAAGATAGTTAATTAAATCCTTATTAAGTGCTATAAAAACTCAATGATTGGATTTCAATCATGAGATAATTATTGAATCACTTACCAAATTTTCATTTAGCAATTATAAATTAATTAAAGAAAAAAAATTAGCAGACTATTTCATATTTTCACTAACTTCTAAACTCTTTTGTATTCCATTGGTTGAGAATTAAACAGAAGGTAAGTGTCAAAATAAGAAATAGACTCTTTTAGCATAGAAATCATGTTGAATCAACCAATGATGCTTGAAATAAGTCATGTAATATTTATCATTCCCTTTCATAAGAAATCAAATTTTTAGGTACAATCATCTCAGTTTACACAACACTTCGCTTTCTATTTGCATATATATTTTTATTAATGAGAATATTTAACTATATAAGACCTTTCTAGGTTTTCTTAATGGAGCAATTATTTAAACAGACAATCTTTCGTTCATTTAAACGATAGAGAAATTGGCAATTACTTGGCAAAGTCCATAAGAGGAAATTAAGTTTGCTGAAGGATTGATTAACTAGTATTTAAGAAGAAATTTTGAACATTGATCATAGCGAACATTATGACTGGATTTAATTGCTTATCTATCTATCATTGCTCTAATCAACAATTCTAATCTTATTCACTATTTGTTGTTAAAGAGAGAGAGAAGTATTATAAAAGATTACTAGAGGTCGAAAATTTTTTCAATACAATGATTTTTGTATTATAGTAATATTATAATGTCCAGAACTTATAGAACACATTCCAAGAAATGTTATCATATATAAACATTTAAAAATAGAGAACAATTTTATAAAGAGACAATTTTTATCAAAAATTATTAGAATTAAAACGTTTATAAGTTCACATTTAAAGTAAAATATATTAATTAAATTAATGATACCAAATCAATTTAAATTCTTCCTCGATTCAAGTTGTTGCAAACAAATAAATGATTCTAAGGAATACTTTTTTAGTATTGTAGCAAGCAGTTTACTAAAGGAGACTAAATATTATGAAACATCAGATACTTCAAGAAATAAATTAATAGAAACAATGAATACAATTGCAAACATAGATCCTGAGTTTATATTGTAGGTGGCTTACTACGTTAGAAATCAAATGTATATCAGAAGTGTAAGTAATTTCATTCTTGCATTTTCTATTCTCCATCCTAAAACTAAACCATTCTGCTCAACATACATGTGTCCAACTTTGTTAATACCTGGTGATTTAATTGAAGTGTGCTAATTTGTTCAAGTGATTTCCTAAGTTAAGAATTCAAACAACAAATTGGATGGAACTATCGACATTAGAAAGAAATTATAATTCCCAAAATTATTGAGAAAACAGATCCAAAAAAAGCTTACTCAATTCAAAGTTTATCAACTTGGCAAACAATGTTCAGATTGTAGTAGAAAAAGGAATATTAGGAAATATAGAGAACTTCTAAACCCTGATATCAAAAACAAGAGAAGGGAGAAAAGATTGTTGAAATTAAAATTGATTAGAGATTAGATGATGTTATAAGGACCAGATACTAAAAATCAATTTCAAAACTAGGCTATCTAAAAAACAAATAGAGTTGCAGAAAACAGAAGAAGACATACCAGAAATCCTCACTTTGCTAAGGTTAAAGAAACATTAAATGTTTTTGATACAAACTTCATAAGTTTAAAAGATATCGTCACATTGTGTCATGTGAAAGAGCCTAGAAGTCTGGTTATGTAGATTTTAGGAGCTAAGTACCCAAAGACATTAGAAGAATTTGAAAAGGAATTTAAAGGAGAAAGGAAGATGAAATTCGAACCTGAAAAAGCAGGTACAAGAATGTAAATTCCCATTCCAGTAACATGGGATAGAGAATTAAGTAAAGGATAAAATTCAAAAAGATAAATTTGGGAAGACTTAATTCAAAAAAATTAGATTCCTTACTTAGCTTTGTTAAGAAATTTAAGAAATATTTTGAAATCAGGTGTGAGCGCAGAGGCTCACTTAAAAGTTGTTGAGAAATTATCAAATTAGTAACAAGTAGAAAAATCAAAAGTTTTCCCACTCTAATTTTTCACAGCCTTAAATGAGATTGACAAATTGTAAGCCATTGAAAATGAAAATACTAATAATGTTAAGTAAAAGAGAGAGAGAGGAAAAAAACAACAAGCAAAAGTAAAATCAGATGAAAAGGAAATTGAAGATGAAGAGGTCGATGCATCCCCTTAAGTGATTCAATCTTATAAAGATGCTATTGAAAAAGCAATGGAAATAGCCGTTGATAAAAATTTAGAAACAATATCAGGTGTTACTTATGTATTTGTTGACGTAAGCGGATCAATGTGTAGTAAAATTAGCGGTGGAAAAAAATATGGATCAATTAATGAATGCAAGGATTGCGCTTTTGTTTTGGGACATATGATAAGAACAAAATGTGAAAAATGTGAGTTTTATTTGTTTTCGGCTCCTCTTTTTAGGGGTGAACCCTTCGTAAAGGTTGATTTCAATAATGATACTTTATTATAAGGAATTTAAAGATGTTAAAGAAAATGTAACGAATTAAGTCGTGCTTGCGAAATGGTTGGATAAACCATTAATAATGTATTATTAAAGGATAAGATCAAGGCTGATAATATAGTGATATTAAGTGATATGATGGTAACCAGAGGATTTAATGAAGATGGATTAAAAATGGAAGAAGTTATAAAATAGTATCTCGACAGTGTGAATTCAGAAGCTAAATTCTTTTTTATGGACATATCTGGTTATGGACAATAAGTCAGTTTTGGCCAGGATCTAAAAAGTAAAAACTGTTTCCTTATTAATGGGATGAGTGACAATGTATTGAAATACATTGCTTACGCAGGCAAAATTAATCAACTCGATGATGTTGTGGCCTTTTGTCAGGAGTTGAAATCCAATTAGCAAGTAGAAAAATAGAATAATGACAAAGCTTAGATAGACCAAGCTCAATAATTTGAAATTGAGTGATTGTTATATATATATTATTAGTTAACTACTTGCTAAATACTTATTTTTTATAATATTAAATTTAAGGTTAATTGATAATGCTAGAGGTTATATTGATTATTCAATATGAACACTAATTCTTTCTGATAAAAAGAAACTTGGAGTTCAAAAATAACTAAAAATTGATATATTTAACAAAAAATAAAAAAATAAAGCCAGATAAATTTATGTGTTTAAATACATTTAAGGATGGGAAAGAAATGGAAGTCTTGGAAACAAATTGATATAAATAAAAAAATGGAGGTTTTAAGAAACATTTATTAAGTATTTAATTATCCTTTCAACCCTCCTATTGTTCCCGAAGCAATATAATAAAAAGTAGTTATAATAAGAAAGCCATCGATTGTATTTCTTTTCAATCTGAATAATGTATTTACTATAGGTAATAAAGTTATCTATGAAAACAAATAATCTAGGAATAATCTTTTTTAGGATGTTTATTAGTTTAAATAACTCATTCGATTTTAATGATTTTTCAAAATCTCTCTATATCCTGATTTAAGAATTTTACTAAACTAACAAAGATTAATTAATTGAGGCTTTGGAAAATTTGAGTGATAACTAGACAGATGTCCTAAGACGATTGAAGATGATTGGAACGGATGGAGAAAATAAAATCTAAGAAAAAGGATATTAATTTCAACAAGAAGAGGTAAGATAGGCAACGAGAATTCACAAATGTCAAGAAATGAATAATTAATTTATTAATATGTACCCTATTTCTAATCTTGGCTTTACCAGACTATTTTCTCAGTTTATGATAATATGGACTAGAAGGCAGATTGCCCAATTTTTTTTTTTTAATCTGAGAGGCCCCGTTCTAAAGAACAATCAATTACAAAATATTGAATAGAAATAGGAGCACGTCGATTGAACTGTTTAGGGG